ACCCAGTCAGACAGTTTGTCATGGCCGGTCATTAGATTTGACTGACTGCTGACTCGCTACTCTTTGACCGTCAGTATTGGCTCTAGTAAACGTGACAGTAGTTATTGTTTGACAAACGTGACATCAGATGTTGTAGTTGTAGGTCTATGGTTTTTTTTTGTTTTGTTTTTTTTTTGTTTTGTTTTTTAGAAAACGTGACAGTTAATATTGTATAGCAACCGTGAAAGTAGATGATGTTTATGTAAAGTCACTGTAAATATTGGTTAGCAGACAATAGAAGCTGATGTGTGTCAAAGCAATTTTTTTAAAGCGACATGGTCAATATTTAAATATAGTTTAGCAAACATCACAGTAAATATTGTTTAGGAAATGTCACAGTAAATATTGTTCAGGAAATGTCACAGTTAATATTGTATAAGACACTTCACAGTAAATATTATATAGGAAACGTCACAGTAAATATTGTATAGGACACGTCACAGTAAATATTATTTTTGAAACGTCACAGTAAATATTGTTGAGGAAACGTCACAGTTAATATTGTTGAGGAAACGTCACAGTTAATATTGTATTAGACACTTCACAGTAAATATTGTATAGGAAACGTCACAGTAAATATTATTGAGGAAACGTCACAGTAAATATTGTTGAGGAAACGTCACAGTAAATATTGTTGAGGAAACGTCACAGTTAATATTGTATTAGACACTTCACAGTAAATATTGTATAGGAAACGTCACAGTAAATATTATTGAGGAAACGTCACAGTAAATATTGTTGAGGAAACGTCACAGTAAATATTGTATAGGACACGTCACAGTAAATATTGTATAGCACACGTCACAGTAAATATTGTTAGCGAACCGTCATAGTAAATATCGTTTACAAAATGTGGCAGTATATAGTGTTAAGTTAGAGCTGATGTACAGTAAATACAGTGTCAAAGTTTGCTTGTAGATCTGGAAAGTGACAGCGGTCGTGAAAGACATTGATTTGAAACGAACTTGAAGTTAACGGTTTGTGGCGTCACTGCATATTTGAACGAACGTGACAGACATTTATAAACTAATTTGTAATAGCTAATATAGGGCCATGGCTCGTACAATATACTAGTCCACATGCCATTAGAGATATTGTAACGGCAATGGAACTATGTATGATAAAGTTATTATTGCACATTATCTTCATCTCTTGATACTGAAAGTGATGCTCTTTGGTTTTATTGTGTGGACCAACGGCTTAGAAGACGATAGGCATGTACAGTGTACAGTGCGGCTGGTCCTTCCGTGGTGGTTGGGGAGAATTTCCATACACTTTATACCACGGTTATGCTGCATGTTTCTCTGGGTGTCGGTATGCTAGTTACGTCGTTGGGTGTTGACTCCTGCTGAGATAACAACAACCGTGGGGTGAGGGGTTCCGGCAAAGTACATTGACACGAGGGGGGAGGGGGCACGGTGACCGTGTAATCACTGTGGACTGATATAGATCAGGCAACGTTTCTGTTATAGATCGTCATTGTACAGGAACTAGAGCAGGCAAACTTAGATACAGAAGTCGTATGAGATTTTCAAATTTGACTCATCCCAGTGTGTAAATTGTGGTTTTTTTTTAAATTTTAATTGGGTTTTAACGGGTGTTACCAATAGTAATAAAAGACTTGACAAAATGTACTTTCATTTTTAATGTATTTTATACAGTTTAAAATATCAGAAGTAACATATAGGCTAGCACTCAAGCGCTGCTCGCAAAATAATTTTTGGCAGAGATGTATGATAAAATGGCTCTTTAAAAAAGCGTTGGCTCCTTGACTTTGGCAATACACATAGGGCTGTAACACTAACAGAATTAAGACTGGGGGAGGGGCTAGACAAGGGCCAATAACCACTGTTTAAAATACACTTGTTATTGTCCTTGTTTAGTGGCCAAAACTAATTGAAAACTCAGCATTTGACACACATAAAAATACTTACTATGGACACACCCCCTTTTAGAATGTTTGTGTATAGGTGAATGCTGGTGCCTGTCAAATATATCACTGTGTGTACGTCTTATTTTTATTTAGATGACAGATCTAATTATATGAGTTCCGTTTAATGTAAGTTCAAAGATAGTACAAGAGTTTCTTCCAAGTATCTCTTCGGATGGAGGTGTGGGGGGGGGGGGTCTACCGCCTCCCCGAACGAAATGAAATTTATATAGAAATATATACTTTTAACTGTGTCTCCCCCCCCCCCCCCCCCCTCTTCCGGAGAAAAGCGTCTAGAAGAAACACTGGATAGTACGAGGGGGGGGGGTTGACCTCTATAGCTGCTACAGACAACCCGTCGCTAACCACATACTTTTGACATTCGGTAAAACCGCAACTATTTCTTGGACAAAATTAAATGTTTCCCCAGTTTAAAATACTTAACTCCATTTCCCGAGTTAGCCAATACGTTTTGTGATTGCGACACCACTCCTGTTATAATTAACAATATAAATAAATAAATATCTACTAAATTATATACATTAATTATGTTGTATTAATAATATTAATTACAGCGTAAACAGTATGGTGTGTATTAATTAGATAGTAGCACCCACCCACATCAATCAGCCATCAACTCTCTAAAGCGTTTAGTTGCTAATTGCAGTCCAAGTTTGAGCTGGAATGCCAAAATAATACCCACCTAAGCCTTGCTGGTACACCAGCAGCCACGGGTATCCGGTTCTTTTGGTGTATAGTCGATTATTGCGGTTAGTCGGTTCATATGACCGTTATCCGGTTCATGTGACGGTTATCCGCTTCTTAACTGGTTCTTATGACGTTTATCCGGTTCTTATGTTGTGTATTCGGTTATTAACTTATTACGGTTATCCTATTCATATGACCGTTATCCGCTTCTTATGACGGTTATCCGGTTCTTATGGCAGTTATCTCGGTTTTAATGGCGGTTAACTGGTTCATGCCAGGCTTATAACCTGTTTCGGGAAAAAAAAGAGCAACCTATTTTTTACTTTCTTTCTTCAATTGCTTCTCGGGTGTGAAATTATTGTTTGGTCCGGACTTTTTTTTGTAACGGGTCGCATGGTTAAGATTAGGAAGTAATTATATAAATAATATTCTCAAGAAATTTTGAACACATCAAACATTTTCTACCGTATAAAAAAAAACACCGCGTACCCTACAAAGCTGTCCATTTATAATGGAATCACGTGACACAAAACGACCGAGCACCACCTTGATGTATGGACTTTACGGTGGCTTACACAGTCTTGTCAGGGGTTCTTTCAGACATTTCTCTCTATATGTATATTTATTTATTTGGTGTGGGGGGGGGGGGGCAGTGGAATTGCTCAGGGGGTGGGGCAGCCTGAAAGAAACACTGAGTAGGCCAATCCGCCGAGAGTGACATGGTATGCCAGGAACCGCCTATTATTTCTATAGAAAGTGTTTTTAACGGCGTCTGTTTACCAAAATGCCATCAGTGGGAAACCCACGCGTTTCTACGTTATGATAATAGTTAATGGCTAATGCAGGAAAAAGGAAAATGTACAGGAACTGTTGTACAATAGTGCGGTTCTCGAAGATTAGCTGATTGTGGCGGCGGAGTCAACACGTCGCCATCCGATTTCGGTACATTCCTTCTGCTCGAGGCTGGTTACAAGTGCACATGTGACTTTTTTTTTTTTTTAAATTATTATTTCTTTTTTTTTTTTGGTCCACCGCAAAAAAAACGAACGGGGGGGGGGGGGGGGGTGCTTCCTTAATACGTCACACTCACGGGGGGAAGGAGGGTTCGGACTTACTTGACGAGCTGTTGGGGAAAGGGGGGGGGGATATCGCAGAAACTGTGACGTCATGCCTTCAACACTTAAAAATATAGTATTTACACCGAATTATGCATTTTTTTTTTATTTTTTTTTTTTATTTATTTTTTTTTTATTGGTGTAAATTGTAAAAAGAATTTATCAGTAGCCTATACCTAATGTTGACCCAGCTAGCTCTATTAATATTTTAGAAAAGAAACCGCCGTTTTAAATAGAACAAATTGCCATGAGATGTAAGGCAGCAGTGTGACAATTCTGAGAATGAAGGTCTGATATTTTCTGACGATGGGGAACAAAAAAGGGGGGGGGGTGGAAGTACTCCAAAAAGCGTTTCTCCAATTGTAGATAACCGTGAAAGATATTTATCATCGCATGGAGCGATAAACTGTTGGTAACGCTAGCACTTTTTTGTGGTTAATTATCTTGTTAAAACATATCCCCGCTCACAGAACTGTCACCTAAACAAAGCTAATTGTCGCCCCTCGCTGGCTTCACAGTGAGTCAGGTCACGAAAAGGTTACCCGCCGCTTTTCATACGTCATTAACACCCGCCATTTCACAACTAGAACTGTTTAGGGAATTCCAAGTTTATTTTAAAATCTTGCTAGTGCCATGACACACCGAACCAGTTTTTTTTTGGTGCACTTGATAACCCCGGTAGGTACAACTATAAGACTAGTTTGTAACATAATCAGTACCGTCTGATTGTTGTTGTCATACCGCTTAGCTTTACTAAATCACACTATGCGTGTATCTAACACCATTGACAACGAAAACTAGATATGTTTTGCCGAACATGAAATTCTCTAAATAAAATGACAATATACTGGCCACACGTTCAGAAGCCTGGCTAGTATATTTAGGCATGCACGCGACTAGAATTTTCAGGATTAAAGGACATGATAGAAAAACACCAGGTAGTGATTGTGTGGATTAGACAAGAATGGGTTAACACATGTGGTAGTTTAAAAACTAGCTCTGGATCACTTTGGATGAAATGCTCCTGCAGGCGATAGATGTGTGGATGACCGATTCCAGTTCAACCTTACCATTTTACTCAAGATTTCAGTCCAAACGCTCCATTGTATCAAAGATTTCAGCCCAAACTTTCTATTGTATCAAAGATTTCAGTCCAAACTTTCTATTGTATCAAAGATTTCAGTCCAAACTTTCTATTGTATTCTCAGGGTTATAGCAGCCAATGGCAACACCCCACCCCTGACTTACAAAAGATTTCAGTCAATACTCTCCAAGATGGAGCCACCTGTACAGCCCAGTGAAACACTGACAGCCCAGATGGTCGCAGGGGTAACAACTCCGGTTGATGATGATCACGATGACCGATTTAATGTACCCTCACTTGATGAATTAGGTAACATCATCATTTGTCTATCTCAGATTCTTAGTCATCCATAGTTGTACAAAATCTTGACTAGATGTAATGAGTTGAGTTGTTAAAGCAAATTAATTTCATTAATGCTAACCCAGAGAATTCAAATATCACACCATCACTTCTGAATTCAAAGAAACAGTTGCCCTTGAGATTGTCTGGTCTGAAAGGGCATTGTACTTTAACATTTTTACTGAACTGTCTAACATAAATGTTTTTTTATTTGCCAGGGTTTGACACAGACACTCTGGGACCCGCTCAGTTCCGTGGAGGAGAATCAGAAGCTCTTGCCAGATTGTATCGACATCTAGAAAGAAAGGTTTGTACACTCAGGCATGCATGCACCTGTCCAGAAACATTTGACTATTTTAAAACAGTTGTTTTTTTTAAAGTGTCCTACATTAGTACCAGATGAGTATCCACATTTGTTGAGATGAGTAAGTTAAATGGGGAAAAAAAATTTGAAATTTAAAAAAAAAAATTTTTTATTTTTACCCATGTAGGCATGGGTGGCCAGCTTTGAACGTCCTAAGATGAGCCCCCAGTCATTGTATCCAAGTGGAACTGGACTCAGCCCGTATCTAAGATTTGGTTGTCTGTCTCCAAGAACATTTTACTGGAAGCTTACAGAGTTATATAAAAAGGTGGGAAATTGTCGCAGTATTATAATTCATGCTACTAAAATGTAATATTTTCATTTTATTTTTTTCAAAAAGAAACGTCATTATTTTACCATAGTAATTTGTTTTTGTTTTATAATCTTTTGCAAGCATTAGAAATAATGGTATTCTAATATTAAAAAAAATATATATTGCTAGCATTATTTATAATCATAATTTTAGATATTTTAATCCTACCCTTGCATTAATGTCAGTTTAAAATTTAATATTTAAAATGTGCTACTGGTATTTTTTAAATAGGTAAAAAAAGGAACAGACCCACCTCTTGCCTTACATGGCCAACTGCTATGGAGAGAATTCTTCTATACCGTGGCCACAAACAATCCAAACTTTGACCGCATGGTGGGCAATGCTATATGTGTACAGATACCTTGGGAACACAACCCTGAAGCTTTGGCTAAATGGGCTGAGGTAGGGATCATTTTTCTTGATAAACAAAAAGTAAACTTCATTCTCTTATCTTAAGTAGGTCTACACATGGTATTATTATTGTCCACAAATACCAATCTCTTCAGCTAAATATCATGGCATTTAGACAAGGCTAGTTTGTTTTTTATGCGTGAGGTGAATAATAACTTGTGTCACTGTTTTTCTTTTCGCTTATTCTTTAACCACACTGTTGTGCTGATGAAAGCCTTGGGTAGAAACATCCATTCCACTTATAATAGTCCTTAATTTGTGATGTCTGTTTGTTTATTATACTTATTATTATTATGATGAATACAATGGTGAAGGCAAGATTTTGTAATGGGGGGGGGGGGGGTTGTGTTAAAAAAAATGTAAGTATATGTTATGGCCAAAGCTCGAAGTGATGCCACTTTGTGGACTGTGATGTAGCTTTTGGTGTGATATACTTTCATTATTCTGGTAGTGGTTTCTTTACAAATAATGTGTAAGTAAAATATATAATATAAACACACACAAATACACTGCTGTCAATTGCTGTAACTTTGTGTGTGTGTAATTTCTGAACCCTCCCCTCCTGTAACCCACCCCCTTTCCAGCACCACTGTGATACAGAGTTATCAACGTTTAACTTGTTTCCCTCTAACAGGGCATGACTGGCTTCCCCTGGATTGATGCCATTATGGTACAACTGAGGAAGGAGGGTTGGATCCATCACTTGGCCAGACATGCTGTCGCCTGTTTTCTCACAAGAGGGGACCTGTGGATTTCATGGGAAGAAGGAATGAAGGTAGGTTTGCCATTTCATCTGCCCTGTAATGCATATAGCATTAACTTTTTCAGTAGATGCTCCAGTTAAATCCTCCTGTGGTTTTTCTTTTATAATAGCTCATCAGTTTGTTCTGAAATGCCTAAAATTCTGATTTAATTTGGGATTCCCAGGTGTTTAATTAAACATTAACTTATGTATCACCAGGCGCTTGATTAAAATTAAAATGTGACTTCGGGTGGTTGATAAAAAATTAATTTGTGTATCACCAGATGGTTGATTAAAAATTAATTTGTGTATCACCAGGTTTTTGATTAAAAATTAATTTGTGTTATCACCAGATGGTTGATTAAAAATTAATTTGTGTATCACCAGATGGTTGATTAAAAATTATTTTGTGAATCACCAGGTGTTTGAATAAAAATTAATTTGTGATTACCCGATAGTTGATTTAAAATTAATTAATTAATTTGTGTATCACCAGGTGTTTGATTAAAAATTAATTTGTGATCACCCGATGGTTGATTAAAAATTAATTAATTTGTGTATCACCAGGTGTTTGATGAGATGCTGCTGGACGCAGACTGGAGTGTGAATGCTGGCATGTGGATGTGGCTCTCATGCTCAGCTTTTTTTCAGCAGTTCTTCCACTGCTACTGCCCTGTTGGCTTTGGGAAGAGAGCTGACCCTTCTGGAGACTTTGTTAGGTAGGAAATACATTGCCGCGTAACATAGTGTGGTTATCCACACTCATTTTTAGAGTGGTTTTTATAGAGGAATATAAAGCATATTTACGTAACTTCTTTTAATTAACTTTTAGTGTAGTTTAAAACAATAAACTTTTTTATTATTTTAATGAGAAAATATTCTAACAGTATTGTTACAGTAATACTGAGCCTATACAAAGACTACACACCTTGACTCCTGTGTTTTATTTTCTTAATTACTTTAAAAAATTAATGTACAAAATCATCTTAGTAAAAAAAGCTTTTTCAAGTAATCTAATAAACTGATCACTCACACTTCTTGAAATGTGGTACAACTGGGAAAAGAATCCAAAAATTTTGAGAAAAAAAACTTTTATTGAAAGTGAAATACAAAAATTTCTCAGTGAAGTATAAAAACACAGATGACTGCCATTAGTTATTAAAATGTCACTATTTAAAGTTGTCACCTCATTCCTCCATAAACTTGTCATTTATCTTGTCAGTTTGTCTTCACTTTTAAATTGTCATTCCTTGCCTCCCTTAATTCAAGTTGTCATTTCTAATCTCCTCTAGACATTATCTGCCTCAGCTGAAAGGATTTCCTACACAGTACATTTATGAGCCATGGACAGCTCCAGAATCTGTTCAGAAAGCTGCTAAGTGTATCATAGGCAAGGACTATCCACTGCCCATGGTGCAGCACTCAGAAGCTTGCAGAGTTAACCTTGAACGCATGAGACAAGTGTACAAAAGACTGGTGCTTAAATCTTCAGGTTGGTCAAATATTCATTTACAACTTGACCAAATTGTGTTGGTCAGTTCTTCATTACCTGTTGTCCAAATAATCCCTTGTCCTACTTGAGATAATCTTAATTTTTATATAATTTTTTTTATTTATCTTAGTTTTTTAAATTTATTAAACTGATAGGTTTTTACTTTCTTTTAAATTAAACTTTCTAATTTAGAAATCCATAAAAACATATTTTTTCAATGCCTTTTTCAGCAACTATAAAAGAAATATAATGTAACATTTAGCATGTTTATTGATAAATTTGTAATGTGCTTTAAGAAAAATTGACTTTTTAAAATAGCATTGGTTCTTTCACATTAAGAATATTTTAAAATATTTTGTATGCATTTTGTGCATGAAAACTTCTTAGATTTGATAAACCTTGCTGGATTTGCATCTCTTCATGTAAAACAACGGGAGTTGCTAGTTATTTCAAATCTTAAATTTTAAAAAAAAACAGATTTTTTTTAAACAGAAGTATTTCATTTGGTTAACAGTATCAGTTTAAAATTGAAGTCATATTCATGTAGCATAACTATTTATTTCTTTTCATACATTTTAAATAGAAATGTCTTAACAACATATTCATAAAAATGTGTGTCTATATCAAATTTATATGGCACAGTACTAATGGAGGCAAGCGAGTTGACGAGATTCCTTCCATAGTGTTGTTGACATGGAATAAAAACATGCTTTTTAGATTTAGACCGTAAAAAAAAATAAAAACTTAAGCCTAAAATTAATTTAGAAATTTTATATTTTTAGAATAAATGCTATAAAAGTTGCAAATCCAGAGAACTTGAAAATAATTTGTTGAATTTAAGGCTACATCTCTATTTATTTTCATCAAGCCTAAGTTATAACCGGATGTTTCACTTTCGTAAGACAAATATTGATTGGCTGTACAGTAACTTAGTGATCGATAACTATTTGTTTACAAAACTTTGCAGATCAAGTTTTTAAATAACAATGCAAATTTAACACCCCATGACCTAGTTTTCTATTTTTAGCTTACAATGTGTACAATAAAATTTGTGTCGGCCTATCCAATAGCAGGATGCCATTGTTTATGTCGCCATTACACGTGAAAACCAAATTGTTTTTGCTTTTTTTTTTAATCTTTATTTAGTTACCGAAGATATTAAAAACATCAAATACGTCCAATCTTTAGTAAAGTCCGAAAAAAACCAGACAGACAGGATTTTATAACCATATTAATTGTAACTACGCCGTGCAAGATTTTAAAATTAATTTATGCACCTCTCAAATACCTTTGAGACTTTTCTCGCTTGTGTCCATTAAATATGTAATTGATTTTTTATAGTGCTCAATTTATATTTTTAAAAACAAAGCTTTCATTTTTTAAATCTATCCTGTAACTCATTTTTTTGCAGTGTGCAAATTTCAAACTCATTTGATTAAAAAAGAACTGAACTAACTTTAATTTTCTCTTTTAACTACTTCAATCTTAAAAATCTCACCTTTTTTCTTAAAGCCCAAAGTCTCTTTTAACTGTTCTGCTTGAAAAATTCTGAAAATATTTCTCATTCTGGAAGTTCTTTGTACTTTTGTTAAATTAGTTGTTATACATAGTGAATATACTACATGCTATAATTAGATGGAATAAAATTATGTGTGTTAATTTTAAATTTAAAAAAATTAAAAATATAATAATTGATTTTGATATTTAAAGTTAGAGTTTACCCAACAATGTGTATTATATTTAAGTAATTTTTTTTTCAGCAAGCAAAAGAATGTTTCTGGATTTACCCAAAATTCCAAAAGGTAATGTTTACATTTTACAATAAAATAATAATCAACTTATCCATTGTATTACTATGTAAGTGACTTTAAGTAGCCTATCTGGTGTATTCAGAAACTTCTACATCCATCATTTTTATTCCTTAGTAAGTTTTTTTCTCAGCAAGTCCTAAATGTTCCTACATTACGTTATTTTTATTCCTTAGTGAGTCTCTTTCTCAGCAAGGCCAAAATGTTCCTAAGCAGCTCCTCAGATGAAGACGTCACACAGAAACAAAGACGCAGGAAGCAAGTGGATGAGTGATCATTCACAATCAATAAACGCCTGACCACCGGTCATGTTGAGTGACCAGCAAGCTTGAGTTGATAAAGCAGACACTGATAGCCACTGCTTTGGCTTTATAGGGCTGTCTAAGGACACAGAGTGGAACAAACATGCTATATTCAGTTAAAGAACTATCTCTTATGTATTAAATATTGTAAACAATTATAGAGAACTGGGCTTAAACAATGTTGCTTGTGGAGAATGAACCACTGTCTGAAAGATAATATGTTAAACATTGCTAAACTGTCTTATTGATACATTTTGACAAACTTACTATTAGTTCTTTTAATAATTCTATCCTTTACTCACGATTTATTACTAAAACATATAAATCAAGTTTTTTTAAATGTTAACTAATCTAAAACTGAATATTACATACAATATTTGTTTAGGCTAATGTTTTAATTTTGACTAAAAAATATTTACCACAACTAAATTCTACTTATTTGTTTCATGCTTTGATCTCTCATAGGAAAAGAAAATGTTTCTTAAGTCTAAATACATGGTGAGTGTGGTGGTTTTGTACTGCTGTGTACTAACTGGGAAATAACTGCGATAACTATGTACATATACATCTAATATGAAGTTTATTTTTTTAAACTGCTTGACTGTTATTCATTGCTTTTAAATAATCATGTCATATTTGAATTTTTTTTTCTGTTTGTACATACTGTAATTAACTACCACAAGAACATTGCTTGAATATGAGACATTCACACGCCTAACATTCCCTTCAATGTCCATTGTTCCAACCTTAAACATGTATCATAAGATCCTATCTCAGCCCTCCACCCTCTGAAAAGGTTGTAATGTACATACATACTGCTATTCACTGTTATATGACCAATACTTGGATGTGAGATGTTCAAACACACACACAAACAACATTCCCATGTTGATTTTTATCCTTGTTCACTTCTAATAATTATGATCATCTTTTCCTGTTTGTGCCCAAGACACATGGGGCAGATGAAGTAGAGTTCATCTGATTTAGATACCTCGGCATATGAAGGGATAGGTGGTCAACACTATGCCCAGCGGCTTTTGCTTTGCCTAACATGAGTTAAGTACCATCAGAGCTAGGTGGACTCAGTGACATTCTACTGACTTGAACCCAGATTCAAACTCAAGACTTTTGGGTTAGCAGTCTACCGCTAGGCCCAGTCTTTCCATAATACTTATAATATTGGGTACAAATTAAAAGCAATGTGGAAACATTAGACCAGTTGTTCTCTCCATTTTATTAGGACAGCTGTTAACTTTTTAGACCATTGTGTTGTTAATGTTTTTTATTTTCTTACCAAATAATGACAATTTTTTTGTATAATATCAAGAAATATTTTTCCTCAAGCTAGATCAGATTCATTATCCAATTAGACCAGCCTGAACATAAGCTTGAAAGAGCTTTTTGCCTTTGGGGCTTTCCAAAACAAAATAATTGTTTGAGTTTTTAAATGAATGATTGAAGTAATATTAAAGAAGGCCAGATTTACCCCAGGCATATTGAATATGTAGAGAATGACTGGCAATTACATTACAAGTTAGATATGAGCCTCGAACTTTTAACGTAATTGCCAGTAGATCACCTTTAGTATATTGAAGTAATGAATTTAGGACCAGAATAAAGTATGTGTTCATTTTATTCTTGTTTGGTTTACATTTTTAGTAAGCCAGGATAAATGTGTGGTTTAAATGTGGGTCAAGGTCACACTGGACAGGACAATGTGAGATTAAGCTTTTTATCTTTCAAAAGCAAACTGCATTATAAGCTCTCCAACTCTTGACAGGCATCATAACTTGTTCTGAAGGAAATCTTTCTTCTTCTTGCTCATTGGTAATGTTGAAGGGGTTTTCTCAGACACAGGTGTAGCAAGTCAACTTCAGCCTACTTTTCATTATGTCTACCCAAGAACAATCTGCAAGGCAGCAGTTGTTTTATTTTGGAGTTTTCTCCCCTAGATGAGTTGCTGTCTCCAGTTAACATGCCTCATCTGCCCAGGTCAAAACTCAGGACTTGGAGTAAGCAATCATATGCTCTTGCCCAAGCACAACATCATAAACAAAGAAATCAATGTAAGAAACAATTGATTTTATTGCTCAGTTGTACAAAATACCTTATGGTGAAAAGTACAAGAAGACTTTGTCATGTTAAAACCCAAAATACACAAACAGTTGTACAAAGTTTCTCTACAATACATTTTGTTTAATAAAGCCACTAACAAAATAAGAATAATGGCATTTAAATTTTTTTTAAATTAAATCTAACAAAACAAATACAATTGTACTAAGTTTTAAAAATATCAACCTAGATATGACAACAGGTACAACTGTAATGAAGTTTTCAAACATTAGGCAATTTTTGTTAATAAAACTACTTGAAATATTATTTAACATTCGCTTCTTTATACTGAGGTTATTAAATACCTTTACACAGATGACAATATTTTTATGAATGTTTTTCTAACCATACACGATGACTCATACACCTACTCATAAACAAGTAGACTTGTAATACTTGTGCAAATGACTAGTAGTAAAACAATGTTAACATGACCTGGTGACATTAAAGTTTGTCACCGACAGCAAAAGGAACATTTTCCTTTACACAGGATTCAAATCAGTTGACAAGATCTACATTAAAAACTTGTTTTAATTATATCTAGTAGGTTTAAACACCAACAATGTCAACATATTAAGGCATTCTCCCAGTAAAACTATCTCAAATGAACCCATTACATTTGCATTCATGAAGCTAATTTTAATTTAACACTGAAGTCTGCTACTTGTTTTAAAACAAAAAAAAATCAAGTCAGATAAATGTTTAAAAATATAAACAAAGTGAAAAATGTAAACAACAGAAGTGTTTAATAGTGACAAGAATGATTATAGACTAGCTTCACTTTGTTTATTTATTTTAAAAAAGGCACATTAAAGTTTTAAAACTACTCAAACCTAACATTTTAATTGTAAGAATAAAAAATTAGAAATAATGATACAAGACAGATAAAATGTATGTACACAATAAACACATGTCTTCAGTGTGGAGAATAATTTGTATGCAATTATAAAACAGAGAAATCATATGTCAAATCTAGAGATGTTGATCAGATCATGATAAATCAGAAGTCATATCAAGACATGCTGATCAGTACAATTTCGTAAGAAATGTTGATCAGGAATAATTTTTGTTAAGAAATGTTGATCAGGAACAAATGTTTTAAGAAATGTTGACCCAGATGAATGTCTTTATTTGAGCAGAACAACAGAACAGTGTGAGTTGCATTTGGAACAAACCAATAACAAAATATTTCATGTTATACATTAATTACAATAAATTTAATTTTTTTTTCCTTCACAAAAAAATTTAAAAATTAACTATCCATTTTTTTTAAAAACATCTATTTCTTTAAAAAGTTTTTTTTCTGAAAACATGAAAATGTTGCAATGTTCTCTGTGTCAAAGACAGTACATATAAATGAATGTTAAAACTTAGTTATTAATTATGTCATGAGTAAAGCATACTGAAACATTCTTGAATGGTGTGGGTGACTAGAGGGAGATACCACAAAAACATAGTCAACCACTGACTTCTATATCCATGCTGCCACTATAAACTTCATGAAACAATGGATACAATATGGTTACTACAGCCAACAAACAGACCATTTATTACAGAATAATATTAGGGTTATTATAAAATTTACACCTGATTCTCATTGTCTTATGACAACACATGCATGTGAAATCTAAATGCACAATAACAATAAACCAATTTAAAAACCATTCATCCAATGATTCTCATTGTCTTCTGACAATGTAAGCTAGTGAAATCAAGAACAATAACAGTTAATCAACTTAAAACCATTCATCCATGTCTTACCCTGTGACACTTCTAGTAAAATGAGCTCACAACTATTTTTTTTAAAAACTATATAATAATTAACTCAGAGCTGATCATCCTGTTCTATTTTTAAATTGTACACTTATGCCTTAAATCCACTCTTAAAGTTCTTAAAATCCACTTAAAGAAACATATAGAACTGTTTTAAAAAAAAATCATGTTCATTAAAAACACACTGGCCTTGACATCCAAATCCTTATTTAAATCCATGCAGACAATCACTCTATAAATGCACATGACTAAAAACATTTAACATACTGTACAATTTTAATGCTTGTTATTTACATTCACATAAAAAACTTCAATGGGTTTTTTTATATTTTAAGTAAAATGTCAGAATGGTTTTATAGTGTATACCTTTTAATCAACAGGTAAAAAAGCTAGTTCTTATAATGTGTAATTAGGTGAACCAACTATTTTTTTAACAAAGTAAACGCACATTATTTACGTTCACAATAATTTTATAATAAGCTTATTAAGCTTGTGTTTAACTTAAAATAAACACTGTTTAATAAGCTCATTTATTTTAGATCTTGAAGTAGAATTCAGTTATAAAAAGTAAACCAAATGTAAGTTATCCTTAGTTATTCAACAAAGTTAAAACATAAAATATTGCACTTTGGGTCTTACATCAACAAAAACATTTTACAAAAGCAAGTTTTCCACAGAAATTCTTAATATTTAAAAAAATGGTTTCACTCACAACAGGGATGATAACTGTCCCAATAAAACAGTGAATAAAGCAATAAAAAATAAGAATTGTTTAGCTCGCACCATAGAAAACTGTCTCAATATAACTGTGAGTAAAGCAATAAAAAACAAATTAAATCATACAAAGGAATAATTTTAGATGAGTTATCCATACAACACACAACTTTCTCTGAAGTATACTTCCAAAATATATCAGCAAAATTTTGAGCATTAAATGCACTGTAAAATCTTTCTTTAGGGGTTGTAATATATGACCAATAAGTGATTATTTTTTAAACAACATGATAGAACTAGATATTTATCAGATTCAAACAGTATATTTATCATCAATTTTATTTAATAATCCTGTGTATACAATCTATTTTGTAAAGGAGATTATTTTTTAGTTGAGCTAACTTTTCTTGCTTTGTTACTTTGCTATTTACACACACAACAAAAACAACTTTGAAAGCATTTGTATTCACTTTGCTTAAGTGTTGCTAGTATGTTATTTTGATGTTTATGTTACCACTTATGTTCTATTTCTCCCTCTGTGGTTAACAAGCAATTAGATCAGGGGTCTCCAAACTACGGCCCGCGGGCCTGATGCGGCCCGCGAGGTCCTCTCATCCGGCCCGCGGAGATCTTTTTGTCCACGGGAAAAACGTTTGTTGGTGATGGTTGAGGAACTTTGCCCAGAAAAATCAAAGACATGCCTGGAAGAAACTGGCCCCTGAACTGAAATTTGATAGTTAATGCGGCCCTCGGACTGAAAAGTTTGGAGACCCCTGAATTAGATGACAGCTATGTAGTTATACATGTACACCTACCAACTAAATTCTGTCTACATAAATTAACACAACTATAGGCCAAAAATAGTTTGAGTCAATATCGTGTACTTTTAAATATCTGAAAAAACAAATATACAGTCAGTAGCAATCACTTGTTACAAATGCCTTGTACCATATATGTCGACCTATTCAAAGTGTTGACACCTAAAGGAATGTTACTGAAATTTCAGTGGAATGCTCAACAGTGCTTTGAATAGTAGCCATCGTTTAAAATAAAGGTCTTGGCAGTTTAAATGTCCACATATGAGAAACCGTTTACCAAAAACAAAACATTAAGCCAAAAAGTATATGTAGCAAGCTTAATAATAAAATCTCCTGCCAATCACCAAAATTTTGTAGGTTTATCTTCCATATGCTCAGTGACAAGAACGCAACAACTAAGGCATATCACTAATGGTACTGTTATGGCGAGTTTTCCTGACGCCTTCATCGTCTTCTTTTGGGCGTGTTGTGTTGGACAGTGCAGCCGTGCGGTCAAAGTCTATCATGGCATAGCTCTCAGTTTTCCTGCTGGGAGATTCAGGGAATGAGATGCAACTTGTGGGGGAGGTTGGTGAATTGTTGCCAGGTAAGCTATCATTACTTTGGTTCTTGTGGTCAATGGTTATGTAATTAACCTGCAAAAAAAAAAAAAAAATTCAAAATTTACATTGCTAAATTGTTTTATACTGTATGCTTAAACATGTGACAAGCAGTACACTATTAAAGTTTGTAGCACAGTAGTAGACCTGTCTAAGGGAATGTGTGAATTTACTGATTAAATAAAAAATGAACACCATATTAACCAATACATACACTATTGACCTAAATGTAAACAAAAATTACTATTTATACAAATGAAGCCTTATACTAAAAATATTGTTAACAAAAAAAATAGGGTTTATAACAGAATTGTTCTGCTTACTTTAACCAAACAAAGAAAATGAAAATAAAAGTTAAATAAAAAAACCAACTAAACCTAACACAGACATGGTAGAGATACCTGAAATATGTATAACTGGTGAGATTTTAGTGAGTGGTATGCAAATGTGAATGAAAATGTACCTGGTTGAACAGCTTATGAACTCTAGGTATCACATGAATGTCCAGGTTAGCATAGTTGCATGTGATTGGCGGAAGAATTATTTCATCATTGACAGGTGGGGCAGCAGCTGCAGGGGTAGCTCCCTCATCCAAAACAATGTTTACGTAATTTGAGCCAGCAGCGCCCTCTGGTGGGACATCTGGTAGGAAAACATCTGAATCTCCAGACTGTAGGATATTGTCTTGAGAAATGGCAGCAAGCAGTTCACTGGGCATTGAAATACGATTACCTACAAAAAAAAAAAGATTGTTTATATCCAGTGTAATGGAATTTATGACAAACTTTAAACTAGCTCATTGGATGTGTTGACAAAATAATGCATCTTTCAAACCCCCCCCCCCCCCGCCATCTCAACTCAAGTTTACCAATACAACAACTTACTGCTTTCTGCACTAATCATCCCACCAATGGACAAGCTGTGTTGAGACAGTCTGTTACCAACATCTAACCCAGTCAGCCTTTTGTCCACATTGTGCACGGCTCCCATACCAGACTCATCCAGCAAGTTCTCCATGCTCATCATACTGGGCTGTGTGTCTGGCATGCATAACTCAGCATAATTCACCTGTACATGGACCATCATTACAAAATTAATCTCATTGCTATATGTGTGTTTTTTAGAGAGAGAGGAAACATCCTACTAAAAATTTTCAATGGAAAGAAATGGTTTGTATCATAATTTTCAACTAACTTCATACAAACCAAGAAACAAACATAACAGTTAAATATAATAACCTTTTTAAATTATTTCTTTTTAAAATAGCTACTTTTTAACACATACTTATATTTAAATGAAAATTTCAAAGAATTATTAACTGCTGCCACTTACCTGAGACCTGGTGGCACCTGATCTAATCCCAGGTGGGTTGTGTAGAAAATCAATCAGGGCAGCCGTCTCATCAATTTGAAAAGCACCGGAGTTAGCTTTGGTAGCTCCAGTGTTGACGTACTCATGCCCAGCATCTTCAAGCACTATGCCGTTGACGTACAGATGAGAACTGCCATTGCCACCACTGGCAGCTTGGACCTCTTGACCTGGCACTGTGAGCCGACCTCCATTAACAGGTGATGGGTTTTGTGTTGTTGGCAAAGCTGCGCTTGGCCTGGTATTTTAGGTGAAAAATGATTAATTAAAAGAGGGGGGGGGGGGGAATGGGGGGGAGGAGTTTTCACAGCTGTTTATCTAAATACTATAGAGCTAGGTAATGCAAAAATACAACATCAAAAGCTATTTACTAAAAAAAAAAAAACAATAGATATTTTCATTAAATTTAACTAGCTAAATTATGAATTTAGAATTCCTTAACCAAAACAGAATACCAAAAAATAATTGAAGAAGAGTATCCGTTAACAAGTATAAAGGAACTCTTTTAGGACCATATTTCATTCAGGTAGACACAAAATTAATAATTCAGTTTTCTTTGATTTAAACAATGAAAGAGTATTTGTAAGCTTAGCAGAACTGTGTAGCTTAAAACTTAATATTTAAATATAGCTATATGGACTTGAAAGAATTAAACAAGACTTTGAGGTTAGCATAGCTTTCTCACTTTTAACAGTAACCCTTACATTTAAAACCTCTCATGCTATATGGCAGTATTCTTGCAATGTTTGACTTACCTATTGTTGTATTGCACTCCAGCGACTGGCATAACATGTGTCTGACTTAGCTGTTGTCCTCTTTGGTCTTCTTCTCCAGCTCTCTGTAAACTCTCCTGGACTAGATTAAAGAGCTCCTCTGCATTAGCACACTTAAATGCATAAATACCAGGGCCCATTGTACACCTCCTGCCACTTTCAAAAGAAAACAGCTCAGCATCAAACCCATACCTTCTTAAGCATCGGAGTGGCCACCTAGAGGAATAACAAATTTATATTGAATTTCTTTTTACTAAATAGTTTTTATTCAAGCAAATGTCATAAATTAATTTTTAGAAAGACGTGTACAGATCAACCGTAATGCAGGACAGTAATGGCTAACTTCAAAGAAACAGACAATTTTTCTGAAAACTTATAAGCTGAAATACGTTGAAAAACATAGAGCAGGAGATGGATAAATCATATTTAACCCTTTATTTACGGAATTATGTTCTGAATGAATTTTTTTCTTAAACAATGTGTTATCATATTGCTTTTGGCACATTTAAAGCATATGTCGAAGGAAATTTTGTTTCATAAATTTTTAAGGGCCCAAACATGTATTGGTACTTATAAGTACCGTCAGGAATGTAGGACATTTTTTCCAAAAATTAAAAAATTTACAAAACAGGAAAAAAACTATACAACTTATTAAATAATAACATGGCAATCATTATAACAATCATTTTTTTGTAATTTCCACACATAAACACGCACAAAAGTATATTTTGAGTACGATTTTTACTGGATTTTCTATCGGAACACATCTTAGACCTCAAACACAGCAAAAGGTGCTGACATGTCATGCTCCCTCATTCCACATTGCTGAGACATTCTTGTCTGTCATCTTTCTGGTGTGGCAACAGTTGCCGGACTGAACCTGCTTTTGCTGGAGGCTTCCAATAGCCATTACAATGAGCCGCATAAACAAATATTTTGAAAACGAAATCCTAGTCATTCAGTACACTACTACTAGTAATGCTAGTATAATTGTAGCCTACTAGAATGTTATGACAAGTCTACACTACAGTGTAAACTTCATATATAGAAGTGAGCTAAATGTGTTTTGAATAGCCGTAGTGGCCTACTGTTTTGTGTTTACTGATTCAAAATTACAAAACTATCTATACTACATGCAGATGTATGGACTATTACTAGTCTACATGTATACATTACGTACACGCTAGCTATTGTATGCAAGACAGTTTTTTTGCAACAAATATAACTTACAAATCTTACTTCTAGAACTAGACTTTGGTATACACATAACGTATACTAAACCTAGAAAACGAGCCTGCAACTGCCACCTCTATTCTTGTTATTCTTTTACTACTAGAAATCTGCAATTAATTACAATATTTCTGAAGAAAACCCTATGCTAACCTTCTTATAAATGCATAAATATATTTTTTTAAGTACATTTCGATATATAATTATCAAAATAATATTTATGTCACTCCACACCGAAAATCAGCAATTTCCAAGAAATCCTAAAAAAATGTCCGTGTGCCCTGACGGTACTTATAAGTCCACTTGTAAACATCGATCTATTACAAAGACAATTTGATAAAAATTGTATAACTAGAAGTTAGATGCATTTGCCTGACTATTGAAGATGCCAATAAAAAATATTCGGTGTTGAAAACGTGAAGAATAAGGTAAAACAAAGGGAAATCAGGAACACATGTGAGATATGTACAGAACAATTGTGAACTACCGATACAGGTAGAGATTGAAAATGGCGCCACACCAGTAATTTTCAAAAAACATCGTTCCCTCAACCTACCTGTTACTCAAGGGAGATAATACTATCAATTACATCAATAATTTTTAAAATTCGTCTTAAATTAAAAATAATACAGGCGCTTAATTAAAGTGGTACTTATAAGTACCGTCAGTAGATAAAGGGTTAAGGATGAAACAAACAAAATTAAACAAAAACTTGTACTCTTGTTTAAACATCAAATAAAATCTTATAATTACTCTGATTACCTAATAGTATCTTTTCCTTTCTGGTATAAAATAAGATCATTGTCCTTGATTTCAATTATTCCTCTGTTCAATTCAATACCTTGGTCATCCACATTATAAACTTTAAAGGAGCGAATGCCCCCATTACTCCCACTTTGTCCTGAGTATGTACAGCCCATTTTATCTGTACAACTCAATCAAGGCCTACACAATGAGAAAAATTTATAAACTAATAATACAAATAAATAAATTTTAAGGGTGAAATAGCTAATACTATATAATTATTAAGTATTCTTCTAAAGATATGATCCAACTCTTTAAATTAATCTTTTTTTTTTTTAATTATTTCTTTGTTTTTGTATTTTTAAAAATATAAGCAAAATTTTAAATAACTAAACTAAAGTAATAAAATGTACCTGCTGTGTCACCATGATTCCCATTACTGAAGCTGTAAAAAAAAACAGAGCATAAATTAAAAAGAACTACACAGGATGGTATTAATAATGTAGAGTGTGAAACAATACCAGCTGCAGTAAGGCTAATAAATGCCCATTATTGATTTCAAAGTTGAATGGATGAGTCATGTCAAGACTTTATTATTTGCCAGCTCCATGGTCATGCATGGTGGTCTCCAGTATGATTTCATGGTTTCTTGCAGTTTATTATTCTTGCTATTCTTTTTCAGTTATTTGGCCTATCAATTTCTTTATAGGCTACTGTTTCTCAGAATGTTTTTTTTTTAATCAGAGCCTTCTGACTTGCTATGTCAACTATGTGTATTCTTCTAATTTCAGATAATTTTATTCTATAAGCATATTCTCTTATAGGATTTTAGTCTTTCCCTTTCAAGTTATATTGTGTAGTTTAAGCCTGAATTTATTTATTTTTTTGGTAAACCTATAGTACAACCCCACTCACAAAAAGCATTTAATCATGATGATGAACTGGACATGAATACACCTTACTGTCAAACATCACAAAAGGGTAATGCACTCTGGAGTCCTACAGCCTACACTTACTTAACTTACTAGTCTGCAGCTGACAAGACATAGTCTAATAGATCTAGCTTAGAACTGGTTGTGTAAGACCAAATCAAAATCACTGGGCACAATAATTTGGCTACTAAGTTGCTAAACTAAAAGACCTTACTAAAAATGGATTGGAAGATCAATCTAATTTCTAATCTATCCACACTCTTGAATCTACACTAAACAATACAGTAACAGCAGTATTTTGACAATGTATTACATTATCTGGGCCACTCTCTAAGCCTAGATTCTTTGTACTTCTACACAAGAATTACCTGAAAAATTAGACAAGTAGGGGTTGTGATGCAAACAGTGAAACACAATGGAGTGGTTTCATGTAGTACAACAAAGTTTAGATCTAGAGTCTAGAGTTACTTAAAGTTAGTAGACAATTAGATCAATTTTTATTAACTTTATTAATTATTAGGTTGAAAAACTTTTCTAAAAATTTTAATTTTAATAGATCTAGGCCTACAGGCCAAATTTAAAAAAAAAAATTAGGCCCTAAACACCAAGCTTGCTCTCAGCTGCTTTTTTACTAGATTTCTAAGTTACTTAAAAATTATTAGCTTAGATCTAGACTAGGCTTAACTTACTGTTCTAAACTAAACTAAACACTAACTATTAAAGTAATTAAACTAAAATTCTAGTCTAGAGAGTCAGAGAGAAGTCGAGTACTCTGCTACTCTGAACTTCTGAAGAGTGAAAGTGAAGAGAATCTGTCCTGATAGATTACTAATTTACTAAAATAATAGATCTAGATGTTTAAGGTTTTTAATAATATTTTTAAGAAGCAAGTAAATAACAATTCGATCTAGATCTAGATCTAAATATATTTATTTCAAATAAAAAAATTAAGGTTGATCATACTTCTGTTATTTTAATGTTGGGCAAGAAGTTGAATAGGTAAACCTACTTCCGTTTCTTCAAACCTTGACCTTATTTCTTGCCAGGTGCTCTTTTCGAATTCTCCAGCAAGAGAAATTTATTTTTTGAATGTTAATCCATTGTTATGCTTAGGCATACGCTTCGAATTTAAAAATTTAAATTCACTGGAATTTGATTTTCTTATATTAATATATAGATGTCGGTATCTAAGTGGCAGACCAATTTTATCATTATATTAATATCCTACCTAATAATTTTGAAAACATTCTTAAAGAAAAAATCTAGTAGCCTTTTAATTTACTTATATATAAATGTCCATCTTACATTTATGATTTAGCTTTGATTTTGGGGAGGGGGGGGGAGATTGGAAATGATCGTTTTTTTGTGCATATTTATGATAAAGAGAGTGACGTCACATGTTTCAAGTTGAGAAAAAAGGTTATAATAAGTATGTTTAAGTGCTGATTTTAGCAGTTACAAAAATTGATAACTGTTTAAGAAACCGGCCAAGCAATAAATCTAGATCTAATACTGACTACGATTTTCAGCTTAATATGGATTTGCAACAGTTTCGGCAAAATGAATCCAGCTAATTTTCATTAGTAGGGGAAAAAACTGTTAATATTGTTTACTAATTCAGCCTAGCTAGGTTATGTCCCCTTAAGAAGAAAACTTAGTTAATAAAAATTATCAATTTGAAGTAAATATTTTAACAAAATTATGAAAGCTAATTTATTTAAAACTGTATTTTAAAACCATTTTCAGTACATTTCCTTAAAAATTTGAAGTTTTGCACATTGAATTGTTTCCATTTTTTAGTTGGTCTGCTGCATTGCTGCTGTTAGATAAAAAGCATATCTGTAGACTTTCCATCACTTTCCCAGCCTTTGAAATTAATTTTTAGTGTACATGGGCGGCAAATTGACCTGTAAATGCTAAATTTATAGTTTAATGTTAATTACCACAAAACCAATTTTTTTTAGTTTTTAAATATGCTATCTGCATATAAAGTGCTTTATTTCAACTTATTTTTTTTTTAAATTAATGGTGCATGTGTATGCAAGGACGAGTAGGTCTATGATTATCTATAATCAATTGTTGCTAACTAGTAACACAACTGGTGTCATGATATTCAATTTTAAAATCATGAGGACTGATCATTTTTTAAAAAAAAAATTTTTAATTTTATAAAAATAAGCCAAAAATAATTTTGTATGGATTGGCTGTGGACTCAAGGGAGAGACTGACCAGGGGCCACAATAATGGTATTGAAAATTTAGAATCTTGTATGATAACCCCTGGTGCCTCTTTACAATTTTCAGCCAAGGAGCCCCAAACAAGCTTAGATTATCTTTAGGATGAGTGCAGGAATAACTATTATATTTTAGTAGATGGTAAAGAAGACCAAGAAATGACCAAGAAATGAAAATAAACAATTGATCAAGTTGTGATACTAAGATGTGAGTGACCACATGAAAAAAATACAAAATTTATTTTCATGCCTGAAAAATAGCCTAATTCTCAAAACTATAAAAATGAAAGCTTTTCTTCCCATAAAAAGAATTTGGTAATAATATATCCTTGAATATACATATGCGGTAAATAGAAAAAATGCGCACAAATATGTGTGCAGGGGAATTTATTTTTTACTGTTCATATAGAGATTTGCAAAGGATGACAACATGTACATAATAAAACATCTTCCACAAAATACGACAAAATAAAAGTGCATTTACATAAAAAATAAATATTTGCACATTTCCTGATTGTGCAAAGTTAAAATACCTCTATAGTAAAATAAATTATGTGAGAAAATATAAAATCCCTTGGGTGATCATATGTATGCTAAATATGTCAAAAAGCTTTTTAATATTTAAATTTTACCACCTCCCACTGAGATTTTGTTTGAACCCCCTCCATCCCCCCAAAAATAATGCAGTAAGATATGTATGCAACTTTACCAACAATTGGACAAAAAAAAACATTATAAAAAAAGTCAAGTAAAATAGCTTCTAATGTTTTTCAAACTGTTTGACTTTATAAAAATATACTTCTGTTTTATTTTCAACAAATTCAATGTTTATAAAATATCCAACAATAGATGCAATAACAAAAATGTTCTATCTGTTCTGAAGAATGGCTTCCAACAGCGATGTGACTTTCATAAGAGAATGGGCAACTAAAGGGAAGTAACTGGAGATCTTTGCCAAAGCCCTGTCCAGCCTGGTTTGAGCTTCATGTAAAAAATACTGAGGTACACAGCACCTGTCTCGCCACAGCTTGGCTGTTTGTTCTAAAGCAGATATGATGAAATAACTGTTTTCAAACAAACTCGGGTCTACCGGCTCATTTGATCGCTGGCTGTGTTGCAGCTGCTCACAAAACAGCTCCACATACTCAACAAGTGATTCTAGAATAGACAACAGCAATGGGAGACAACTACACTCCATGAAGATAAGCAGCATCTTGACCAGTGAGCTCTTATGACGGTGTGTCTGCATGATGTGAAATATTTGAAAACAATTTCAGCCATTTAAAAAAAAAATAATAATTTCTGAGAATAAGAATTTAATTTATAAGAGCCTACTATAAACTACAAGAATTTATAAAATGTAAAAATGAGTCTAATGATGAACTTAAAGAAAAAATTCCCTTTTGGAATAAGTTTGGAAAAAAATGTTGCAACTATTTAAAAGATGGTTGGTTTTTTTTTATATTTCTGCTGTTCATGCTGTTATCTTCATAAATAAATTAAGTCAGATTAGGGTTTAACAAAAAAATGTGTTGATATGTCTTACTTATGTTTTAACAAATACCAATCCTATAGATTTACATACAAATAAAGAACTTACAGATACGGTATCATCTCTTGAAGCCTGAAGTAACTGACAGATAATTTGTTCAACCAATCTGCAAACCCAACACATAAAGTCGTCCTGCTCCTGCAGCCAATGAAATTTCTCAATGATAGAACTGATACTTGAAGCAGCTTCACATAAGTTTGTTTGTGAAACTGTCATCATGCCTCGTCCAATCATGTCACTCATAGACTGGATACAGTGTTTAGCTGAATCTGATATAAGATGATTCTGTGAATGAAAGTGTTTCAAGGTATTAGAATGCTTGAGAATAAATAGTAATAGTAAAAACAGTTACAGTACAGTAAATTTGTTTTGATTTCCATCTGTCCATCATGGGAGATGACCCACTTGTTTAATAACTATTGTGTGTATAGAAGTTTGAACATCTGGACTCTAAATAAACATTTCTCAAATGTTTATACAGTTTTATATTCATATACAGAATTGTATCAACATATAATGCTTGATGAATTTAAATAAATAAAGATTTTGCATCATATTAGCCTATAAAATTTTTTGTCTAAACACCTCGTGAACTTGAAAATAAAAAAAATGAATTACTAAAATAGATAAAGAAAACAATCAGATAGTGAACTGTGACTTTTCTTCTCTTGCCATTTAACAGTAGGGCCAACTAAAAGTTTTACCACACACACACATATGAAAAATTAATCCAAACCTCTAAGGTAGGTTGACTGGCAAGCTTTTGAAGAGAACAAATGCTTTGCATAAAAGAAATGCTTTCAATCAAAGTGGCTTCATTATATTCATTGTGACCTTTTGCAGCTTCAGGAAATGAAATAAATAAATAATTTGTATAATATGATACATCCAGTTTTCAATCATTGCATTTATGGAACAAGTTTAATAGAGAAATTGTGGTATTTTACATTTTGGTAGCATTGTCAGCAATACGGATCAAAAAGCATTAGTCATTTTGCTGTTTTTGGCCTTATTAATTTGAAGCACAAATTTGAGTAAATTGTAAAAGTAACATTTATCAATAAAGAATTACAAACTGAAGAAAATTATCACCTGTAAGTCCCCTGGTTTGATTATTGTAGGATGATAATGTTGAGATCTTTTCATTTGTGTGCAGCCTAGCCTTAAGGATTTCTTCATGCAGTTTAGTTTGTGATAGCATATACAATGCCTGAAGCTTCTCTGTATGTTTTCGTGCACTTTCCTTAGCAGGTTTATTTCGAATTATTGCTACAGCTACAGCTAATTTAAACCAAGATGCATCTAGTTCTGAAATTTAAAAAAAAACCTTTGTTTAAATTTTCTATATTTTAACTACAATAATATAACAAAATGCATAACGCAGAACTAATGTATGCAGCATAATTTATTTTAAGATTTGACTATAAGTTATAAGCTTCCATTTAAAATTTAAACTAAGCTAAAAAAAAAAGGGGGGGGGGGGGTGGCAACCATAACTCAAGAAACTGATTTTTTAAAGTTACAGTATAAAAATAAAAATGATGAATGAGAAAATAAAACGTTTTCAATAAGTTTTCTTTTTAATTATATTCTAGTTCTTAGTAGTTCTAGATCTAGATCGGTTATAAACTAGCTAGCCTAGTTACATACATAATTTATAAAAAAATTAATTTTGGTGTCACCCCTTGGACGGTGTCATCCTTCCCCCCCCCCTTCCAGACATTGTAACTTGTTGACTAGCGACTAAATACTAACTAAACTAATGATGACTCAATGAGCAGCTAACAATAATCATTTAATCTGATCTAGATATATTCTACATTCTTACTATTCTACTTACTAGATCTACTTGGCGAATAAGAATTTGAAGAAAAATCTTTCATTTTCATAAATTCAGAATTCATTCATAAAAAAATATTAGATCTAATACTCAAATAAAATCATGTAGATCTATCAATCAAATAAATGTTAAATGTTATTAAATTAATGTATCGCACGACGTATTCCCATTCACTATTCAGACGTAATCGTATGCACATAGATTCTAGATCTAGATCTAGCCAGAATCTAGTATATTATTTTATTATAGATCTAGATCTATGCAATTAAAAATGTCGTTGTATATCTAGCCGTTGTATTACTATTGATTCACTATTGAAATATTAAAAATGCCGCTGCCTGCCACTTGAATGAAATAATAAATCAAAGACCCCCGCCCAATCACTTTCGATTTCTTTCGCTCTTAGATAAAGGAAACCACTTCTTATGTGTTCCGGCGTCATGGCGCTCGTGGTCGTCATACAAAACAAAATCATAACAACCGGTTAGCAGTAGGCAAAAAGCCATCGTATTTAGATCTCTATTACTATTTATTCAATGTATAATAAATACTCTACCAAAGTGGTGCGCCCTGTGATTAATTAATAAATGATTAGATTAGATCTAGATCTATGTTTAATTCCAAATTAGGCTAATATTAAATTATTATTATTATTATTCATTCATGGGGTCATGGGACATAATTTCTGAAATTTCATTATTTTGAATCTTTGAATTTCAAAATTTGAATTTTGTTATATTATTATTTTTTATATTTCTTTTTGTTATTGAACTTTGTTTGTCTTGTTAGCAGAGAACTTGAGAAAATGAAACAGATCTAGATTCTATATCTAATGTTTTAATTAAAAATTAATTTATTAGGCCTATCTTTCAAATTGAAATTAATTAAAATTAAACTCTTAAGGATTAAACTTTTTAAGCACTAATGATAAGTAAGTATAAGTAATGTTAACTATTGTTACTAAATTAGGCCTAATTAAATAAAACTGAACATTTAAAATGTATGTATAAAATTAAAAAGTTAACTTTTAGTCTGTTTAAATTAAAACTATTTTCAAAATGTAATAAATAACCTGATGGCCAATGAGGCAGATGAAGTAGAGTTCATCTGTTTCTCTGACCTTAGCATTTAAAGGGATAATGCAGTCAATAGGCTACCATTCTATGCCTAGCCACCTTTACTTTTTACTTTCCTTTGAGTCAGGTAGCCCACCTATCAGAGCTAAATGGACTCAGGAAACTGCTATACATAAGCGAGTTTGAGATAACATCTTTAAGCCAAAAAGTTTAAGTAAATAAGTATTGACACTATTATGATATTATAAACTATTATGTTAGGCTATAAAGAATAAACACAGATTTGCATAACTTACGCCTAATATTATTAGTAGTAATAAAAATGATTATAATAAGAAAACCATGAAAAAATGTTCTCAGAAAAAATCAAGGCAATGAAAGTTTTTTTTCATTCTACGTTTAATTACATTTTTTTTTCTCCAGATACCATAAGACCCCATAAAAATGTATCGTAGAACATACCAAATCTCAAACTGTGTTCAAAATTTGAAAGTATCTGTAAGTTTTATCAAATTTTTGTTTCTAGCATAATATTTAAACTTGTTTTGAAAACAATGGAACGAATGACTATGGTGAAAATTATAAAGAAATGAATATAAATAACTGGTTTACATTACAAGACAAAAAACTTTCCCTCTTTAGATCTAGTTCTCTATAATAAAATATAGGCCTAATCATTTTTATTTGTTTATTCTGATACTTATTTCCTAGGAACAAGAAAATATAATGTGGATATAATTTTGTATTCAATATGTTTTTTTTACAGGACACTTCAAATCTTTATATACTGAACTATAAATACAGTTTTTTAAAATGCTTTTCTCATAAGTCTTCAATCTGTTTAATAATGCAAATAAAAATAATTGTTTCTCTGCCTTTTTTTGTTAGCTCACACATACATCTTCAGCCTCAAATTTTTTGACAGAACGACACCAGTGAAGACAGTAAAACTGATGATGACAATGAAATAGATGAAAGTGTAAGAAAACAAGTCAGCAAAGTTTGGCTGGATATAGAACAACAATGTAATAAGACTACCAGCCCAGCCAGTGAGAAGGGAGATTCAGATGACCAGTCAACAGAGGACTGGAATGTTGTGAGGGTTTTTGTTTCATCAACCTTCACTGATTTTTTCAATGAGAGAGAGGTGCTAGTGAAAAAAGTAAGTCTGGGTAGCAATAGAAGTAAGGATTTTGGTATGTTCAGAGATGTGAATCCAGTGTTTTAAAGAGTCACGTCAGTGAAAAACATTCAACTTTTTCAAATTAATTTTATTGTCTGTGTCATTCTGCCCACACTTTTTAACCAGCATAATAGTCATGGTCAAAATCTACTGAATGTTCCTTACCAGATGGCCTCATAGTGCTTGGCAGGGTCCTAACTAAATATCTACTCTACCAGACCCTAACAGCCTTGGCCCTAACAAAAACACTCCTCTACCAGACCTTTAACAGTTAGTCTTGGGCCTAACTAAATATCTACTCTACCAGACCCTAACAGTCTTGGCCCTAACAAAAACACTCCTCTACCAGACCTTTAACAGTTAGTCTTGGGCCTAACTAAATATCTACTCTACCAGACCCTAACAGTCTTGGCCCTAACAAAAACACTCCTCTACCAGACCTTTAACAGTTTGTCTTGGGCCTAACTAAATATCTACTCTACCAGACCCTAACAGTCTTGGGCCTAACTAAATATCTACTCTACCAGACTAACAGTTTGTCTTGGGCCTAACTAAATCACTCCTCTACCAGATCGTTAACAGTTAGTCTTGGTCACATATGAGGTACAAGTACAGGTGAAATGCAGACATGACGTGAGCCAACTTATCAGAGTGATAAAATATCTGTCAAATCCATTTAGTGGATCTGTGGTTTAAGATTTTTTCTGTCTATACTAATCTGCCCTGTCTTTACTAAAACTAATTCTGTTTGTTTTGTTATGACATTGAAATAACACTGTACAGTTTACAAGTGACATAGTTCTTGTTACCTCTAATGACTGTTCTGAGCCAAGTAAAATATGATTTGTCTCTGCCAACTCACAGGTGTTTCCAGAGCTGAGAGAGTGGTGCCAAGACCGTGGCTTGAAACTAGTAGAATGTGATTTACGTTGGGGAGTTCCCAAAGACTCGTCAACATCAGATACAATTCTGATTTGCCTAGATGAGATAGAACGCTGTCGCCAGACAAATAAAGGGAAGCCGTTCTTTATAAATCTCTCAGGAGAAAGGTGGGACTTTTTATTTTCTCTTTTTTTTTTATTAGCATTAGCTACTTTTTGTGTTTTATTATTGTTTTCTTGTTATGTTCCATACCAATGTCACCTAATACCACATTAAAGGAATTTGGTTAAAAATGAAATAGGCCTATAATGTTACTAATAGTAAATAATCAATTAATATAACTTGCTAATGCCTAATTGCTGGCTTGAACACTGATCCTCAAATTACAATATTACTAACAACCTAAATACACTTTGGAAGAGTCCACTGTTAGATACTAGTAAAAAAATTAGGCCTGTTTTATTTTTCTAGGTTCTTTTTCATGCTTCTGTGTGATTTTTTTTCTTAATCTATTTGTATGTCCTAAAGGTATGGCTGGATTCCATCTGTTGAGGAAACTCCAACTGAAGCTAAAGAAAAATACAACTGGGTGGAAGGTACCTCCATCACTTTCATGGAAATTATGCATGGGGCATTCAGGTTATTTATCCACTATTTGTTTTTAAGCATACAAGTCTATATTGGGTCGTGTTTACCTTGAATTAATGACAAAAAGGAACTATTCAATTTTTTAAATAATTGTTATTTTATTTGTTAAATTTGTCAATTTTCTTTTGTGAATGCTTTGGGAACTTGAAATATTTTGACATATACTGTGGTCACTATGCTTACATTTCATCTGTTTTATTTATTTTGTCTGTCTATCAGAGAGAGAAATCCCAATGCTGCATTTTTCCTGCGAGACAAATCAGTTTGTGATGACATCCCCCAAGCCCAGAAGTCAAGGTTTATAGATGGGGGTCAGCTGGCACAGCACCATCTTAAGGTTAGGAACTTCCCTGTTTGATTTCACAGCCATTGGTCATATAGCAGACCTTTGAGACATTTTTATTTCTATCCCTGAAATATTTTGCCAGGTGATGAAGAGAAAGTTGCGAGAAAGATTCCCAGACCAGGTGTTTCCCTACAGCTGTAAGTTCCAGCAAGTTTCCATGGCAACTGGAAGAGAGCAGGTAATGATAAAATATATTTTGATTAAAAATTTTTTTCATGACACAGGGAGTTCTTATGGTAGAGAGAAGGTAACAACACATGATGTTTTAATTCAATGAGATATGACATTGTAAAACCAAAAGCGTTGTAATTGTTAATAATGGTTTGATTAATAGCAGATCTACAGCAGCATTCTTTGCCCACATGATAAAAAGTTTCATGTCTAGACTTGTTGAAGTAACTTACAACTGCATATTTTATAATTTAGGGTTTCTCTAATATTTTGTATTTTAACTGGCCATTTCATGCTTCCATATCTTAGATGGTAAAAAAAAAAAAAATTTTATTTCTACAGGTAGAGCTATCCGAGTTGGATGACTTTGCCCAAAAAGTGTTACAGTTTTTAAAGAAATCCATAGAAAAAATGTATCCAAATCCTGTGACACCAGAAGACCAAGTGGATTTATTCGAACAAGGTAAGCAAAAACATGACTGTTTATTTGAACTTCATTGCTGCACAAATCAGCCTTTCAACAGTTTAAGTGTTATTTAAACTCTTTTTTACTTTCTCGTATATACGAAGTATAGAGAAAGTATTGTAATCGTGCAAAAAAAACATAATTTTGCAATCTTGTCCGTATGTCTGTGTGTCTGTCTGTGTGTCTGTCTGTGTGTCTGTCTGTGTGTCTGTCTGTGTGTAAACACGATAACTTGAGTACCGTTACAGCTAGGTTGATGAAATTTCATATATAAGTATTTTATCAAAATCGTAGATCCTGGTCAACTTTTGAGCAATTTCCGATAACGTGAAGTGGTACTTTTTCTACTTTGAATTTTTCAAAAGCCTATAACTTGAGTACTATTTCAGATAGATAAATGAAATTTCACATGTAAGTAAAAGATCTAATTCTCTACCTTCTGTCAAATTTTGAGTAATTTCCGTTTACCAGAAGTACTAATTTACGCTATTTCCGATTTCTCAAAAAGCACATGTAAATTTATAAAGTACTAATAATTTTTTAACAAAAACTGCAGTTTAAGTGTTATTTACTCTTTTTTTCTTTAAACTCTATTTTAAGAACAAAAACTGCAGTGGTTGTTTGTATTGGACAAAGCGAGAGATCTGATTGGTCGTCAGATGGAGCTGGATCTACTGAAAGAATTTGTTGAGCATGGCACATCTGAAGGGTTGGAAAAGCCAGGTTGGTAGAAACCTCTCAATAATTTTACTTTTTTTTTAGCAGCAGATGTTAAAACTTGTTGTTGAATGAAAAACTCTGTTTACTTTTTGCACATAAAATCATGCCTATACGCCCTACAATATTAATCATTAACTATTTCAAGCTGAGAAAAATAAGCCTGTTTAATTTTGGTGAAGACTTTTTTTTGACAATTACATTTTTGAAACCATTTTGTATTTTCTTCCATCTGTACATACCATATGCCTAGGGCTTATTTCTGTCAGGGTTTAACAAAAAAACAACAACTGAGTATTTGTTTAGTCACATGACCATACCTTCTTTACTTGTCTCATAAACAGGAAGTGCTGAAAGTGAAGGGGAAGGTGAGGAGAATGACTCAAGTAAGTAGGCTAGTCATCTGAAGAGCTATGTACTTTATTTTTATTACAACATTAATTTACTGGTATTAAATACAAATTTTAGGATTAAAAAAGTACACCTTGAAACTTAGTCCAAATCAGATAACAATATGACAAACGATAATAATAAACCTTATTTAGATTTTGACAGATGTTTTGCCTATGTTTGATTTAGATAATCTCTGGGATTTGCATGAAACTGACACAAAAATGTGTGTGGTTGAAGGTGCCAGTGGCTTTGGTAAAACTGCCCTGCTGTGTAAGTTAACCAAGGAGATAGTTGAGGTTAGTTACCTATAGATTAGGATTATGATGTGGGTTAGAATGGGAGAAACAGCTTTAAGTTTAAGTGGTTAATTGTATTCTGCATTTTTATCATCTTTCTATAAGTCGATAAATGTTGCCATGCAATTACCATGCACCATTGTTTTATTTCTTCTTTACAGAAAAAAGTTCCAGTTTTTTATCATTTCATCAACAGCAGTCCTGACAGCAACCAAGTAGAGTTTCTGTTAAAAAGATTTATTAGAGCTCTTAAACCAGATCTAACAGGTTAGCATAGGCTTGAGGCAAAGGCACAGTACTCAAATCCTCTTGTCTTTTTCTAAACTGTAGGATATTTTTAGTATAGTTAAAAAACTACTTCCCTGATGAGTTTTAACTCATGTTTTCTCTCCACCCCCCACCCCCCACCCCCAGAGGATGAGTGGAACCAGGTAAATGAAGCCAATGACAAGGATCTGCAATCTCATCTCAAGTCTGCTCTCTCAAACTTTAGGGTTCAAACTGAGAAGAAAATGATTGTTATCATTGATGGCCTTAACGAGGTACATAAACTATTGTCATAGGCATGAGCACACAGTAGGATTTTTTAGCTAGGGTGTTTACTCTATTATCACAACAAGTAGACAGATGGACAATTGTTTATCATTTAAAAATAGAAGTGTTTCATTGCATTGTCCAATATTTCATTATTTCGAATTATGAAGTTCCCGATCACTTGTGTTGGTTTTTATTCTTTCTCATAATGTTTCAGTAGCTCATCAACTTAGATTTTATACCACATAAAACCAACATGAATAACAATATTTGATTAAATTTATGTCAGTTTATAATGGCATAATTTTTTTTCAGATGGAGAACAGTGACACAACAAGGCATCTATCCTGGCTGCCCCCATCCTTCCCCCACAATATCAACTGTATTGTCAGCACCAACTCCCACCCACCCACCACCGCTAGAGTTTATGATAAACCTACTTTTAAAATGCATTTGCAAAACATGTTGTCTGAGGACCTCTCTGCTGTTGCAGTTCGTTACCTGGCAGATTTTAACAAGGTAAGTAAAAAGAACTATCATTTATGATTACTGTCAGATTAAAAACTTTTAATATTTGTGATTAATATAATTTTTTTTTTAAATATTTTGTTATCAAAACTAAAATTTCTATGATTATTGTCAGATTTAAAAATGTATTCATGCTGCTGTCATTTGTGATTAATATAATTTTTTTTAAAATATGTTATCAAAACCAAAATTTCTAACTGCTTCTACTGATATTAAATGTCCACAGAAACTTGACTCCTCTCAGCTGGAAAAACTGTTATCTAACACAGGGGTAGATAACCCCCTTTGGATGATGCTAATGGCAGAAGAGTTGAGAGTGTTTGGTGATTTCAGGTTGTTAGACTCCAAGATTGCAAACTTTCCAAGTGGTATGTCAGGACTCTTAAGTCAAATAATAAATCGCTTGATTGATGAAGATGATGAATATGGTGTGATTAAAAAGGTAATAGAGCAGATTTTATGTAAAGCCATAGGTTAATTAATAATTAAGAAATTATTTTATATTAGTTTCTGATGTTGTAAGTTCAATAATTTTATAGTACATACAAAATTGGCCTTATAATTTACTGAATATCAATCTGAGATATACTGTTGTAAATATAAACTGAGCTTATTTTGCACATACAAGAATGATCTTATGCTGTAGTTCAAAAACGGACTTTATATAATTGACTTTATACTGTTATACATTCAAAACTTACTCATATAACCTGTGTTTACGTGATGTATGAAGGTGCTGTGTTTGATAGCCTGCTCAAGGCATGGGCTACCCACTGATAAAGTCCTGCAGATCTGTGGGGACATTGAGAAGAAAGAGGAGCTGGCAGCGTTCCACTGGGCTCGTGCTAGGAGGATCCTCAAACCTTACATCAGGCAGTCTGGGCATGTTGGAGGAACTATAACATTTGCCCATGAGGCTGTGCTCAAGGTTGGTCATAGTATTAGGCTCTGAGTGTCAGTTGCTTCAAAACTATGTTGTCTCCACTATTTAATAAAGGAAACCACTGTAGGTATAAATGTGTATGTGTCTTTTTTATGGTACAAAATTAATCCACCATTGTTGTGGCAGAGGTCAGGGTTCAGCCTGTTGACACTCAGTGTGTATTGGGCTAGGATAGTGACTGAACAGACACACTTCATATGTGTCAAGCTGATAAAATTGTTTGCAATGTCTAATCTTGCTGGTGAGGCAAAGTAAAGCTGTTAGTGGCCTCAAAGCCAGTCTGGCTATACTATGCAGTAACTATTTATTTGTCCTTTTGTCTCATTGGGGTGTTAAAATCACATTTAAAATAATTTTTATTTGTTTGTCACTGAATTTTCTTGTGAAATAAAGAAGTTCCTCTATTGTGCATTGTTTTGTATTCTTTCAAACACACAGGCTGTGCAAGAACATCTTTTAAACAATGACAATGACAGAATGACAACCCACTCTCTATTGGCAGACTTCTACCAGTACTGGTGCAATGATGGCAGAGCCAAAGCCTACCACGTGCCATACCACTTAGAGGCTGCATTCTTGAGGGAAAGGTCTGGTTTTGGATTAAATAACATTGACTAAATAAAAACCTTAACCACTAGTTTCAAATTGTACTCTCCCTTGTTTATTTTCTAAATTAGTCAGTTCTTCATTTAACTTGGTTGGTTGTGTTTATTTCTTACATTTGCCCTTTTTTAAATAAATTTTATATTGTAGCATCATCTATTATTTTGTACAGGGTATTGGTTGCTTAAATTTACTATTTAATATAAACCATTTCTCTATAGACTTTTGGATTTCATCCAGAACGATGCTGATTCCTATTTCTACATGCACCAATTTCAAAGAAGCTTTTTACTGCAGGTAACTAGCCTACTGGTCTGGTCTGGGTTTGTTATTCAATCTGTTTTATCAATGTTTTTGTTCTAGCATCATCCTCATGACCTGTTTTATGCTTTTAAAGATGATTCAGTATATATTAATGACCCATTTTAGATTAGCACATTTTTGTGGTTTATTTTTTTTTAAAAAGAACATTCCTAATTGACTTATTTATCTTATGAATGAGGTTACAGTTACAAATGGGATGATAAAACCATGTTAATTTATATTACAATTGTGGTATTTTTATTAATTGGAATCTTGTGACATAATTTTAGAGGAGGGGTCTGGCTTAATGAGGTGTGTGACTATAGGGGCTGTTGTGTCTTGTTAATTATTGTTACATCCCTTGTATTGTGTATAAGGTAGTTATGTCCCTTGGATACTCAGTGTGTGCCTGTTAGGCAGTTAACTAAAGATGGAGGAGAAGACAATACCTGAGTTTTTAACTCAAGGAAATGTGTTAGTTCTAACTGATAGATAGTAATGTAACAGGGGTTAAGGGTGTCAGTGGGCTAACATTGCTTGACATCAATTGTTGTTTTCAGAATCTCCGCTGCAGAGGCCCAGCTCACAGCAATATGCCTGGGGCAGCTCCTGTGATGCTGTGCCACTCCTGCGCCATGTTCACCCGCGGCTGGAACCCAGGCTGCAACTGGCAGAACAAGGACTGCTGTGCTGTGTGCGGGGCACTGTGTCAAGGCCCCATGTCATCCAACGCCAGGGCTTGCATGCGACACGCCCAGTCAGCTGGCCCAGATGTGGTCAAGTGTGTCCTGTGTAACTTCCAGGTGAACACAAAGGTCAAGAGTGGACCTCTGACCCCGACCCCAGCTAAGCTGTGCATGAACTGCAGCATTGGGCTTGGCTCTGATAGATGTTCCAGGTTTGATGTGTAAAACTCAGGAATTATAGTACAAAGTAGTGGATAACTTTGATGTACTATTTACCCTTTCACTGTGAAAAGTTTTTTGAAAAAAACATTTTGTTTCAAACAACAGCAATAACAAAATGACATGTTAAAGCACAATCAAAAAGTTTACCTGTGGTTTGTTCTTGGTTTTCTTCACTGTGTTAGTATTAAACCACCACTTTTTTATATCACATATAGGTGCACATAGATTTACCCATAATCTCTATTTAACTCATTTATTGGCATTACTTCTCTTCTACTGCTTTGATTATTTTTTGTTCCAGTAGTGAGTAAGATACCCAAGAAACCTTAATGATAATTAAGCAAAAGAAGCATTACAATACTCTGAATACACAACTTTACTGAAAACCCTAAACAAATCAAGGTTTTTTTCCATTGGAAATAAATTTCAGCAAACATATGACTGGTTTTTTCATTTCTTACTTCTCTGAATACAGTTCTTGTCATTTAGAGATTCATATACATCAGCTTACAAGCTAATGATGTGACACACTTTAATTCACTTTGAAGATTAAAATTTTAAAATATTGTCACACTGACCTTAAGAATTTTAGGAAATGATGTGCTCATTAAGTGCCGCAAAAAGGTGTTAATACCATGTTTTATGTTGTTGATTTAAGTTTATATTTCAAGCACTCTCTATGCCTGCACTTTTATGTATCATTCCACTTCAATTTTTTTCTGTGCAATAGATTTGTTGAAACCAAGTTGTTTGTGAGGAGGATTTGTTATTTTTAGCACTTCCTAGATGTAGCTTTTTAAAATTTATTTATGCTGTTTACTATATATAAACAGATGTTTCTAAGAATTTTATTTATATATGTAGCAAATTTACACAAGCAATAAAATATATTTAAAAAGACAAGAATTGACTTATTTATGCCAGTTAAATAATTTAACCCTTTATTTACGGAATTATGTTCTGAATTAAATTTTTACCAAACAATGTGTTACTATATTGCTTTTGGCACATTCAAAGCATATATCGAAGGAAATTTCGTTTTATAAATTTTTAATGGCCCAAACGTATATTGGTACTTATAAGTACCGTCAGGAATGTAGGACATTTTTTGTCAAAAATTTTTTTTTTACAAAACAGGAACAAACTATACAATTTATTAACTAATAACATGGCAATCATTGTAGCAATCACTTTTTGTAATTTTCACACATAAATACAGCACAAAAGTATATTTTGAGTACGATTTTTACTGGATTTTCCATCAGAACACATCTTAGACCTCAAACACAGCAAAAGTTGCCGACATATCATGCTCCCTAAATTTTGTCTGTGGTCTTTCTGGTGTAGCAACCGCTGCCGGAATGAACATGCTTTTGTTGGAAGCTTCCAATAACTAGTACAATGAGCCGCATTAACAAACAAAAGCCTAGTCATTCAGCACGCAATTACTAGTAATACTAGTATAATCGTAGCCTACTAGAATGTTTTGACAAGTCTACACTACAGTGCAAAGTTTATAAATAGAAGTGAGCTCAATATGTTTAGGGAAACCGTAGTGGCCTACTCTTTTCTGTTTACTAATTAAAATTTACCTTATAGATCTATACTATATGCAGAAGTATGGACTATTACTAGTCGACAGGTATACATTACGTAAATGCTAGTTGTTGTAGGCAAGACAGTTTATTGCAGTAAATATAACTAACAAATTAAATCTTGCAAATAGAACTAGGCTTTGGTATACAAATGAAGCATACTAAACCTTGTAAACGAGCCTGCAACTGATACCTTTATTCTTGTTTTTTTTTTACTACTAGAAATTAACATGTAATTACTTTGTTTCTTAGGTAAACCATATGCTAACTTTCTTATAAATGTGTAAATATCATGTTTTGAGTACATTTCGATAATTAATTATAAGGACAATATTTATGTAACTCCACATAAAAAAATCTGCGATTTTCTAAAAATCCTAAAAAATGACCGTGTACCCTGACGGTACTTATAAGTCCACTTGTAAACATCGATCTAATACAAAGACAATTTGATTAAAATTGTATAACTAGAAGTTAAACACGTTTGCCTGACTATTGAAGGTGCCAAGAAAAAATATTTGGGGTTGAAAACTTGAAAAATAAGGTAAAACAAAGGGAAATCAAGAACGTGTGTGAGAAATGTACAGAAAAATTGTGAACTACTGATATAGCAAGACATTGAAAATGGCGCCACACCAGTAATTTTCAAAAATCATTGATACCTCTGACTACCGGCGACTCAGGGGAGATAATACTATTAATTACTTCAATAATTTTTAAAATTCGTATTAAATAAAAAATAATACAGGCACTTAATTAAAGTGGTACTTATAAGTACCGTCAGTAGATAAAGGGTTAAAATGCTGAATCTAATTTTCACACTTCCTTATCTAAGAATACCATGTGTCTAAATATACATAATTATAACAATACAAAATTATAAATAAAAAACAGGATTTGAGTGGCATATTAATTTTCTTTAATTTCTCTAACCCAACAATGGTAACAGTCTTACCCTGCACATAGATCTAAATATAGTTTATCATTATTCTTGAATGCAATCTAAAGATAAGATTTCTGCACACAGACCTAAACATAATTCCACATCATTTTTAATATGATCTAAAGATATACATTTCTGCACACATATATAGTTGAGGTTGAACAATATTTTAACATCATCTAATGATATAAAATTGCTGCTCAAGGACCTAAACATAATTAAACATTATTTCTTTAATAGGAACCAAAGATATACATTTTTGCACATACATCAGAACATGATTAAAAGATTTTCTTTTAAAATAAAGTTACCCTGAAACACCTAAAGTAGATCCTGTTTAAAACCTGCATGCGCATCCCTGTTAATTCAAATTTTCCTACACCCTCCAGTACACTGAACAAGTGAAACATCCAATGCTCCACAAGTACATGGCCTAAGTAAAACAAGCACCTGATAAAATTCCCCAGATTAAAAAAAAAGCTGACTTGAAAATGAAAGCCCACATTCTATGTACACTCACAAATATTCAGCAAGTGGAAATGTATTCACACAAATTGTTCAGCATTGTGAATACAAATAGTAGAAAATAAAATTATGCGAAGGATAAAAATTAAAAACACCTCAACACGTTAAACTATCAGAATATGGTTAAAATTAGATTCTCTTCAAACAAAATCATTCTGGATAGATAAAGAAAACATAAATTGCATTTCATGGAGAATTCTTTTGAAATAAACTAAGAATAAAAGAGAATTCATTGCATGTACAAATATTTATAGAACAAAACATGATACTCTGTACAAGGCTAAACATTTAAAAATATTCTTATGTAATCATAATAAATTAATAAATTGAATTGGCAGATTAAAAAATACATTTAAGATTTTAAGGGAGACTAATTCCACAGCAAAATTTTAATTAATGCAATCATCATACTTAAAAAATGTTTCATAAAACATAAGGGCTTCTGCTGCAATACAACATAAATATTCCATTCTTTGGCCAAGCTTGTATATCAAGCCCCATAAGACTGATGACATGGTTAAAAAAATAAAAACATACAACAGATGTAAGTACTATGAATCCAAATAAAAGGTACTTATCAAAATATTAGAACTTATGTACACTGGTGTGTCTCAAAAATATTTTAACTTATATACATGACTTAAAATATTTCAACGTATATACACGTGTATCTTATATACATTGGTGTGTCACTAGGGCAATAACTAGCACAACATATTGGAAGGGATTTGAAAAATTGGTGAGGATCCCAATAGGGTGACTACTGCCACAGCATATGGGGGGACTGGAAAATGGTGCGGCTATGACAATGTGGGTGGGGGGGGGGGGGGTGTCATTTTCCTCACCTAGGCAATAACTGCCACAACATATTAGGGGTGGGGGGATATAATTTATCACAGATAAATTTGGTCTTTATCCTGGCAACTCATCACAATAGTTCTGAATTGATCATATCAAATAGCAGACAAAATACAAGGACATGGTAGTTTGATATTGAACATGTCAACTAGCAGACAAAATACAAGGACATGATAGACTGAACTGAACATGACAACTAGCTAAACATGTAAAATAGAAAACAAAATACAAGGAGATGATAGACTGACATTGTTAACATGTTGACACACCTGAGCTACATGACCTACAAGGCTGAGAAGCCAAGCTGGCTACACACATTGACTACACACTGAACCAATGCTAAGGCACATGGATATCAATTTGACACTAGAAGTAGGACAGTAAGAACAAATTATAATCTGAAATATTTTAACACTTGACTAACATTTAGGAACAGGTAAAACCATACACACAGATATAAATATGTAGACAGATAAACCACTTAATTTCTCATCTTGATTTGATATCGCTTCATGAATAAAAACCTACGAGTATCAAAAAAACAGATGGTTAGAAAGATGTCCTACTCAGCATCTCCATCATCAGAAGATTCATCTTCCTCCAGGGTCTGAGCTCTCTCATCAAACAAATTCTTGGCATATTTGATCTCTTGAGCCACCTGAAAGGAGAATTTTTATTTTTTAGAAAAAATTAGTTGCTTCCCTTGGTTTGGTCACTTAATGAGAGGGGAGAGAACTAGATACTAATTAGACTTTTGAAGTAACTATATAGATAGAATCAAGGGTTAACTTACCTTTTTAGCTGTAGGGAGTTTATCACATCGTACCAATGGCTTGTTTAAAGTGGTGTTGCTGACATCTGTACTTTTGCGGGTCAATTCAATGTAGTGTTTTCCTTCTGGTTAAGTAATTAAAAGAAGAAATCAAACTAAATCCACTTGTGACTAACTAAACCCAGCTGTGACTAATTAAACCCACCTATGACTAACTGACCCACCTGTGACTAACTAAACCCACCTGTGATAAACAAGACCCACCTGTGACTAGCTAAACCCACCTGTGATAAACAAGACCCACCTGTGACTAGCTAACCCCACCTATGATAAGCTAAACCCACATATGACTAACTGACCCACCTGTAACTAGCTAACCCACCTATCACTAACTAAGCCCACCTGTTACAAACAAGACCCACCTGGGACTAATTAAAGCCACCTGTAACAAACAAGACCCACCCGAGGTTTGACTAGAACAGAGCAGGATCTCTGGGTAGGTGATGTTGAGCACAACACTGTCAGACCTGGCCATGTGACTAACTGACCCACCTGTGACTAACTTACCCCACCTGTGACAACCAAGACCCACCTGAGGTTTGACTAGAACAGAGCAGGATCTCTGGGTAGGTGATGTTGAGCACAACACTGTCAGACCTGGCCATGTGACTAGCTAACCCACCTATGACCCACCTATGACTAACAAGACCCACCTGAGGTTTGACTAGAACAGAGCAGGATCTCTGGGTAGGTGATGTTGAGCACAACACTGTCAGACCTGGCCTTGCGTTGGTTGAAGAAGAAAAGCTGCCTGCTGGAGATGATGACCTGCATGTTTCCCTCCCCGCTTTGGTCAGTGGTCAGCTGCTCCATGGCAATCAGGCTAATTAAAAGATAATGAGGATAGGTCAGATGGGAGTAAACATTTGCTGGATGTTGGTAAGCAAATGTTCAAGGCGTTTTCTGATGGTCAAGATTCAATATTTGGTTGTCATGACTAATAACATTCTCAGACATAAAGTTCAATATGGCAGATAAAGTAGAGTTCACCTGTTTTTGTGACATCTACATATACCCACCCTCCACTCAAGCAGTAAAAATTTCTTTACATCACAATACAATATAGACAAGTTATTTAAAAGAGTGAATCAAAACTGCAACAGAACAAAATAACCTAAAAGAATAAACTTACTATTCAGAGAAATCGTTCCCATTCAGTTCATACAGTATGGTCAGTGCCTCGGCTTGAGATTTAGAATACAGGGGCAACAACCCCCCAGGACCCTGTGTACGGCGAGGTCCTCGGATACGAGCTGGGTCGCGGTGTGACGTCCGCGTGCTACTGTCTCGCAGGGCATTTGCAAAGCCTGAAGTGAGGTCCAAGACTCCAGAGACAGGTTTGGTGACGGTGCCCAAGACACCTTTTCCCATTCCTTTGATTAGACCCTGGGTGGAAATTATAAGAGTCATGATGTCAACTATTTTAAGTCTAGTCTAGTTCTAAATGCAGTGAGATTATTTTGAGTCATGGTAATAATTATTTTAGGAAATCCTTGTCTAACTAACTAAACTTATAGCTACTAAATTCAGCCAATCAATAAAATAATTTGCTTGGATTAAATTCTGGTAATTTGAAAATTCACATGCTTAGACACATCCTAATTAAGGAGTTTCTCATCTGCTTAAAAGCATCTCTTCCATTAGCTCATCATTAGATCATGTGTTGGGCTTTATTTAGTATAGCTAGTGTACGTATAATATCCAGGACAATTTCATCACTGGGGCAATTACTTTAATACATGGGTGTTGTCCCTTATGATAATGCTTTTGTTTAGTGAAATAACACAGTAAAATCTTAACATACATTGTTGACTCAGGAAAAAAAGTCATTTAGTTCAGCAGACTTACATATATTTATTTGACTCCTTTTAACTAGCGTAGTAAAATTAGTTAAACTAGCTCAGCAGATGCATTCAAAACAGGCTAGCTGACTTATTTCTTAACTAGTTCAGCAGATGTATTTAAACCCAACAGGTGGACTAGTTTCTTACACGTCAACTTACCACAGCACCTTCACTCTGAGCCCCAGAAATACTCTGTGAGAAAAAACTCGTGACCCCACCCAGCAGTCCGTGACCTAGACCTTTGAACCCGGCCATCAGGTGATCACTGCTGCTGCCGGAGGTGACGTTCTTCAAGGCCTCCCTGCGCTGGTTGTGTTCCTCATCAAAGCCAACTGTGCTGATACCATCAGACAGTGAACTGACAACCTGCAACAGTTTTATGACAGGTTTATACATCAGACACAGCTAGTCATTCAAACAACCTACTTAAGTTTGTAGGTAATCAACCCTGGCTATTTAGTTGTGCTAGATAGATCTGAATATGTTATAAAATTCTAAGAATATTTTCTACTTTGAAAGAGATGCACCAGGATTTACTTAGCTGTGAGGTTAGTTACATCAATATTCACTGAGCCACTACCTAAGATGCGGCACATCCCTCAATATTCAATGGCCTCCCTTAACATATCTATGGAATTAGACCCCCTACCTTAGCTATGAGACCTCCCCCAATAATCAGAGACCCCTTAACATAGCTATGGAATTAGACCCCCTACCTTAGCTATGAGACCTCCCTCAATAATCAGAGACCCTTTAACCATAGCTATGGAATTAGACCCCCTACCTTAGCTATGAGACCTCCCCCAATAATCAGAGACCCCTTAACCATAGCAATGGAATTAGACCCCTACCATAGCAATGGAATTAGACCCCTACCATAGCTATGGAATTAGACCCCTACCATAGCTATGGAATTAGACCCTACCTTGGCTGTAGAGTTTGAGACTCCATGTGTGACATTCTTGAGCAGACCCCCAACGTTACCATCCTTGACAAAGCCAGCTATCCCCTCAGTGATGTCATGGACCAGACCTAAAGGGTTGCCCAGGAAATCAACTGAGCCCAATATTTTAGCTGCCTGACCAATCAGCTCCTGCAGAAAAAATGACAGTGTAAACTGTGAAACACTGTGTAGCTCTCTTAGGGTTAAAGTTTTTAAAATGTGTGTAGATTAAATGGTAAGGAGAAGGTAACTAACAGGGAAGGTTTTCAGGTTTGGCTAGACCTTGTGATTTAACCTACAGATTCAGAAAGATGATGTAGAATTACAGGCTATGAGTTTGTCTTGTAACCAATGTAAACAATGAGTGTTGTGTATAGTTACCTCTCTGTAATGGTTCATTATTTCACTGATGAGAAACGGCCCTGTCTCAAACATGTGATACTGCTCAAAATGTCCTGCAGTTAATAAATATTTGATCAGTCATTGGACAAAACAAATCATTAGACAAAATGTAAGTCACTAGACTAAATTTAAGTAATTGGGCACTAAGAAATTAAATGCAATTTAAGTCATTGGACCAAATTTAAGTCATTAGACAAAATATAAGTAATTGGATAAAATTTAAGTCACTCAACCAAAATAAAACAATCAGTGGACCAAATTTTAACAGTCCAAATGAAAATCTGTTGTTAGTAAACTTACTCAGATCAATATTTGCCTGCTCAAATGCTATCAGCCTTGTTGACACAGCATTCTTGATGGCCTTAAGGTCAGGGGTCAGTTTGCTGGTGGTCAGCATGCTCAGTGTAACACGGCTGATACTCAGTCTGACAGCCCCGAAGTAGTAGCGAGTTGATTGGATGGCAGTCACAGCAGACAGGGCTCTGTAGATGGGAGGGTAAGGTTGGCAATTTAAGTCCCATTAGCTAACTATAAATATAGCTATGTTAAGTGATGTACGAAGGATTTCTAGGCTGTCCTTATATTAGCCTGCATAGGTCATGCCTCATCAACTGGATTCTATCCCTCATAGACTAGCCTGAGATTTATGGCAAATATATCATGACCCATGTCTCATTGACTAACCCACATTCCATATACTAACATGTGACCCATTTCTCATAGACTAACCCACATTCCATATACTAACATGTGACACGTCTCATTGACTAACCCACATTCCATATACTAATATGTGACATGTCTCATTGACTAACCCACATTCCATATACTAATATGTGACACGTCTCATTGACTAACCCACATTCCACATACTAATATGTGACCCATTTCTCATTGACTAACCCACATTCCATATACTAATATGTGACCCATTTCTCATTGACTAACCCACATTCCATATACTAATATGTAACCCATGTCTAGTGTATTGTGAACTATGACCCACACCCCATCCATTAATCCATAACCCACATCCCACTAACACATGGCCCATGTCCCCAACACTAGCCCATGGCCCAAGCATTAAAGCATGGCCCATGTCCCCAACACTAACCCATGGCCCATGTCCCCAATACTAACCCATGGCCCATGTCCCCAACACTAACCCATGCCCAACACCAGTCACTAACCTGTGTGTATCAGTGGCCTCATCTAATCGATTCAATATCCTGTCATCTTTGCCCACGCCAGCAAACTGCATCAGTTTCCACAAGAGTTTCTCCTCTATGTGTATGGTCATTCGTTTGGTGCACACGTACAAATGCTGAAATAAATACATCAATGATCCATTTGGTGCATACATATAAATGCTGAAATAAATACATGAAGTAATGGACATATGTTTGGTGTACACATATATGTGCTAAAATAAATACATCAATACATATATAATTATACAAAAGCTTTTATATAAATGATGAAATAAATTCTATGTATTCTCTCCGAACCCATAAACAAATGGTATTATTACTATTAAATTATCAGCCAATTTTATTTTTTTTATTTAAAAAACTATAAAAACACATGAGAAAATATAAATCCAACCCAAAATGCACCTTTAAAAAACCCACCTTAAATTCCCAACATTTTAACAGCCAATAAAAAGCCGCCTCACCTTAAATATTTCAGCTTTCCACTTGCCACTGGGCACCTTGTGGGCTGACACTAGCAGGGCTGGTGTGCTGTCTGTCATGTCACGTCTGGACAGTGGCGTGACAAACATGACCACTGGCCTCTGGGTCCCCCACATCTGGTTGTCTGCCTGGAATACACACAATTTTCTGGCTAAACAAATTCTCTGACTAAACAAATTCTCTGGCTAAACAAATTCTCTGGCTAAACAAATTTTCTGACGAAATAAATTCTCTGGCTAAACAATTTGCTGACTAAACAAATTCTCTGACAAAACAATTTTCTGGCTAAACAAATTCTCTGGCTAAACACATTCTCTGGCTAAACACATTCTCTGACAAAACAATTACTCTGGCTAAACAAATTCTCTGACTAAACAAATTTTCTGACTAAACAAATTTTCTGACTAAACAAATTATCTGGCTAAACAAATTCTCTAACTAAACAATTCATCTGACTAAACAATTTCTCTGATTAAAAATATTGTTTAAAGAGAAAAAAATTCTCTGTGTATCAATAAATTGTATTTTAAGAAAAATAATTTTTTTTTAAAAATCTTCTGTAAAAAATTGTTTCAGAAAAATTAACAAAAATTAAGTCAAAAAATATATTTTAACAGCATTAAAGAGATGTTTGTCAGTAAAAAAAAATCAGGAATTCTGACCGTGTACAGACAACAAAGATGAAAAGGTCAGAGCAAGAAGTTTGTACCTGAATCAGAGCAAGAAGTTTGTACCTGAATCAGAGCAAGAAGTTTGTACCTGAATCAAAGCAAGAAGTTTGTACCTGAATCAAAGCAAGAAGTTTGTACCTGAATCAAAGCAAGAAGTTTGTACCTGAATCAAAGCAAGAAGTTTGTACCTGAATCAAAGCAACACTAGCTTCAAACGTGATGGCAGACGGCCTGGATATGATCTCAAGACAGATGTTCTTCAGGCTCAGGTACAGCAACTCCTCAGAGAAACTGTTGACCAGTGACACACCTATCCCATCTTTTAAGGTTAGAGAAAGCTAGGCAGGGAGGAAATAATGAAAAGATTATCTGCACTGTCAATTTAAATATTTTTCTAAAGGAAATTCTTGCTTAAGTTCTTATTGTGAAGCCTAGCAGCTTTTATTCCATATAGGTTTATTACAATAATCAATGTGGTGGTGTATATAAAAAAGCTGTTGAATATGTACATAGTAGCCTGACGTTCCACTTCCATGGTCATTTAAAGACTAGCCCTATTGTATGTCCTACCTCTACTGTATGTCCTATCTCTACTGTATGTTTTAGCTTTACTGTATGTCCTACCTCTATGGTATGTCCTACCTCTATGGTATGTCCTACCTCTAGTGTATGTCCTACCTCTAGTGTTTGTCCTACCTCTAGTGTATGTCCTACTTCTAGTGTATGTCCTACTTCTAGTGTATGTCCTACTTCTAGTGTATGTCCTACTTCTAGTGTATGTCCTACCTCTAGTGTATGTCCTACTTCTAGTGTATGTCCTACTTCTAGTGTATGTCCTACCTCTAGTGTATGTCCTACTTCTAGTGTATGTCCTACTTCTAGTGTATGTCCTACTTCTAGTGTATGTCCTACCTCTACTGGATGTCCTACCTCTACTGTATGTCCTACCTCTATGGTATGTCCTACTTCTAGTGTATGTCCTACCTCTACTGTATGTCCTACCTCTACTGTATGTCCTACCTCTATGGTATGTCCTACCTCTACTGTATGTCCTACCTCTAGTGTATGTCCTACCTCTATGGTATGTCCTGCTAGGCTAGAACTTGGTTTCCTCTCTGGCCCATCCTTCAGCTCATCATAGACCTGCCAATCATCCAGGTCTTTATCCACGGATAATCTTTTCACAATTTGCTGAAACACAAAGGAGACCTTCATTAATCACCAAGTATAGTCGTTGTCCCACATTTTTTTTTACAGATGTATCTTGTTTTAACTTTTAGCATTGGTAACTTTGTATAAAGAAAAAAATTATTGATTGTGCACATACATTAAGCACTTTATATTATCCTTTACTTTACACATGTAACAGTTACTCAAAGCAAATTTAAAACAATATACATAAGAATAACTCCAATGCAAGAATTGCCTAAATGTCAAGTGCCTTTAACAAAGTCTACTGCCCATCTCTTTCACCATCAAGTTGAATTAACCTATTTTGTAATCAACTAATCTGGATTAACTGTCTATCTTGTGGTCAACTTATTTGGATTTAACCTTCTATTTTGTAATCAACTAATCTGGATTAACCTTCTATTTTGTAATCAACTAATCTGGATTAACTTTCTATCTTGTGGTCAACTTATTTGGATTTAACCTTCTATTTTGTAATCAACTAATCTGGATTAACCTTCTATTTTGTGGTCAACTAATCTGGATTAACTTTCTATCTTGTGGTCAACTTATTTGGATTTAACCTTCTATTTTGTAATCAACTAATCTGGATTAACCTTCTATTTTGTGGTCAACTAATTTGGATTAACCTTCTATTCTATGACTGGCTAATGTTGATTATTATTTTAATCCAACAATTTTTAATAATACAGTAGACAGCTGATTAATAGGGTGGAGTTATTCAAGGCCAACAACTCTAGCGGCTAATACTTCGAGACGAATCTTATGGCATTTTTTCATATTTTAAGTTTTTCAAATATTATGATGATAAACAAGGTGAAAATCAATTTTATCTTATAGGCCTAATGTTAATAAATTGATAAGTTTACATTAAAACATTTTCAGAAACTATATAGTGATTCATTGTAATATATTACAATGATTAACTATGTATTTTCATAAACTATTTAAAACAACATTTTTTTAAATGAACTGAAAATAAATGTGAATTATAGAACCAACAAATGATTAAAACCATAAAGGTAAATTAAGAACGAACTTGGATAAAATTAACACGTACATACTGTTTGATATGAATATAGATTTTAAATGACATTAAAATATCTATGCTGATAGTTTTACTTATTTGAATTCTATATTCCTATTTTTGTGATTTACACTAATCCTATGTGCTTGAGTTTTCTACTTTAGTGAAGAACCTAAATCAATACAATGCAGTTATATAAATTTTTAATTATTCCCTTTCTAGATTAGGAAAGAATATTTAAGTTAATTTTTTTAAAGGAATTTTTTTTTTACAATAACTACATATTGCTAAAAACAAAAGTTCTAAAAAAATATTTAAAATTTGACAATTAAAAAGTGTGAGGAAGTATCTGAAGGAACAAAAGCCTGAGATTTCTCCAATATGCTATGCGAAGCTTTTGTGGTTACAGGCATGTGTTTATAAACAAGTATATTGAAGCAGCTAAAGACTGGAACAGTCACGGTTTCTAACTCTCAAAGTAATTACTAAGAGGGCCAGTGTGTTTTATGTCTTACATAAAGCAGGTACCAAGCATTTAAAGACAGACACTAACCATTCTGTAGTAATGATAATTTTTTAATATAAAGATATAAAGAGAGACACTAACCTATTAGCAGTAAAGATAATCATTGATTACAAATCAGATATGTGTAAGATAGGAAGAGGCATTTAAGCCAGAAACTACATGTATATGACAAACAGACGCTAACAAGTTGATATTTTTAGCCATGAAAGCAGAAGCTTAAACTATTTGTGTCAGAGGCTGATACAATTTTCTAAATATCTCCAGACAAAACACATCACTGGGAGTACACACTACACGACCACATGGAGGAGACAATGAAAGCAATGTCTGGAGATGTATCACCTGCCCCACCAATTTAAACACACAGCTAATATAATTAAAACCCTGCTGCTTGACAATGGGTTAGTAAACAAAGTTTTAGGTCAACTCTAAAACGAAAACAGGAAATCCAACAACAGATGATTAAATTAATGAGTAACTAATGAACCAAACATCTAAAGCAAGCAACCAACAGGTGCCAACTAAAACTACTTTAACCAACAACAACAACAGCAGCAGCTGTGAACCTCAGAAATCAAACAAAAACCTGTTTACAACTAATATAAAGTTGTCCCAACAACTGCTGACAGACAGCAGCACTGACAAGTATTAAATGCAGTACAGTACTAGCATGTAATAAAAGCAGTACAGTACTAGCATGTACTAAATGCAGTACAGTACTGATATGTACTAAAAGCAGTACAGTACTAGCATGTAATAAATGCAGTACAGTACTGATATGTACTAAAAGCAGTACAGTACTAGCATGTAATAAATGCAGTACAGTACTAAAAGCAGTGCAATACTTGCATGTACTATCAGCAGTATTGTCATGTACTAAATGCAGTACAGTAATAACATGTACTAAATGCAGTAGTGTACTGACATGTACTAAATGCAGTAGTGTACTGACATGTACTAAATGCAGTAGTGTACTGACATAACATATACACACCTCTCCAGCACTACTGCAAATGCGATGCAGACAACTGGGTCTCTATGAGTGGCATAAAAGTAAAGAGTCAAATTTTATGGATGGGCTTATCACACTTCTATAAGCAGTGAATAATAAGGTGTAGGGTTGCTTAAAAAATTTTTAAAGAAAAAAAAAACAGTGCAATAAAATAAAGGAAGATGGTAAAAGCAGGACTGAAGCAGTGATGTGGTCAAGAGAACTATGCAAGTAATGGTCTAAATACTACCTGCTGGGTGACAAGAGCCTAATCACCAAAAAACAATGTAAACTTTTTTTAAAATCTGGATTTGTTAGTGCTGTACTTAGTCAGTGGTCAAGTGCCAAGGTGTAGATATTCAAAGGGTCAACAGTCAATGTCAGTGGTTAAAGTGTCAATGGTCAACATGCCCATCTTCAAAGTGTCAATGGTCAACATGCCCATGTTCAAAGGGTCAATCGTGAACATGCCAATGTTAAAGGGGTCAATAGTCAAAGTGTAAGTGTTCAAAGTGTCAAAGTTCAAAGAGTCAATGTCTGAAGTGTCAATGATTTCAAATTAAGTGAACAGTGTCACTAATCCTCAATCTTTAAAGTTGAATTCAGTAGTGAACTGGCCTGTACTAAATGCAGTAGTGTACTGCACAGAAAGACCTCTGTTCTTACATCTGTCACATATCAGGAATATGTCACACACTGTGACATCAGAGGAAAATGAAAAAGAAAATACCCCCACCCCAGGAAGAAAATACCCCCACCACTAGAATAAAATTATACAAGAAAACCTCCTACCCAAAAAAAAGTTGCTTACTATCCAAAAAATATGTCTCCATCTTAGATATGAGACATAAAATACCTGACAACAATAATTCCTGTTCTACATTTTCTAGATCTCAAAACTTAAATCTTGGAAATCAAATTAGGAATGGATACATTTGTTAATGGTAACAAAAAACACAAAGTTGTATATCTTGGTTAATTGTGAGAGACAGTCCATGCTATGACCAAAATTAAATTGTATTTCTTGGCTTACTGTTACAGGTACAGACAAATTTTTAAAGCAAACATGATGCTTTATGCCTCATAAAATAAAAATCGTTCCATGAACGTAGTATATACAACTAGCTGCAATTTATTTTTCTACAAATTTAGTATTTAGTTGTTTTTATACTCACATTTAAAAATCAACTTAAAGTATTATTTTGATATTTTTTTTAAATTTTAAATTTAAAAAATTTATTTTCTTGTATTTGTAAGATATTAGTAAAAATATTAAGTTTAAAACAAACTTCCTAAGTGTTTTGAAGTTTTGTTAGAACGCAGAGTTTTTTTTTATCCTATCACATTCTTTGTAGATAACAAAACAAATATAGCTCACAGACAGAAATTGAAAGATGCAATGCCAACTCCTTCCTAAACGATTGGGCAATTTCAATGAACATGAAGCATGATATCATCCAGCTGTATGGAGGATTGTTTATAACTATTTGGCCTGAAGATCTGACAAGCACAGCACACACTAGAGACTAGCCTACATGGTGAGCCCTCTACTAACCTTATGCACCAATAATATGGACAAGCGTGAAGCTTCTGTATAGTCTTTCATCCAACTCTGAAATGGCAGTACACACAATCTTGTACTAGTCGCACACTGCATACTAGTCATTCTAGTTTCACTATTCATTCTAGTTGTTTTTTTTATATATGTCCATTTTCTAATTCAAGTAGGTTTTCAACCAATTTTTTATGATTTTAGGAAAATTGAAATACAATAATGTATTTTGTGAAATAGATTATTTAAAAACGCAAGACGTTTCCCCTAAAAAAAATGTCAGTACAAAATTTTTTCTACTTTTGATTGTTTCACTTTAATTTTTTTAAAAACACTAATATAAAATACTTCACTTAAAATAACGGAGTGTCTTTACTTTTTGACTTTGTTACTTTAATCATCATTTCTCTTTCTCATACATTATGTTAACAGTTCCTTAGCAGATATAACTATTGTATCAGTTAAATATTGTAAAGTTTTGTCAATTTTTTCATTCTAAATTTTTAAAGTTCACTCAAGACCATGTTGAAGATAAACTATTTACTAAAAACAATTTCAACTTCCATAAAAATGACAATGGAGGATTTTTATTTAGCTTACTGGTAAAGCAGTTACTGATTTAGATTATAACTAATTGTTTTAATTTATAAAAAATGTGTTTAATTTATTTTGGCCAGCTTAAAATTTGATAAACAAACTGTTAGCTAGCTTTCAGACAAAAGTGATCAAACAGCATCATGAAATCAGTTAGCAGGACAAATATTTTTCCTCATAGCGTTCAACTTTAACTGCTTCACAACACATAGAGAGCATATTTTGTAATAAAATTCTGACACTTAGCAGGTGATGAGTGTGTTATAACGATGCTTCACCCACCAGAATAATACATTATTGCATACTACAAGAGCTTCACATATTTTAAAAAGTATTTTGCTATTGATAGACTTGCTATAAAATTTACATTAGTTTGCCTAAGTCAGATCAGCCTTAAACTGACAAAATTCTTTTACATTTTTGCTGATGAAGGTTTTTTAAATTGTAGTGTTATTAACATAGTTAGGCAGTCTTTAAGACTAGAATAGAGGGATATCATAGATATTTTCTCAAAATCCTAGCTTTCAACACAACATCTATATAATATAGATTCCCCAGTACACTAACTTAAAGCATTTATACAAAACATCGTTTCTAAAGATTACAAACACAACAATAAAGCACAATGTTCTAGATCTGTGTGTACTGTGTAAGCACTGATCTAGGATTAAATAATGCCATTTTTCATAAACTGTGCCAAAATGTCAGGAGAAACACAGTAGTTGTAAAGGCTTTAGTATTACTTAGTGAACCCAAAGCTTTCAACAACAGAAAATGGTAAGAGAAAAAACTCACAGTAGGCAACAAAAAATTTCATAGCCATGATTAAAAAATAATTTTACCAATGTCATAATGCAAGAGGAAAGCAAAAATATATAGCAAAGAAGTGTGATCAGCTTGATATAAAAATAAAACTTACTCGCTGGAAGATGTCAACTAGCTCAATAACCCTGATGGGCCCATCCATCTTGACCCGCACAGACACGCAGCCTGACCCGGGCCGCAGCTTTTTTTTAGAGATTAGCATGTGGCTCAGTACACTATTTGATTCCTTCACATCTGGTCCTGGCCCTAGCACCACTATAGCACCTGTAGACAGAGACCTATGTTGTAATTAAAGTGCTAAAACTTGGTCTGTCTATAGCACCTGCAGACAGAGACCTAAGTTGTTTTTATACTCAGCTTTAAAAATCAACTAAAGGTGGTAAAACTTGGTCTATCTAACAATACACATGTAAACAGAGGAGTATGCTGGTAATACAATCAACTTGGGCTGATCACAAAATTATGAAAAATATGTCTATTTTGAACAAGAGCAACATTTTATATCCCCTACAAACACTATCAAGAGGAATTAACCACACAATCATTTTATGTATAGGAAATGACATTCTGATTATTTTGGCTACGTACAGAAAGTTATCTCCATCTATCAAGTATTAGGTAATAAGAAATACTTAGATGTGTTGGAACTGTACATATGTTACTGATTTATGCTGTAGTACTTTTTAAAATCACAAATTTGAACAGGTGACACAAAACTAGAAAAAGTGGTAGAACTTTTGTAACAACTGACATTTACAGACTAATGGCACTATTATTTGTTGACTTAGCCTGGTATATTCTAATCAGTAATAAAAACTTGTCAAAGTTTCAAACCTTCTTGAAGACCCTTGACTCCCCCAACAGCCTGAACACACATAGAGCCTGCTTGACAACACAGCAAGCCATCCTGTCAGATCAACAAATCATACAATTACCCTGTACTGCATTAGATGATCATCTATATTTTAACACTACAAAACAATTAATATAATCATGTAAATTTTATGAAAGATTTAAAACCAGATTGGATCTGGGAGGGACGCCGTGGTTTGGTGGTGAAGCGCAGGACTGCTAACCCTAAAGTTTCAAATTTGGATCCTGGCTTGAGTTCGTAGGGGGGGGGGGGGGAAGTAAACATGCAGCTGGGACATAGAACTGACCTCATTACACCTTCATATCTAGAGGTCATGAAAACAGGTGAACTCTACTGCATCTGCACTGTTGACCATCAAGTCTGAAAGGGTATCTTTACTTTTTTCTTTTTGTATGTTACTAAAATCTGGCATTAAGTGACTTAAAGTGAGTGGTCACCTTTGTGAATCTCCAGGTCTGTGTGGACTTGCGTCGGACGTCAGGTTTTTTTAGAACAAGGGGGACACACTGGTCAGGTCGCGGGGCCAGGTCAGCAATGTCAAGGACCAGGCCTGGCTCAGCATTGCTGTTGGGGTTCTTGGGGTCACGCGGGGGCATGGAGCCCTCGTGTTCCAGCATGCCTGACCCGGTCATCCTCCACAGCTGGCCACGCTTGCTGTTCTCCTGGGGGTTCACAAGTTCAATGGGGTTTTCAAATTATTATTTTGGATTTAATTTTAAATTTTATTTGTATTCATTTATTGAAATTAACACCATATGATCACATACTGCAGGGCCATTATGATTTTCTTAATGTATGATTCCTTTTGCTTATTATTTTTAAAATGAAGTGTCAGCAAGCTGTTCATGCCTATCTCCTAACAATGCCCCAGTGTCTCTATACCACAAGTATCTCTATACTATCTCTACCACAAGTATCTCTATACTATCTCTACCACAAGTATCTCTATACTACCTCAGTAACACCAGCAATGACACTAGAACCAAGCATCTGTCCACTAACCTTCCTTTTGAATACAATGTTGTGATTGTGGCCACATTCCAGCACCAGCTCTGTACCACGCTCTGTTGTTCTGAGAACAGAAAAACTTTTTTTGTTCATCCACTCAGTCAGGGGAAATAAAAAGAAAGTGATTTATTTTTTAAACAAACTGAAACAATTCACCTTATAATAAGCATCATGGGTTAAAGAGAAAACCAAGCACCTAATATAAATAACCCCTGTTTAAGCAGGATACTCTAGTGTAAATGAGAAGTCACCAGTAAAAGGGCTTAAGTACACTGTAAAAAAATTGAGTTATGCCTTTTTTAAATCCTCCTTGAGGACAAGTTATAGACTGAATATTACCAACTGCAAATGGGTCGAAGAAGTGTGAAACCAATTTTCCATACTTTTGCACACACAAAAAAACTACCTAAAAGTTTGTTCTTGGATTAATAAAAGCTATGGAAGCAAATCCGGAGAGAAAATCAGGCTTAAAACGGAGTCCAGGGGCCATATGGCGCATAACAAGTTGACATGTATTGTGTTGGAGGGAACCCAGTTCAACATTACGAGAAGAAGAAAATGAAATTGAATGCACTTAAGCCCTTTTGTAGTAACTAGGGTAAATGCCATGGCAAGATACTGAAACATTTAGTTATAGATAACCCTGTTAAGCAGGATACAGAATCACCAAGTTTAAATTAATCCTGCCTAAACAGAGTACAGCAGCACTTAGTATAAATAACCCCTACTAAACAGAGTATAGCAGCACCCACTTGTCAAATGTAGATGAGGCGGCCAGGTAGATGAAGTTCTCATAGTGCAGCTGCTCCCCTTCCTCTGATTTATCTAAAGCATAGCTGGCTGATGTACCTCCCATGATGCTCAGGGTCAACCTCAGGGGCTGGACTGTTGGCTCGTCCCAGGCATAGGGGACTGGTGTAATAAGAAATATTATTATTAGTTGGCAAACTGTTGTCTGAGACACACTGGGTGTGGCTTATTCTGAGCTTCTGATGTACAGGTGTGTGTGACTGAATCAGTGGATGTTAACTTGTTCTGTACTAGATGAGTGTGAGTGATATATGACTGAATGAGTAGATGTGACTTGCTCTGTGTGTGTGGCTAGATGGTGTGTATGACTTACTGAATGTAAATTTGTGGGTATGAACTATTGACAATGTGACTGGGAGGGTGGATGTGACTTACTGACTGTGACTGGATGTGTAGCTATGACTTACTCTGTGTGTGTGGCTTGATGAAGGACTTGAGTCTATCATCAGAGACCCCAGTTTGATGGTACAGTACAGGAACCTGCAACAAAGTAAAGGTTTTACCATCTGATGTAAAGCACTGTTTGACCAACAATTAGATTACACAATAGAGGTTAACACCATCACATGCAACTTGTTCTATTCTGGTGTTCCATACCTTACCCAGGTACATGGGATAGATTATGTCAACCAGGTAAATGGGATGGACCTTACTTCACTCAGGTAAATAGGATGGACCTTACCTCACCCAGGTAAATAGGATGGACCTTACCTCACCCAGGTAAATGGAATGAACCTTACCTCACCCAGGTAAATGGGATGGACCTTACCTCACCCAGGTAAATGGGATGGACCTTACTTCACTCAGGTAAATAGGATGGACCTTACTTCACCCAGGTAAATGGGATGGACCTTACTTCACCCAGGTAAATGTGATAGACCTTACTTCACCCAGGTAAATGGGATGGACCTTACTTCACCCAGGTAAATGGGATGGACCTTACTTCACTCAGGTAAATAGGATAGACCTTACTTCACTCAGGTAAATGTGATAGACCTTACCTCACCCAGGTAAATGGGATGAACCTTACCTCACCCAGGTAATGGGATGCACCTTACCTCACCCATGTAAATGGGATGAACCTTACTTCACCCAGGTAAATGGGATGGACCTTACTTCACCCAGGTAAATGCGATAGACCTTACTTCACCCAGGTAAATGGGATGGACCTTACTTCACCCAGGTAAATGGGATGGACCTTACTTCACTCAGGTAAATAGGATAGACCTTACTTCACTCAGGTAAATGTGATAGACCTTACCTCACCCAGGTAAATGGGATGAACCTTACCTCACCCAGGTAAATGGGATGCACCTTACCTCACCCAGGTAAATGGGATGCACCTTACCTCACTCAGGTTGTCAATCCTGAAAGGTGGGGGCATGACGTCAGCATCAGCAAAGACTGTGAAGAAGGTGGGTCCCTGCTGGACCACCTCCACTTTAAGCAGGTGACAGGTGCCATTCATGTCCCTGTCAAGTAAACAATCAGTGGTCACTATCTTAATGTGGTCATGTCAAGTAAACAATCAGTGGTCACTATCTTAATGTGGCACACCTGTATTGAGTACCAATCTGACTACTTGTTACATGTAACATAAGGTGCCATTCATGTCCCTGTCAAGTAAACAATCAATGGTCACTATATTAGCATGGCACACCTGTATTTAGTATTAATCTGCCTACTTGTTACATGTAACATAAGAAAACACTGAACATCTTGATTTTAAGTTGTCTTGGAAGATAAGAAAGCAGGAATTTACTGGGCTAACATCAGTCAATGTATACCAAGAATTAATTAATCCCCCAACAATGTGGGTCCTCCTACCTCATGTTGATGTGAAAAGAATGAATCTTGTCAATGTGGAAGCCACCAGACCATTTGCAGTGCTCAATGTTTGGATGTATAAGTTGTTATGTGGAGAAAGACAACCCCCCCCCCCCCTCCCCCAACAATATGGGTCCTATTACCTCATGTTGATGTGGAAAGAATGAATCTTGTCAATGTGGAAGCCACCAGACCATTTGCAGTGCTCAATGTTTGGATGTATAAGTTGTTATGTGGAGAAAGACAACCCCCCCCCCCCCTCCCCCAACAATATGGGTCCTATTACCTCATGTTGATGTGGAAAGAATGAATCTTGTCAATGTGGAAACCACCAGACCATTTGCAGTGCTCAACATCCAGCACTTTGACACACAGCAGCTGGTTCAAATCCACCCTGGGCCAGTGATAGGGCAGGGAGGACTGGGGGAATGCTGTCAGGTATTCTGGCTGGTTCACCTAGAGGGAGCAGGTAAAAAAAAACATTAGTCCCCATTTATAACCCTAGACCTATTTGACAGTCCGATCTATGAAATTCTTCCCCTCCCCCCATGAAATACCCCTGTCAATATGCCCCCATTATGGTTACCCCTAACTCAAGAAAATGGTTTTACATGTTATTGATAAAGTATATGGTTATACAGCAAAAAATACTGTTATTCAAACCAACAGTTTGAACTTTAAAAAAATAAGACTGGTCTGTTTAAAGAACAAACCTCTTTCTTGGTCATAAACTGCTGGGTGATGGCCAGCTTGAAGCTGGACTGGTTGTCCAGGACAAAGTGGGGGGCAAAGGTCACAATGTTTGTACCCCTGTAGCGACCTCTGCCTGCTGACACCTGGATACCAATGTTGTAGACCCTGGAGACACCAGAACAAAGATATTAGCTTTAGCTGAATGTGTATACACATTAGCCTTACTTGAATGTATATACACATTAGCTGTACCTGAATGTGTATACACATTAGCTTCACTTGAATGTGTAAACATTAGATTGAATTGTAAACGGATTCGCCTGACTTAATAAATAGATGACTTGTTTTAACCTAACTATCACCCATTAAATCTAAGTTTCTAATATTTTAGGATATTTGATCCCACTCCCACCATCTTGAAGTATTTGATCCACTGTATTATCAATGGTTACAGTGTTATAACCCACTATGCCTTGAGCTGCTTGACTCACCTGTCTGGCCTGTTGCCCTCCATCTGTACCACGTGAAGAGCTCTCTTTGATGTCCCACCTTCCAGGGAAAATTTGACACTCCTACAACAAGAAAATATTAGCAGTGACTTTCTACATGTAACATCTCACACTCTGCTCTAGAACTGTAGTAATAACAACAAGTTTTTTATATAGTCCAAAGAAATCTACTCACCACTGTGGTCTTGTGCCTGCTCCATGGACTGATGTCCCTACTCGCATCTGACATCTGAAACAAAATGTTTACATTAATTGACTACTTCTTTCAGACAATATTATTGTTTTTGGAATACAATTTAAATAAAACTACCATTATTACTTTGTGAATTTATCAAAATTATTAAAAAATTATTTGTTTCTTCTGGAAGAACTAGAGTAGGTAGGCATGTAGGTTTTCTGATACCGTCATACAGACCTCAAAGTTTTGGTACACGTGCAGACACCTACACATAAGCGACTATATCAAATAAGCCAAGAGTTCCCTACAACAAAGGATTTACAGTAGCCTAAAATTAGGGGCAGTTAACTCTAAAACACTTCAGCCCCTGAAAATAAAAAAGAACTTACAGATGAACCTCGTCATTGTCAGAGAAACTAAACAAGAGGGGGGTGACACTTCGTGCCTGCTCGTGCTCCTCAAACTGCCCGGCTGCTGTAACTTTGGAACCATCCTGACGAAACACCAGAGGTATACCAGACTTGTTGACCAGCCAGAACTGGGCAGAGATGATCAGCTGAAACATAGGGATTGATCAAGGTTAGGTGTTCTAAGGATTCTAAGATCAGCTGAAACAGCAGTTGGCATCAAGGTTAGGTGTTCTAAGGATTCTAAGATCAGCTGAAACAGCAGTTGGCATCAAGGTTAGGTGTTCTAAGGATTCTAAGATCAGCTGAAACAGCAGTTGGCATTAAGGTTAGGTGTTCTAAGGATTCTAAGAAGATCAGCTGAAACAGCAGTTGGCATTAAGGTTAGGTGTTCTAAGGATTCTAAGATCAGCTGAAACAGCAGTTGGCATTAAGGTTAGGTGTTCTAAGGATTCTAAGATGATCAGCTGAAACAGCATTTGGCATTAAGGTTAGGTGTTCTAAGGATTCTAAGATGATCAGCTGAAACAACAGTTGACATTAAGGTTAGGTGTTCTAAGGATTCTAAGATCAGCTGAAACAACAGTTGGTATAAGGTTAGGTGTTCTAAGGATTCTAAGATGATCAGCTGAAACAACAGTTGGTATTAAGGTTAGGTGTTCTAAGGATTCTAAGATGATCAGCTGAAACAACAGTTGCCATAGGGATTTATCAAGGTTAGGTGTTCTAAGGATTCTAAGCTGAAACAACAGTTGGTATGTTGAGTAATTAAGGTTAGGTGTTAAGAAAATAACAGTAGTGGGATTAATGTGCTGCCTACAGTTTTGTTTAAATATAGCAATAATTGTCCATATTTTTGGCCATTTGTCAAAGATCAGACCTAGATGTATCAAAAAACTTTTTTTGAGATTTAGGTAAAGGGATTGAATGTCATAACAATGCTTTTACTAACTCAACTGGTCAGACATCTTTTTTAAAAGTTCAGGGTAATACTTTACATGGCATAACTCTACCACAGATCCTGACCGGGTGGGACAGAAGGTGGGTTGAGTGAAACGTCTGCAACCCCTACTTGAAAAAAATAAAGTAACCACAAATAGAGAAAGAGAAATATGGGTCCTGAGAGAAGGTGGATTTCAAAATGGAAAAAGATGTCTAAAGTGATGAAAACCAAGCACTAGAAAGATGGGTTAATACTGGTGGCAGTTGTAGACTAGCTTAGGATTGAGTTGTGTAGATAGCTTGCATTGCTGGCTTATGTTCCTGTGGGACAGGCTATCAGAACCTAAATGACAGACACAGACATACACATGGAACCAGACAGACAAAAGCCCTACCAGTACAGAACCTCCCTTGAGACAACCATAAACTAAATGACAGACATACACATGGAAGTAGCCAGACAAAAGCCCTACCAGTACAGAACCTCCCTTGAGACAACCATAAACTAAATGACAGACATACACATGGAAGTAGCCAGACAAAAGCCCTACCAGTACAGAACCTCCCTTGAGACAACCATAAACTAAATGACAGACATACACATGGAAGTAGCCAGACAAAAGCCCTACCAGTACAGAACCTCCCTTGAGACAACCATAACCTAAATGACAGACATACACATGGAAGTAGCCAGACAAAAGCCCTACCAGTACAGAACCTCCCTTGAGACAACCATAACCTAAATGACAGACATACACATGGAAGTAGCCAGACAAAAGCCCTACCAGTACAGAACCTCCCTTGAGACAACCATAACCTAAATGACAGACATACACATGGAAGTAGCCAGACAAAAGCCCTACCAGTACAGAACCTCCCTTGAGACAACCATAACCTAAATGACAGACATACACATGGAAGTAGCCAGACAAAAGCCCTACCAGTACAGAACCTCCCTTGACTATGTTGACCCTAACAACCAGCTTCAGCATGCGCTTGTTGTTGTCATATATCCTCAGCAGCAGCTTCTTGTGGCTCATGTTGGGGGAGAAGGTCAGCTCCTTACAGTCAGGGAAGTTTTCAAGGTGGATGCCCAGGTGGAAATTTTGTAAAACATCCAACTGAGGAGTAATGGAACAAGTACATATTTAATGCTACATGTCTATCTTTAATGCTACATGTCTATCTTTAGTGCTACATTTCCATCTTTAATGCTACATGTCCATCTTTAATGCTACATGTCTATCTTTAATGCTATACATCCATCTTTGATGCTACATGTCTATCTTTAATTCTACCAGTCAGTCTTTCATGTATCAAGTCAATCTTTAATGCTACAGGTCAATCTTTACTGCTTCCAGTAAGTCTTAAATATTGCAAGTCATGTAACCAGTCAATCTATCCTGTATCCATTCAACCTTTGATACATCAAGTCAATCTTGAATGCTACTAGTCAATACTTGTTGTAACTATTCAATCTTTCTAGTAACCATTCAATTTTTCTTATAACCATTCAATATTTCATGTAACCCTTTAATCTATGATGTATCAAGTCAGTTTTTCTTGTAATCATTCAATATTTCATGAATTAAGTCTATCCTTAAAGCTTCAAGTCAATCTTTAACAAGTCAATCTATGATGTAACAATTTTTCTAGGAAAAATTTAAATCTTTAATGGATCAAGTCAATTTTTAATCAAATAAGCCAACCTTGAATGGGACAGTTCAATATTAAGGGGGTGAGTAAATAAAACAATTTAAAACCATTGCTGTTTTCAAATAGAGAGACCTACCCCATGTAAAGCCGCCTGTTTGCCTGCCTTCAGATTGCCAGAGACTCCGGTTCCCTTCAGGTAGTAGTGCAGCTCCAGGGGCAGTAGGTTCAGCAGGGTCACAGGGGGTAGCAGGGTCAGGACATGCCCTGGCAAGGTTGGGTGGATGACCCCGTGGCCATGTTGGCCTGTGCCTCCAAGGGTTACCTCTAGTGGGTATTTCTGACGGGTCACACACACAAAAAACCTGGCAGGATTTTATCGAATTTAGACATTTTTTAAATTGAAAAATAAAATAACTGCTACGCAGAGGCGTAGCGAGGGGAGGGCTGGGAGTACATTTGTCCCCGTTGCCGCCAAAATGGGTTGGAAAAACAAATTAAACAGTTTTGTATTATAAAAATAAAAAACATATGGGGAAGGGGGGTGTGCAAATGGAAAGTTTGAGAGGGATGGGGTGCAAATTGAAAGGTTGTTCACGAGGGGGGGCGCCAAATTGAAAATTTGTCCCCGGACGCCGGGAAGGGTCGTGACACCTCTGCTGCCACGTTCAAAGTTCATAAGTATAAACACAAAATCAGCCAAGAACTAAAAATGTCAAAGATTGCGCAATAATATTTCACTGCTGACACAATAGTGCACTGATATGAGCACAAAATGTAGCCTAGAGGCTCAAACACCAACCTATAGACACCATCTTCCCCTGGACCAATCACATCACATGTTCTTATCCCATCAGGGTGCTCTCCACACTTCTTCACATGCTGCCAATCAAGAGGCTTCTTACAAAAGTGGACTGGCCAATCAGCAGGCCTGGCTCTAATCCTCATGTTGATACAAGAGAGTGGTATAGGGAGCGTGCTGTTCACTGGGATGGTTAAACTCTTGCACTGGCCTGAGAAAAAGTATCCAGATGTTATTGAGATATTATCAAAGGTGTTAACACAAAGTGATAGGGAAAAAACGGCTTAAACAGAAAATTGTTTATAAAGTGACCTGATTCATCAAGGGCCTCCACCCTGAGGTTAAAAAGGCTGTCAAGTTTATTATGTACAATGTCAATATACAAGTTGCATACTGACCTGATTCATCAGTGGCCTCTAGCCTAAGGTCAACAGGGCTGTCCAGCCTGTTGTGAATGACAAGAGCAGATCTAACAATAATCAATTTTCTGGCACTTCCTTCTTGCTGGACCTCAAACACCACACGGGCTGGGATCACATCAGGCTAGAGTTGAACAAATATAACATGGGACTAGAGTAGAGAACAGTTAACAATCATAACATCAGGCTTGAGAGTAGAACAGTGGAACAATTATCACATCAGGCTTGAGGGGCAAAATAAAAAAACAAATAAAATGTGGGCCCAGAGGAAAAAAGTAGAAAAAATAAAACATTGGGCTGGGTAGTAAATAAAATTAGAACTAACAAGGAAAACCTGAAGCTAGAGAAAACAATAGAATACATGAAGTTTCATACAAAAAAAAAATATAAAAAAAGATTATTATCAAAAAGATAAAGAACAAAAGAGAAACAACAAAATAAGAAAAACTCCAAAAACTGCTGGATCTAACATACAGAAAATTGCAGTTTTGATCTGCAAAAGATCGAACTATGAAAAACAGAATCAATAGAAAAGTCGTGGAGAAAAAAAATGAGTAGTAGTTAAGATGAAACCTACAGGGGCTTTGAGTTCAGGTTCAGCATGCCTGAAGTAAATCCCAATCTTGTCCACAGACACAGGGGACAGTTTCTGCCAGCCCTCCACAGTCACCAGCAGTTGGTTCACATGCATGGCATGGGATTTCTGAAAGAAAAGTTATTTATGTTCCATTTTACTTTTGGATTGTACCAACTTTCTATCAAGTTAAGTTTTTTCTCCGGCTTAAATTTTAACTTGTAACAACTTTCTATGATTTGAAGTATAGTTTTTATCTGCCATCTTTATTTATTAGGGGTGTCTTTCTCCTCAAAAACTGATTGGCCAGATTTTGATGATGATAAAGCCCAAAAAAAGGTTCTTTAAAGAAATTTTATCAATATAATTTTTTTTAAACTCCTGTCTGGAATAAATTAAGATTCCCATTATAAGTATATATATATATAAGTATATTCCCATCCCAGTATATATTCCAATGAAAAACAAGTTATGGATGTTATGGATAACAAGAGACCTGGTGACGCAGTTTGCCCTGTCTCTGGAAATGGAATGGCTTGCTCTCCCCTGGTCCCACTCTCTTCCACTCTGATACGGTCAAGTAGGCAGAGTCCAGTTTCTGGTCTTTCTGGTTCTCTGTCACCAAACTGTAGAAAAACAAAAACTTTGATTAGAACTAATGGCTGGCACCTACTTGGTTGGTTTGGTTGTGGTACCTACTTGGTTGGTTGTGGCAGTATTGGTGTGTGGTTGTGGCACCTACTTGGTTGGTGTGGTTGTGGTACCTACTTGGTTGGTTGTGGCAGTATTGGTGTGTGGTTGTGGCACCTACTTGGTTGGTGTGGTTGTGGTACCTACTTGGTTGGTTGTAGCAGTATTGGTGTGTGGTTGTGGCACCTACTTGGTTGGTGTGGTTGTGGCACCTACTTGGTTGGTGTGGTTGTGGTACCTACTTGGTTGTGGCAGTATTGGTGTGTGGTTGTGGCACCTACTTGGTTGGTGTGGTTGTGGCACCTACTTGGTTGGTGTGGTTGTGGTACCTACTTGGTTGGTTGTGGCAGTATTGGTGTGTGGTTGTGGCACCTACTTGGTTGGTGTGGTTGTGGTACCTACTTGGTTGGTTGTGGCAGTATTGGTGTGTGGTTGTGGCACCTACTTGGTTGGTGTGGTTGTGGTACCTACTTGGTTGGTTGTGGCAGTATTGGTATGTGGTTGTGGCACCTACTTGGTTGGTGTGGTTGTGGCACCTACTTGGTTGGTGTGGTTGTGGCACCTACTTGGTTGGTGTGGTTGTGGCACCTACTTGGTTGGTGTGGTTGTGGCACCTACTTGGTTGGTGTGGTTGTGGCACCTACTTGGTTGGTGTGGTTGTGGTACCTACTTGGTTGTGGCAGTATTGGTGTGTGGTTGTGGCACCTACTTGGTTGGTGTGGTTGTGGCACCTACTTGGTTCATGTAGTTGTGGTACCTACTTGGTTGGTTGTGGCAGTATTGGTGTGTGGTTGTGGCACCTACTTGGTTGGTGTGGTTGTGGCACCTACTTGGTTGGTGTGGTTGTGGCACCTACTTGGTTGGTGTGGTTGTGGCACCTACTTGGTTGGTGTGGTTGTGGTACCTACTTGGTTGTGGCAGTATTGGTGTGTGGTTGTGGCACCTACTTGGTTGGTTGTGGCAGTATTGGTGTGTGGTTGTGGCACCTACTTGGTTGGTGTGGTTGTGGCACCTACTTGGTTGGTGTGGTTGTGGCACCTACTTGGTTGGTGTGGTTGTGGCACCTACTTGGTTGGTGTGGTTGTGGCACCTACTTGGTTGGTGTGGTTGTGGTACCTACTTGGTTGTGGCAGTATTGGTGTGTGGTTGTGGCACCTACTTGGTTGGTGTGGTTGTGGCACCTACTTGGTTCATGTAGTTGTGGTACCTACTTGGTTGGTTGTGGCAGTATTGGTGTGTGGTTGTGGCACCTACTTGGTTGGTGTGGTTGTGGCACCTAGTGTGTTGGTGTGGTTGTGGTACCTACTTGGTTGGTGTAGTTGTGGCACCTACTTGGTTGGTGTAGTTGTGGCACCTACTTGGTTGGTGTGGTTGTGGCTGTGTGGAACCACAAGCTGCTCCCTGTGTCATTCCTGATGGTGTATGGTATAAACGGCAGCCTCTTGTGGTGGAACTCTGAGGAGTTGCTGGAAGACCTGGAGATCCTCGACTTATCTTTGTACTGGCTCAGGTAGTCCGCAGCCCATGTCCCACTCGTCTGCTTGTACAGGTCAATCAGAGTAGACGTGATGTTCAAGTTTAAAACATCTGAGGCTACAACAGAATTTGTTTTTATGATTATTAATGTTTTTAAAGGTGGGGGTATATTTTAAACATATAATATACAATGTTGTTATTAAGATAAAGGGATATATTTAAAACACAATCTATGGGGATTTTTAAGATGAAGGGAATCTTTAATGTTTTATTTACACATAGGGATATGTTTAAAGCAAACATAATCAGGATAGTAATGTGTCGAACCTGCAATTCCTACTGCCAGTTTTTTCTCAGGTTTACTGTACTGTTTCCAATCAATACAGCATCTGAAACAATTTTCATACAATAAGTAATTAATAGTTGTAGGCCTATATGTAACCTAACTTCTTACATAAACATGACATTAAAACTTAATAGAAGTTGACTAAAATATCAGCTTTTTATGGCAATCAGTAAAGATATCAAAAGATCTGAGCCTAACATTCATGGCTTGGCTATGGAAGATCACAATCTATAGCTATCAGACCTGAGCCTCTGTGGCTATCAGTTAGAAAAGACCTGAGCCAAACCTCCACAGCTCAGCTAGAAAAGACCTAAGCCATACCTCCATAGCTCAGCTAGAAAAGACCTGAGCCAAATCTCCACGGCTCAGCTAGAAAATACCTAAGCCATACCTCCATAGCTCAGCTAGAAAAGACCTGAGCCATACCTCCACAGCTCAGCTAGAAAAGACCTAAGCCATACCTCCATAGCTCAGCTAGAAAAGCCCTAAGCCATACCTCCACAGCTCAGCTAGAAAAGCCCTGAGCCACACCTCTAAAGCTCAGCTAGTAAAGCCCTGAGCCATACCTCCACAGCTCAGCTAGAAAAGCCCTGAGCCACACCTCTAATGCTCAGCTAGTAAAGCCCTGAGCCATACCTCCACAGCTCAGCTAGAAAAGCCCTGAGCCACACCTCTAAAGCTCAGCTAGTAAAGCCCTAAGCCATACCTCCACGGCTCAGCTAGAAAAGACCTAAGCCATACCTCCATAGCTCAGCTAGAAAAGACCTAAGCCGTACCTCCATAGCTCAGCTAGAAAAGCCCGAAGCCGTACCTCCACAGCTCAGCTAGAAAAGATCTGAGCTATAATTACACGGCTCAGCTAGAAAAGCCCTGAGCCAACTCACTAGAATCTACTAACCTCCACGGCTCAAGACATGGCTCCCACCCTGAGAGTTTCCTGTTGTAATATTCTGCTATCAGCTGAAAGGTCGCCCTCCCTTCTATTGTTGGGTCCAGTTCTTGTTGAATTTTCAAAGCTAGTCAAACACAATTAAGGCTAGGGTTAGTTCACATTACATCAAGTTTCAGTTACCAAACCTAGTTAGTACAAAATGAAGTCAACATATTTATTCAGACTTTATAAAAATATGACTAATCTTACCATTGCAAGAAATTTCAACCAATGGAATATCAGCATCTCCACAGTCATCAATCAAACAGAGTGTGATACTTGCATCATTCAGCTGGAAGATAGATTACAATTTCTAAAAACAGTAACTTAATGTCACTAGTAGACAAATTCTATCATCTAATACTCACATCCACATCCTTGCTCAATTGCCAATATCTAACAAAAGCAATCAAAATTCACCTAAACAGAAGCACCAACACCAACCAAAAAAACAGCACCAACACCAACCACAAAAACAGCACCAACACCTACCACAAAAACAGCACCAACACCTACTATCACAATAGCCAACATACCTCACAACCAGCAACTAACACCCACCTCAACAAAAGCAATCAACACCCACCTCAATAGCCGTGATCAAATCTTGATCAGAAGAAAAAACTGGAGAGGTTTGAACAGCGGCCTTTGTGTTCTGGTGTTTGATGTTGTCTGTCAGCCACAGAGCTGCCTCTTCCAGGTCCCAGCTGGTGGCAGCCAGAGCCTTTCGCACATCACCCTCAGCAAAGCCCAGCTCCAGCAGCTGTGCCACCTCCTCTTCTGTTGGAGAATAAACAAACCTACTAGAAATTTCATCACTTACACTCCTGTTATCTTAGGATCAATGAAAAACATACCTTTACAAAAGACTATCTCTAACAAAACAATTACTTATGACATACCATCAAGATCTACAAAAGTCACAAAATACAGCACTTATAAAAAAATTATTCTGTAACAAAATAATAACTTCCATTGAGAACTACACACAAACACAAAATTACCAACAGGTACACAATTATCCTTGTCCATCACATCCTTACAAGTCAACAATTCACCTTTCAGTCCAAAAATAACCCTCCTTTTCTCATCCACCACCCACCCTGCCACCACTACTCACCCTTCTCCTCCTTCCCATGTTGAGCTAACTCCTCTGGTGAGACACTCTTGCCATCCCCAAACATAGGTGAAAGGTCACCCTCTCTGGATGTGGACAACTTCTGCCTGTCTGTGGACTCTGTGGATGTTGAGAGTGCTGTGGCCTGCTGCTTGGCCTGCAGGGCTTGCTGGGGTAGAGAGTTCATGATGGCCAGGAACATGACCAGGTCATGGTAGGACACTCGGATGTTCAGTGTGTTGTGGAGGGCCAACTGAAAATATGGGATGGATTGTAATGTATTATGAAGGGCCAACTGAAAATATGGGATGGATATTTGTTATTCAGGGTCAACTGAAAATATGGGATGGATATGTTATTCAGGGCAAACTGAAAATATGGAATGGATTTTAATGTGTTATTCAGGACAAACTGAAAATATGGAATGGATTTTAATGTGTTATTCAGGGCAAACTGAAAATATGGGATGCACAAGTGTTATGCAGGGCCAAATGAAAATATGGGATGGATATTTAATGTGGTATGGAGAGCCACCTAAAAATATGAGATGATTTGTGCTGTGGAGGGGAAACTGAAATAATGGGATGCGAATAATGTGTCAACTGAAATATGAATCAAAGACCTACCTCTAAAACCATGTGCCTCCTCTGGGCATCCTTAAGCCCCAGCAGACCACTGGAGTTTGGGTTAGGCTGAGGCAGAGGGTTAGCATTCAGCTCAATGCTGATAGCAATAGGGTCAATGATGGAGAGGGCTGTCTCTTCCTCGGCCATCAGACAACAGGAAAACAGTTCCACACCTTGGAGGGAACAGGAGAGAACCTTGTCCTTAGCTTGGGGTTTGTAGATGATCACAGCAGTGTTCTGGGGATAACAGATGTATGTGGACAGTTTATACATGGGGAATAAACATCACACTTCATACAAGCAGAAAATATATTTTAAGTACACAATGTTAAATCAAGGGATGGTGGGGTTAAGTGGGATAGTGTATAAAGTCTTGAGTTCATACAATATCTCTGAGCCCCCCCCCCCCCTCCCCAGCTCTGAAGGGGTACCTGACTTCAGTTGGGGAAAGTAAAGCCAATAAATACACGTTTTATATATGTTGAGGTTGTAGTATCAGGTGAGCTTTACTTCACCTGTCCCATAGGCTACCAGAGTAGAAAGGCAACTTCTACTTTTCAATTAGTCATGAGAGAAATCTTGAAAAATAAATGGGCTGATCAACCACTAAACATGGCCACTTACTTTTAAACCTTTAACTGAAACAAGTAGTTACCTTTAGGATCACAGCATTTGTATCTAGGGAAGTTGAATCTTCAACAACAACAAACTGGGTGTCAGAGAAGTTGAGCACCAACTCAAAGGGAACCTTGACCTGTGGACAGTGGTGAGTAGCATTAGGTATAGGCTTTAAGAGGTAGAGTGGCTAGCATTAGGTATAGGTTTACAGTGGTAGAGTGGGTAGCATTAGATCTAGATTTACAGTGGTAGCATTAGGTATAGCTAAGACAGCATTAAAAATCCTCTAGTCATTACCTCCTCAATAAATGGACCTCTCCTTGTGATGATTCCTCTAGAAACAGTCAATGGGCTTTGGTTTTTGCCACTCTTTAAAGGTATAGGTGAATTGCTGGCTTCAGACACATAAGGGCTTTGGGCTTGATGCCCTGCTGATGATAAAAACAAAGGGTTCAAGTTAAAAATGAAATAGCTATGACATTTTTTATGGCATCTAAACAAATTGTTATCACCTTTAACAAATGTTTTCTTTATCTATAGCTAATGATTTTAACCTCAGGCAAATAATTATTTGTTAGCTTTAGCAAAGTATTTTTAACCATATTCATATTTATCTTTAACAACTTGTTGGTTTTTTTTTTAACTTAGCTCACTATTTCTAACTTCGAAAAATAATTGTTTACTTGTAGCTAATGTATTTTTATGTCTAGCTAATGAATTTTTTTTATAATTAGCATATTGTGTTTAACCTTTAGCAAATGGATCAGGAGGCTCCCTAGACAGGAACTCTTTCATGGCCAGCAGCCAATCAAAGACACACATGAGGCGGACATTGTTGAGGATGATGGTGAAATGTGTGCTGTCTGGTGCTGCTCGCAGGTGCATCTCCATCTGCAGTCCTGTGACGTCCTTAGATCCAGACGAGGGTTGGAGGATACTGGTGAACACATTGGGCCTGCTGTTCACTGGCTCATCTGCCAGAACAAAAACATTCGGTACTTGTCAAAGAACATTGATGTTGAGCAGTAAAACTCTAACAGATACAGTCCAAATTTTGTTCATTACCTTTGTAAAAAAAGTGTTTTCTTTAACTATAGGCCATAGAGAAATTACCACTGTCTGTTGACCTACTCTTAAATCTGGTGTCATACACCCTGATCTCATTAGACACCAGGTCCACCTCCTTCAGCTGGTTGGAGTAGCCGGAGTAGGACAGCTGGGAGCAGATGAAGTCTAGCCGGGCCAGGGACTTCTCCGGGGTGTTGGGATCCATGGGGTGGGAGTGCAGCAGCTCTACTGTCACGTTCCTCAGGTCAAATATCAGACTTATGCCTTTCCATGGCCGACCACTCAAGACAGTCTGAGAGATCACAGGAAAAAAAATGGGTTAGAAATTATTTCCTACAAAACCTTTACTTGATATAACCAAACTTCTGGAACAGCTGTAATTGTGCTTTAAAAATTGTAAGAATTGAATCAGTAAAACAACCTTTACCTTGGTATAATCTATAAATAAATGTTATAATAATTACCACCCTTTCAGAAGATTTTTGTTTAAAACTTATTTCTAATAAAAAAATATTTTGCATGCCACACAAAGTTGTATATAGTACTGAAAATTTAAAAAAAAACTAAAGCTGGGTATTTAATTTTCTCTAAGTACCTAGTTATTAAAATCACTACTTGGCAGTTGCAAAATGCTTGGGTGTGACAAGCTGCTGGTCTCTTCACTAGACCAACTACAGCTAAATTAAAAGCCTTAGACAAGCTTAACAACTTATGTACCAGCTGCAACTAAATGTCTTAAACTATGGTAACTTTAGAATGATTTTAGCTGCCACTATAATGGCTGAAGGGATAAGCTACAATTAACTTTTTTTAATGAACCAGCAACAGCACACACAACTTCACCTGTATCTTAGGATCCTGAAGGTGTGTCATGAGAGGACGCTGGAACTCCTCCAGCCTCTCCCCCAGATTGTGGTGGAGGATTCCTCGGATCAGTTCATACTGGCTGACATCCAGGTGGCAGTCCACGGAGGACAGGTTCCCCTTGATACAAAAATCTGGCGCAGTGTGGCTGACATCTCCTTCCAAATTTCTCTCTATGTGAAGCTCCAGCAGACATTTCTCATTGAGAAGACGCCCATGCTGTAGGAAATTAAACAAGCATTGAATACAGGGTAAACAATAAGGTCAAGTACACTAAATTGTTTTCTCTTTGAAGTAATATATAAAGGGAGATAATCAAAGATAACATTTAAACATTTTTTTAAACTGCAACAAATTTAACTAGTGGTGTATTTGATCATAAAATTAAATTAAATTATTCTAAACTGATCAAATATTATATCTTTTTTTAAAAACAGTCTAAACAATTACGTTAAAAAGTAGATCAATAAAAAAAAAGCACAAAAAAACAACCTCTCTCTCCACAACAAAGTTAGAGAACTCCATATCTGTTGACAGATCACCACGTTGGTATTCAGATTTAGAGATCCGCTTGGCAGTGAAGAGGTCCATGTCAGTTAGTGTGACAGATATGACGTCCAGCATACATCTGTAGTCCTCCTCCTCCTCTTCTTTAGTGTCAGTGCTCTCGTTCACTGAGGCCTGACGCTTTGCTGATTCAAACTTTGCATGTTGGCTGTAAGTAAAATACCTCCAAGTTAAGTAGTGATATGAAACACACATATAAGAATAATACTATATAAATGCAACCAAAATATGCTTGAGTTCAGAATGGTAACAAATTTGTGAAATTTATTAAATATACCTAGTACTTTTTAAATTATGAATTTTTTTTAAATTAAAACTTTTTTTAGCAAATATGAAGCAAGTAAATACTATGATTAAATAAATTTGAATAAAAAGAATTAAGAAAAAAATCTTATGATTAAAAACAAGACTTCAAAATTTAAAAAAAAAATCCATCTTCATTAAGAGTATCAACATTAAATGTTAGTAGCCTCGGAAAGAATCAAAATCTTTGAGGCAGAACAGATGCTAGTTTAGAGTTGCAGTCTTAAGGTCTTGACATACTGCTGATAACACACATCAGACCAATAAAAAGATACTTACCTAGACATCAGGTAAGACTCGCTCAAATGTCTTTGCATCTTAGGATGAGTACCACCCCCAGGCAGTACAGTTCCCAGCCCTGTTGTGTTGAGCCCTTCAAGACGATAGTCACCATCCAGACTTCCATACACGCTCTGGGACATTGGGTCATGGGGTTGTGTGGGGGGATACGATGCATTGAGCTGGCTCTCTGTCATAGTTCTCAGGAAAATATCCTTTTGTTGAGCTGTTTCTGTATTACTGTGCTGTTTCACTATAGTCTAAAATATTAATAAATGTTGACAATCATTTATTGAAGGAAAAAGTGCATGTTTCTAACTAGCGCTTAAGTGTAAACAAAAAAAAAAGTAATGTAATTATTCAATCATCAAGCTTGAAACTTCAAATATCTTTCCTAACAAACTTTTCATTAACTTGAAGTTGGCACTTGGTTTTATACACAAACAGACCTCTTTCCTGGCAGCTCTCAGAGTCCCTGTCTGTCCATCAAGGAGGAAAATGTTCCTGAGCTTGAGGTGGCCTAGATCAACAACCAGCAGGGACTTGGTCCTGGAGCTGTGGGGGATGAGAAGGATGGGGGACAGGGCCTCAATGTCCAATGATATTCTGGATCCTCTCGTAGCTTTGTCTGTGATCTATACAGTGACGGAAAAGCATGCTGTTATATTCAAATATTAAAACAAACAAAAATTTGTAACTTTATTAACTTGGCACTTTTTGTAGACTTCTCTATTATCTAAATATTGAAAAAAAAATTGTATTGTTTCTTCTCAGGTCTAGAAAACAAAGCAAAATGTTGGCAGTTCATTTTTCAACAGGAAAACAACAACTATGACTACCTGTTTCCCAACAGATGCTGCCCTCTGACGACCTAGCAGATCTTGTAACTGGAGAAAATGTTGGACAAACGCCACCATCTCAGCCTGGAAGCGGTTGGTGTGGAGATAGCGCACTGATGACATTCTAAGTTTCAGGCTGATGTCAAATTCCCTTTGTAAGCCTGGATCAGGCATACCAAATCTGGAACAGTGAAAAAAAAAATTTAACTAAATTCATTTCAAGTATTTTTAGATTTGTTTCAAATCTTTTGCATTTCTAGATTTTAATTTAGTAATTTATAGAGAAAATATTTAGAATTAATGTCACTAAATTCAATTATTTCTAGAGAAAATTTAACGTTCATTTTTTTTTTTTACAAAGAAAACTAAATATCCTAAAGTAAATAAAAGATATGACAATATTCATAAATACATTAAATAATTAAACAAAATAGTTATGCTCCTAATTCTAAGACAGAATTTATTGATATACTGGTTACTAATGAACAACATAAGAGACAAGTGCAAGAAGAAAAAATAATCTTACTTGAAAAAGTTAAACTCCACAACTTGACGCCCAGTGGAAACAAATCTTTGCCTGTACAGCTGGCCATGGGGGGACTCATCCAGTAGAGAGAGACTACCCAGCTGACCACTGGCCGAGAGATTCCCATCCCTGGTGACAATGTGAGACTTGAGGTCAGCAACTGTGGCGTGAGCCAGCTCGTAGTCAGGTTTGTTGAAGATGAGGGTAAAGCTTTCCACCTGGAAATTGATGTCCGAGTTCACATCTTCTTTGACGCCTGTAGACAAATATTTTCATCATTAAACCTACACAGTCACGTCTTTGACACATGCACACAAATATTTTTATCATCAAACCTACACAAGACTTAAATACAAAATTAATGGTAATTCAGTTAAGGGCATATTTTTTTAAATACCTTGCTTCACTAGTGATATTAAATTTCACTTTCAGACCTAGGTCAGTATAAAGCAGGTGAAGTAGATGTTATCAACACATTAGACGAATATGTGCTTTCAGCACTATGCCCAGCTGCCTTAATTTTTGTTGACTTAAGTCAAGTACTCATTAAGGCTAGACATATAATAACCAGAGATATGCTTTAAAAACAGAGACAAAAAAGACTGAGTACCTTCCACATTTTTCTCCACTTTCCTCTCTGCTTGGGTAGGTGTGTCACTGGTCACATTGACATCATGCACCTTGGCACCCAGACCTAGAAAGTCCAACAACACGACCCAGGTCTGGAGGTTGATGGTGGCATCCAGGCAGGCAAAGTCAACATTCACAAACCTGTTCATCTACACACACACACAAAGGTAGAAACTGTTTATTTACAATGGAACTTACACAAGAACTATAATCTACTAATTTACAGACAAAAATTTTAACTGGTTTCGATTAAACTGTGTTACTAATTGGTGTCACAAAGGTAGAAACTGTCCATTTACAATGAAACATACACACCAACAAGAACTATAATCTACTAATTTACAGACAAAAATTTAAACTGGTTTCCTTTGCATTGTGTTACCAATTGGTGCAAATGAAAGTTAAATTTAAAACAGAATAAATCTTCATAAGATACAGTTTTTAGGTGTCATCCATAAATGATGGTAACACTAATAGGGGGATGGAGAATTATGTAAATTGAAATAAAAACAGATCAATGTAACTAATATTGATGAAGTTCCATTACTATTTCTGTAACAATTCTTGTCTCACAAAATAATTGCAATTTTTTTTTGGGGGGGGGGGGGGGGTTTAGGTTAATTTATGAATGACGTATTTGTTTGCAGGGATGTGACCAGACCAGGAAAAAAAATTAGGAAATTTTTTTCGGATAATAGCTCAATATGCTTTATCTACTTTTTATCGCGGTTAAGCAGCTTCATACTGTTACTGTACTAATAAATTGTTTTATGAAGTTAATATTCTAAATACAAGAAGTTAATGTTACTCTAAAATAACATTGAAAGTCTTGTCTAATTGCAATTTAATGTTTACCTTATAAACAACTTTTTTAAAAATTACAATGTAACAAAAGTAGCTATTAAGTTTTATTTTACCATTAAGCTAATTTAAACTGTAGGCCTACTAATCTGGTGTAGATTCTAGATGTACTCCTGTTTTCAATTTTAAATAGGGGGTCTAATACCCTATATTCTTTTAAAGATTGGATTGGTAAAAATATTTGTCTTCAACTGTAAAGACCCTAGATTAAGATTAGTTATAATTTGAAAGTTTTAGGTTCATGTTATGGAAAAATGAAATGGACCAGGTTAGCTAAGATTAGAAATGGTCTGATGTGTGAACCAAAGTTAATCATTTTGATAGCCAAGCCACATCGATATTTGTTTTTTTGGAATAGCTGTAAATTGTTAGGGGTCATCCACGTTTTTTTGACGATATTTACCTCCCCTCTGTCCTACAAAATCCAGACCCCCCCCCCCCCATAATGACGTCGCATCTCAGCCGCCCCCCCCCCCCCTCGAATTGAATTTGAATTTTTTTTTAAACATCGATTTTTTTTCTAAAATATTGACTGAGGTCGACAAACATAGGGTATCTTATTCAATTTCTATGTTTTACAACAGTTTTCTAAAACTCGTAATAGCGGCTAAAATGCAGTTGTTTCTAACATTACTTTTTTTGAATGCAAAAATTACGACGTTACACTATCTTACGAGTGTGACGTTATTTATGGAAGACCCCTTATTAAAAATTTAAAAACAGTCTGTAGGTATTTTTTCTTCCACAAACAAGACACGGTCGTAGTCACATTGAGTTTAGTATTTTTTTTAATCTGTAGGCCTACGAAGCATACGTATGACTGTGACGTCATTTTTTTCCCCACAAGCAGTACCGAACACGTACTTGGGGTCAAGGTGAGGTCACAAGAGACACCGTTAGTACGAGGTGGGGCGGGTTAGTCTAGTCGTCATAGTCAATTTTAGCAAGGATTTCCATATTAATTTGAGATTGCGAAATAAAATAGAATCAGAGAGAAACTGTAGATTTAGGCGGGTTAAAATACCGATAGATAAATTAGGCTATATCGATAGCTAGATTACCAAGCTTAAGAGATGTAAGTTTCATTTGAATAACTGCATTATACCTTTTACCGTGTTTTTGATAAATAGTTAACTAAAAATATCAGCGGAAAATTTGGACTAAAAAATTGTGCTTTGAAAAATTCGTAAGTCTGCCGAAATTCCGAATCTTAATCTACATTTAATCTTGATCTAGCACCGTCATACCTAGCGCAATCGACCAATCGAAAATAGATGCGCATATTCGAGTGTCCGTTTGACCAAAGTACAGTAGTTGTCGATTTAAATTTAAATACGAATAAGTGGAATGAGCATGTCGGCCCTTTCCTTAGAAGACATTTCCGTTTTTTTTTCCTAATTTTTAAAACTTCGTAAAAAATCGACAAAAATTGAAAGTCAGCGGAAAAATTCGGCGAAAATTAAATCAGCGGAGGAAAAACGCAACTGAAACGGAAAAATCGGATTTCCGCTAAAATTCGGAAAAGTCACATCCCTGTGTTTGAAACAGTGTATCATGCCAGGATATTGATTTGGAACTTTAGATAGCTGCTCAGAAGTTAGAATGGATGGGAATATGTTTGACAGTCAAGTACCTTGTATGTCAGGGCATTAGGAATAGATGAGCTACAGAAACAGAGGGTAACTTCGATGTTAACAATACTGCTGTCATAAGCATAGCAATAAGAAAGTTGTATAGAAAGTTACATCATGTGGAGTCGGATAATAATGGGTTACCTATGTTGTATTTACCTTGTTGTATTTGGTGATATACTCTGGTCTCTTCTTGTCCACCAGCGTGACATCAATGTGCACCAAGTCATCTGTCCTCTTCTGCTGGGATACACTGATATCCCTGGCTACAGGGCTTGGTGGTGGGGTGTATGGGTAGTCTCCCTCACTGGAATACAAACAGTAGTAAAAACAAGGGAAAATGTATGGGTAGTCTCCCTCACTGGAACAGAAACAAGTTCTCATATACAACAAATAAAGAAAAACTAGAGAAAATATTAATTACGTTCTGCGGGTAAATGATTATTTAATTAAAATAACTTTTGAAATAGCTATTGCATAAAAATAGATACTGTAACTCCTGCCTTAATGCTAGTTCCCACCCTAACCGTATTGTAAATTAAAAGCAATTCCAGCAAAAAAAACAACTAAATTATGTATCAGGCTGCCAGCATTTTTTTTTAAAAATCAAAACATAAACTTAAGTAGCTATAAACTTAGACTCTGGACACCATCAACTAAAGCTAGTCACCTGTCTGCTGCTCTCCTGCGCTGATAAGTCGATCCACTTTTATGTTGCTCAAAGTGTTGCATGGGGTTTTCTCCTCTAAAACAACAACACACAAACACATTTTATGTTAACAACTGTTTACTAAGGCTACATCAGATAAACATATCCTCTATAGAGGTGGCTTATTCTGTCTATAATGACCTTACCTGTCTATGAAACTGGATGGAAGAGATGGTGGCATCCGAGGTATGGGTGCCATGATTGTACTATCTGGACATGACTTGGACATGAAAGCTTTAGGCTGCTGGTCAAAAGCTTTGTTTCTGGGGAATTTGGGAAAATGAATTATTTAATTAAGAAATGAATTATTTAATTAAGAACTTTGATGAATAAAACTTGACAACCAAATCATCTATATACTACTAAAAGTCAACTTTGTTTACATGTTTGAATATTTATTTGTTTGCCTGATCGAAAATTGTGATATGTTCGACTCTATCTGGAAAGCTGTAAAATGGTATGCAGGTAGAGAATAATTTTTTAATGCAGACAGACTGTTGATCACAAATTTATTTAAAGACGTTAATTAATTTATTGATTTATTCCTACGCAGAATAACCCATTTTTTTTTTAAATGTTAAAACCTTGACTAAACTTTGTGGGAATAGTGACGTCACAGGTTTTTGTTTACTCTTTAGTACAATAAACTGGCGGCGTCTATTGAAGAAAATTGTGTTCCCATTCAAAAGTTTAACGCGTTCTAAATCTAATTTTCTGTCGGTCATAACTTTAACAATACGTCCGTTTGCTGTATTTATTACGTTCCAACACTTATATCAATTTTCAACTGTCTTTTTCATTTAGTTTTACGATAAATTTCTCTAGATCTAAAGATCAGCTATCGAAGGAAATTTATGAATCTAGCCTAAATCTAGATCTAGCCTAGATGTAGGTCACTAGATTCAATGTAAATTCTACATCTAGAATCTATTTCAGGCCTTAATTATTTTATATAAATCTTTGTTTGGCTTATTTAAGATAAAATTTAATTTGAAAGTTAGTACTAGATCTACTAGACTTATTTTTAGATCTAGATCTAGAATCTATACGCGTAAATCAAGTTGCATAAGGAGACACATAGTATAGTATAAAAATTCACTTGTGACGTCACGAGTAAATAGCTAAAATGGTAGCGTAGTCAGCTCTCATGCAGGAGGCACGGGTTCTAGACCAATATGTCAATGAAATTTTTTTTTTAATTTTTTTTTTTAGATGTGAATGATAACGTTGCCTATCTGAACTTGGCAAGATACAGGGCAGGTGAAGTAGAGTTCATCTGTTTCTTTGTCCTAAGCATATGAAAGGATAGTGTGGTCAGATACATGCCCGGCTGGAATTGTTTTTTAAACGATAAAAACATGTTGTCTGAGACTTGGCAGGACACTGGGCAGGTGAAGTAGAGTTGAGTAGAATACCCGTCATCCGTTGGATAACTGTGGGTTTCGGGGGTCATCCATCAAAAAACATCACGTCTGTCACTCAGAGGCATAGCGACCCTTCCCGGCGCCCGGGGACAAAGTTTTCGATTTGAACCCCCCCCCTCAAACTTTTGATGTGCACCCCCCCCCCCCCCCCACTCAAACTTTCGATTTGAACCCCCCTCAACCTATCAATTTATTTTTCCAAACCATTTTGGCGCCCCAACATATGCCCCCCCTTCCCCCTCCCCACCCCCCGCCTCCCCTTCCCCCCCCCCCCACCCCCCGCCTCCCCTCCCCTACCGTCCCCCCCCCCCCTCCTCGGTACGCTACTGCAGTGTCACTTATCCTCACAAAAAACAGACCCCACATTCAAATATATGTTTTTTATCTTTTAAAAACACCGAAAACACCGATTTCGGACTATCCCTTCATAAACTGACGTCACAGGTGACCTACTCAACTCTACTTCACCTGCCCAGTGTCCTGCCAAGTCTCAGACAACATGTTTTTATCGTTTAAAAAACAATTCCAGCCGAGCATGTATCTGACCACACTATCCTTTCATATGCTTAGGACAAAGAAACAGATGAACTCTACTTCACCTGCCCTGTATCTTGCCAAGTTCAGATAGGCAACGTTATCATTCACATCTAAAAAAAAAAAAAATTGAAAAAAAAAATTTCATTGACATATTGGTCTAGAACCCGTGCCTCCTGCATGAGAGCTGACTACGCTACCATTTTAGCTATTTACTCGTGACGTCACAAGTGAATTTTTATACTATACTATGTATCTCCTTATGCAACTTGATTTACGGCGTATAGATTCTAGATCTAGATCTAAAAATAAGTCTAGTAGTACTAACTTTCAAATTAAATTTTATCTTAAATAAGCCAAACAAAGATTTATATAAAATAATTAAGGCCTGAAATAGATTCTAGATGTAGAATTTACATTAAGTCTAGATCTAGAATTTACATAGAAACCTAGTGACCTACATCTAGGCTAGATCTAGAGTCTAGGCTAGATTCATAAATTTCCTTCGATAGCTGATCTTTAGATCTAGAGAAATTTATTGTAAAACTAAATGAAAAAGACAGTTGAACATTGATATAAGTGTTGGAACGTAATAAATACAGAAAACGGACGTATTGTTAAAGTTATGACCGACAGAAAATTAGATTTAGAACGCGTTAAACTTGTGAATGGGAACACAATTTTCTTCGATAGACGCCGCCATTTTATTGTACTAAAGAGTAAACAAAAACCTGTGACGTCACGGTCCCGCCGAGTCTAGTGGCTTTTCAAATATTTTTTAAAAAAATGGGTTAATCTGCATATGAATAAATCAATTAATTAATTAACGTCTTTAAATAAATTTGTGATCAACAGTCTGTCTGCATTAAAAAATTATTCTCTACCTGCATACCATTTTACAGCTTTCCAGATAGAGTCGAACATATCACAATTTTCGATCAGGCAAACAAATAAATATTCAAACATGTAAACAAAGTTGACTTTTAGTAGTATATAGACTAGAATACCCGTCATCCGTTGGATAACTGTGGGTTTCGGGGGTCATCCATCAAAAAACATCACGTCTGTCACTCAGAGGCATAGCGACCCTTCCCGGCGCCCGGGGACAAAGTTTTCGATTTGAACCCCCCCCCCCTCAAACTTTTGATGTGCACCCCCCCCCCCACTCAAACTTTCGATTTGAACCCCCCTCAACCTATCAATTTATTTTTCCAAACCATTTTGGCGCCCCAACATATGTCCCCCCCCCCTTCCCCCCTCCACCTCCCCCCCTCCCCCCCCCCGCCTCCCCTCCCCACCCCCCGCCTCCCCTCCCCACCCCCCGCCTCCCCTCCCCACCCCCCGCCTCCCCTCCCCACCCCCCGCCTCCCCTACCCTACCGTCCCCCCCCCCCCCTCCTCGGTACGCTACTGCAGTGTCACTTATCGTCACAAAAAACAGACCCCACATTCAAATATATGTTTTTTATCTTTTAAAAACACCGAAAACACCGATTTCGGACTATCCCTTCATAAACTGACGTCACAGGTGACCTACTCAACTCTACTTCACCTGCCCAGTGTCCTGCCAAGTCTCAGACAACATGTTTTTATCGTTTAAAAAACAATTCCAGCCGAGCATGTATCTGACCACACTATCCTTTCATATGCTTAGGACAAAGAAACAGATGAACTCTACTTCACCTGCCCTGTATCTTGCCAAGTTCAGATAGGCAACGTTATCATTCACATCTAAAAAAAAAATTGAAAAAAAAAATTTCATTGACATATTGGTCTAGAACCCGTGCCTCCTGCATGAGAGCTGACTACGCTACCATTTTAGCTATTTACTCGTGACGTCACAAGTGAATTTTTATACTATACTATGTATCTCCTTATGCAACTTGATTTACGGCGTATAGATTCTAGATCTAGATCTAAAAATAAGTCTAGTAGTACTAACTTTCAAATTAAATTTTATCTTAAATAAGCCAAACAAAGATTTATATAAAATAATTAAGGCCTGAAATAGATTCTAGATGTAGAATTTACCGTGCGGCGTCAATTCGGCCAATGACGAAACGGCCCCGTCAAAACGACCCCGACAAAACGACCCCGTCAAAACGACCCCGTCAAATCGGCCCCGTCAAAAGGGCCAGCGACATATGGACCCCGTCATATAGGCTCCCGACAAATAGGCTCCCGTCATTTAGGCTACCGACAAATAGGCTCCCGTTATATAGGCTCCCGACAAAAGGGCTCCAGTCAATAAGGCTCCTGACAAATAGGCTCCCGTCATTTTGGCTCCCGACATATAGTCTCCCGTCATTTAGTTTTTTCCACAAAACGGCCCCCGTCATTACGACTCCCGACAAATAGGCTCCCGCCATTTAGTTTCTCCACAAAACGGCCCCAGTCATTACGACTCCCGACAAATAGGCTAGCGTCATTTTGGCTCCCGACATAAAGGCTCCTGTCAATTTGGCTCCAGACAAAAGGACCACTGACACAGTGGCGTAGCTACCGTAAAGCTAGCGTAAGCAAGGCATGGGGACCCAAGGCACATAGGGGCCCTTTTCCCTCATAAAAAATTAAAACTTTTACAATGGAATTTTAATATTTGTTACATATAAATAATTTTAAAAAAGAAAAAGGTTAAAAGTTCCAAAAAGCCCCCCCCCCCCCCCCCCCCCCCACCGTTTCGGGATTCAGTGTTTGTGGGTCAAACAGAGCCCAATCGTTATAATAACACTACAGGCTATATCACTTTGTCGTGCAAGACATTGAGAGAATCAGCCTATAAATAAACTTTTTAGCAGTAGTAGGCAAGCATAATAATATAGTATAGATACAAAATCAGGACATATAAAATACAAAATGTTGCCTTCAGAATATTTATATATTAAAAAATATCCATCGTAAGTAGAAGTTGATCTCTTCGTTTAACTCCTCTGTAGCCTAACGCAGAGGCGTAGCGAAGGCGAGGCGGGGGGTGCGGACCGCAACGGGTGAAACCATTTAGGGGTGGGGTGACACCAAAGGCAAAAAATTGTAAAATTTATAGAATGAAATGCCATTTTCCAGATCCATTAGTTAAAGTTAAATAGTCATCTAAGTACAAATCGAAAATTATATCAAGAGGGGGGGGGGGGGTGACACCACGACGTAAACGTAAACTATAAAGAAAACAATGCTACATCCAACTGTATTATAAACAGACTGTAGATAAACATCGTTACTATTAAGTCAGCAGTGATTAAAGCTTAAACACGTACGTGTACCAGTATGTGGCATATATATAAATTTTAGGCCTATGTAGGCCGACACACACACACACACACACACACACACACACACACACATATATATATATATATATATATATATATACATATGTAGGCCGACACACACATATATATATATATATATACATATATATATACATATATATATATATATATATATATATATATATATATATATATATATATATATATATATATACATATATATATATATATATATATATATACATATATATATATATATATATATATATATATATATATATATATATATATATATATATATATATATATATATATATATATATACATATATATATATATACATATGTAGGCCGACACACACACACATATATATATATATATATACATATATATACACATATATATATATATATATATATATATATATATATATATATATATATATATACATATATATATATACATATATATATATATATATATATATATATATATATATATATATATATATATATATATATATATATATATATATATATATATATATATATGCTTTGTTTCCTGGGATATATATATATATATATATATATATATATATATATATATATATATATATATATATATATATATATATATATATATATATATATATACATACATATATATATATATATATATATATATATATATATATATATATATATATATATATATATATATATATATATATGCTTTGTTTCCTGGGAGGGGGTGACAATACGAAGTGCCGCACCGGGTGAGACCCGACCTAGCGACGCCACTAGCCTAACGGCTGACGAAGGGGCCCACTGATAATTTTTGCATAGGGGCCCAAAACTTCTAGCTACGCCACTGCACTGACAATACCGTTTCTGTAGAGACTAAGTTGTCCCGGCAAAGCGGTCTCATTGAATATGACATCTGCCAGTGGGACCCCTTCATCAATATTCTTTAGAGTTAGCTTATCCAACACTCTTGTGTAATACAACGTATGCATCTCTTGTTCGGCAGGCCTTATTTTTATATTAGTTTATCTATTATAAAATATAGTATGTTTTAATTTATGTCATCTATCTATGACATCCATAATTGAGTCGGTTATAGGCTGTTCCAACTCATTGTGTGGGGAGAAGGGTCCACGCTGTACTTTCCTAACTGCAATATGCTTGTACAGGGGCGTAGCGAGGGGGGGGGGGGGTTCGGACCGCACCGGGTGACACCATTTAGGGGGGTGACACCAAGGCAAAAAATAGCAAAATATATAGAGAAAAAGTTGAGGGGGCGGGGGTGCAAATCGAAAGTTTGGGGGGGGGGGGGGGGGGTTGCAAATCGAAAACTTGAAAGTTTGTCCCTGGGAAGGGTCGCAACGCCCCGATGCGGGGGGGGGGGGGGGGGGTGATACCATTAAGTGCCGCACCGGGTGACACCCGACCTCGCTACGCCACTGTGCTTGTAGGTTATCAAAACAAAATGCTGTTATCATGTTAACATCATGTATATCATACATTTACACTTCTGTGCTCGCTTTTAAGCAACAGATCTTTTCTGTTGTAAATTAAACATTATCAAAACTTTAGAATTGGTGGAATTTATCTGTTAAGGGCTCGATTTATTTGTGAATTAATGTTGGTTCATGAAAAAATAATTTCATTCGGGCATTAAAAAGAGGTTATGGTGGTATTGGAGGTAGGACACAATGGTTACTTTTATGCCAATAGTGGTCATATCATTTATTTTTCTGGAGCCAATATGTCGGGAGTCATTTTGTCAAAAGCCAATATGTCGGGAGCCCAATTGCCGGGAGCCAATATGTCGGGAGCCCATTTGTCGGTAGCCAAAATGTCGTGAGCCCATTTGCCGGGAGCCCATTTGTCTTGAGCCCTTATGTCGGGAGCCAATATATCGGGAGCCGCTTTGTCGGGAGCCAATATGTCCTGAGCCTATTTGTCAGGGGTTAATATGTCGGGAGTCCATTTGTCGGGAGCCTAAATATCGGGAGCCCATTTGTCGGGAGCCTATATGTCGCAAGTCAATATGACGGGAGCCTATTTGACGGGAGCCAATAAGTCGGGGCCCTTTTGACGGGGCTATTTTGACGGGGTCGGTTTGTCGGGAGTCGATTTGACGGGGTCGTATTAACGGGGCCGTTTTGACGGGGCCGATTTGTCCCGGGCCGTTTTGACAGGGCACCGAATTTACATTGAATCTAGTGACCTACATCTAGGCTAGATCTAGATCTAGGCTAGATTCATAAATTTCCTTCGATAGCTGATCTTTAGATCTAGAGAAATTTATCGTAAAACTAAATGAAAAAGACAGTTGAAAATTGATATAAGTGTTGGAACGTAATAAATACAGCAAACGGACGTATTGTTAAAGTTATGACCGACAGAAAATTAGATTTAGAACGCGTTAAACTTTTGAATGGGAACACAATTTTCTTCAATAGACGCCGCCATTTTATTGTACTAAAGAGTAAACAAAAACCTGTGACGTCACTATTCCCACAAAGTTTAGTCAAGGTTTTAACATTTTAAAAAAAAATGGGTTATTCTGCGTAGGAATAAATCAATAAATTAATTAACGTCTTTAAATAAATTTGTGATCAACAGTCTGTCTGCATTAAAAAATTATTCTCTACCTGCATACCATTTTACAGCTTTCCAGATAGAGTCGAACATATCACAATTTTCGATCAGGCAAACAAATAAATATTCAAACATGTAAACAAAGTTGAGTTTTAGTAGTATATAGATAGATAGATGATAACGTTGCCTATCTGAACTTGGCAAGATACAGGGCAGGTGAAGTAGAGTTCATCTGTTTCTTTGTCCTAAGCATATGAAAGGATAGTGTGGTCAGATACATGCCCGGCTGGAATTGTTTTTTAAACGATAAAAACATGTTGTCTGAGACTTGGCAGGACACTGGGCAGGTGAAGTAGAGTTGAGTAGGTCACCTGTGACGTCAGTTTATGAAGGGATAGTCCGAAATCGGTGTTTTCGGTGTTTTTAAAAGATAAAAAACATATATTTGAATGTGGGGTCTGTTTTTTGTGACGATAAGTGACACTGCAGTAGCGTCCCGAGGAGGGGGGGGGACGGTAGGGGAGGGGAGGCGGGGGGTGGGGAGGGGAGGCGGGGGGTGGGGAGGGGAGGCGGGGGGTGGGGAGGGGAGGCGGGGGGGGGGGAAGGGGGGGTGGGGAGGTGGAGGGGGGAAGGGGGGGGGACATATGTTGGGGCGCCAAAATGGTTTGGAAAAATAAATTGATAGGTTGAGGGGGGTTCAAATCAAAAGTTTGAGTGGGGGGGGGGTGCACATCAAAAGTTTGAGGGGGGGGGGGGTTCAAATCGAAAACTTTGTCCCCGGGCGCCGGGAAGGGTCGCTATGCCTCTGAGTGACAGACGTGATGTTTTTTGATGGATGACCCCCGAAACCCACAGTTATCCAACGGATGACGGGTATTCTAGTTTACTTCAAAACTTGGCCAAATTATTTTCATCTAAATTACTTACATCAAATTTTGGCCAAAACCACTTTATTCCATAATATAAAAATAAAATTGGACATCTAAGTTATCATGCAAAATAATTTCTGCTGGAATATTTTTTTTAAGCATAGCTGAAACATTTTCTGTACATTAAGAAACAAGTCCACGCCCCAATTTATTGAGGAACTTACATTTTGTTGATCTTGGAAGGGTGAGACACAATGATCTGGCGATGTTTGGAGTGTTCAGGCTCCAGCAGGTCATCCATCTGTAGCGACTTGAGGTGGAGACTGATATGGGTGCAAGCCTTCTCATTCTTCTCATACTGGACAGCAAAGTCATAGAGCTTCAGATCCACCAGACCACGCTCTCCATCCCCAAAATCCCCACGCAGCTCCACTTCAAACAATGGCACATCAAACTTGATATGTTTGGCTAGAAAGTTCTCAACCTGATCTGGCTCATCTTTCACTTTCTCTTGAGGGGAGGATGTGCTGTGGCTTGTGTAAACAGGAATGTTGGGGCTGTGGGCAGGCGCCGGGTTGGGTGCATCATAGGTCAAGTGGTCAACTGTTTGGAGGATTTGCTCGTAGACTTCCTTGGACAAGCTCAACTTCAGGGGGGAAGAGATTTTAGCCTTCATGTCTAAGATGGAAGGCATGTGATGGAGGTCATCATGAATGCCGCCTGGCATATTAGCACAGCCGTTCAGACCATCATGAAGACCACCCGGCATATTTGCGCAGCCCACAGGGCTATCTTGAGGACCAGAGCCCCTAAAGCCATCAATCCTTGAAGATATGTTAATGAAAGGATTCTCCCTTTTCCCAATAGAGAGTTCAATAGATGTGTCATACAATATGGGAACGCCAAACTTGTTTATCAGACCAGGCCAGTGGGGGATACTTAATCCATCAGGAGTTAAAGTGGCTGGACTGTTAAGGGAATACAGGTTCATATTGGTCAAGGTTAAGTTCATTAGGTCCTGCTTCAGACTACTCCTTCCATAGGTGTTGTTCTGCATGGAGTTGTCAATAACTATTTCTCCTAGACGTGCAAGAAGCACCTGTAAAGACAAAATGGGCAACATTAATTTACATTACACATACAGAAAGAGGGCAACATCAATTTCGTTTATTTTATAGTAATTGAAAAAGATGAACACAAAGTGTCTAGACATTTTAAATTTTTTAATCAAGGTAATATTATATTTAACAAGAATTTTTTAAACAATTTGTATTATTGTATTATCTTTAACAAGTCTGTGCTTTCATTGATTTATTTTTCTTTATTTTAGTATTTGTTTTTTTTTGGGGGGGGTGGTCTTTTTCTTGTAGCTGTGTTTTGATCAGCTGGGATTTCACCTTTGATTAAAAAAATTTTACACTGACCCGTCCTGTTGTCCATGTACATAAATTAAAAATAGGCTTGACACCTATCTGCCACAATTAGAAGTACATGTGTTGCCTTTTCTTGTAATTTTATTAGATGTAGTGTGAAGTCTGTGAGTTTCTGAAGGTAGTTGGTAATTTTTTTCTGATAATTTTAAAATGATTAAGATAGGCTCCATTTTGACTTATTTTCTCAGGGCTTTGCTGAGTAACAACCTTAGTAGCCTTGGTGGTACCCATATGAGCATCAGTTTCCATTACAAAACATATTGGGCAATTGGTTTCCATTTTTTTTTACCAGTTGACAATAAAGCCTCTAAACTATGTCAATGTTGAATTAGTTTCCAATGTCAATGTTTTTAAGAAATTAATTAATTTATAATAAAAATGTATCTAATAAACTGATAGTAATTATATTTTTAAGATAAATTATTTTTTTATCTGCACAGTACTGAGAATATTTTTTTATGATCTTATAATTTTTTGAGAAAATTATGCCCCTTCTAAGGATGGGGATAGCCTTCAGTGATGGTTCTTTAAAGTGTAATGTGTTAAATCATATACCCACTTACACACGACCTCAGTAGCTTGAACTCCATTTTGTATGGTAAAAACGTTAAGTAATTTAAAAAAGCTTACAATGTAGGAACAATATACACGAATACACATTTTTCTAAACAATATTACTATTATTTTTACAAAGAATAAAATTCTGTCAAATGTCATGTATACAAGGGGTTATAAATGTCATGTGTGGGAAGTGGTTACAAAACAAAACACCTATGAAGAAGAAAGAAACTAGTGCCAACCTGAGGACTGTTAGGTGTGCGTGGGAACACCAATATGGGAGATGCCATCCTAGCATTGATCAAGATGCTCCACTTGTTAGCCTCCACGCTTGTGTTACCCTGCTGCAGTGATACATCCTCCAGTAGAATGGTACTGGTTATGTCCCCTATAGATTGGTCCCTGCGAATAGCATAGCCAGCAAGTGAAGCATCAAGAGTGGTATTCTCTCCCCTGACACCAACTATCCCCATGGCAACTTCAGTGGCAGCTGTTTTGATGGACGAGGCAACTTTGGTCATGTAGTCCCGAAACTCCGACACACAGTCCACCAGTTCCTCTAGAAATTTGGGGCAGTGAATATAGGTAAGGGCTGCCATGTCAAATTTAGCTTCCAAGTGTTCATTATCTTCCAACATACTACCATCAGATTCCTGCAAGGGGAAACAAACAACTCATTTTTATTTCATTATTAGAACATGACAAACAATTTTTTTTTGCTACTTCTATTAGAAAAGAGATACTGTGTCAATGGTATAACTGCATATAAAAAATAAATTACAAATATTAGGCTACATCCGCTACTATACCTTTTGCTGGCGGTTCTTGATGACAAATTTGCATGCTACATTCTTATCATGTGAAGATATGGAATCAGAAAAAATTCTCTCATCACGAGCCGTCTTGAACATATCCTGGTTGGGGGAGGTGCTCAGGGTGAAGGATGGGGGTGTGGTGGGTAAGCCTGTCGCACAGTCCATTTCCTGAAAGTGACCAATGCTGACCACCTGCTGGTAGATTGTGCCCTCTGGGGTGACATCAATCAGGTGAAGGCCACCCAAACTGCCTTCCATTTCCCAGTTGTCATCTGAAAAACATTTGGAACATTTTTTTTTAACTTCCATACTCTTAAAGTCTCTGAATATTTATTTAAAGCATGGGATTTTAACAGTCACCAGGTAATTTGTTTTGTCTGAGTTTTAAAACCAAAAAATTATCTTTACCAAATTTGGCTTCAAGTTTAGCAGACGACATGGTGGCTGTAGCCACTTTCCTGGCCAACTTGTGGCCATCATTGGTCAGGAATTTCACAAGCATCACATTCAGCCTCTTGAAGTCAGCATTTACAAGAACAATATCTTTTTTCTGCTCAATTAAACATGGGATATAATTATTGGATAGTGTTGAGCAGTTAAAAAGATTAACCAAGAATAAAACTAGGAAACAAAATAAAAATATTACTTTGTTGGAGACCACTGTGGTGACATTTGGACTGACTGTAGGCTTGAATTTAGGTTCACTTGGTGGTTTTTGTGGAAATGTTCGATTCACAAAAGACATTATTTCAGTCAATGTTTCCTGATTAGCTAAACACAAAAAAAAATATTATAACTTTAATAAAGAAACCTACCAAATGTTGAACTAATTTTAAGCTTTCTTAAGGCAGATCTATACAATTTTAGTTAATTACATTTTTATCATAACCAAACTGAATTGAAAGGGACATAACCAATTGCACAAGAAGGGAGAGCACTTACCTATAAAATCTAAACTGTTAAACTGCAAGTTCAGTACTCTCATGACTGTGTCTCCTGCTGAACCATCCTGAGCCATGGAGGCAGGGGAGGTAATGACCTCATACTCTAGCATGATCAAAGCTTTAGCATCTGATGCTGTGAAGTGGTGAGGCATGGAGTTGTCTGTTGATTTTCTGCTAGGTGCGGCTGGAGCTGATAGGTTTAAAAATTGTCACAAGCACTTTAACACAGGCAAAAGGTCGAGCAAATAATAACATGTCACATTTAATAAATGGAACTACATACTTCATCACACAATTTAATAATGGCACTACGTGTTTTAATAATGACAGTAAATATTTTAATGATGTTGCTACATATTTTTTTTTAAAAGGCAATACATATTTCAATAATGGCACTGCATATTTCAGTAACAGCAAAATGTATTTTAATAATGTGCACTATGTATTTTAATAATGCAGTTTAATATTATAAATCATCTTATATCTCAACACATACATATTTTGAGCTTATATCATGAGAGAGACCAACCTTGTGGTAGAACGGAATGAAAGGCATTGCTGATGGCATCCTGGATGGACTGAAAACTGCTAAATGATATGGATGTGTTCAGGTTAGGTGAGCCAGGTGATGCTGGGGAGGATGGAGACATGGGGGAGGAGGGGGAGTTAACTTCTGACCCTTTGATGCTGCCACTCCGACTGTCAAGCCTGGAGAAACATACACATATTCCACACTAAAATATTTTGATTAACATTAAAAACCATTGGTCATGCTACAAGCTATTTCTTGTAAGTTAATTCTGTTTTAAAACTACCATTCTAGTTGACTTGGTATATTAAATATAAGGCAAGAGGGGGGGGGGAGATTAGGGAGGCAATGGGCAACTAATTTTATAACTAATTTTTTTTTAAATGAAATATAAGACAAGGGGGATAAGCAACTCATCCTACATGAAATATAAGACAAGAGAAGCAATGAGCAACGGATCTTACATGAAATATATGGCAAGGGTGGCAATGAGCAATGCAATCTACATATGAAATATGAAATATAATTCAAGGAAGGAATGAGCAAGTGTTCTTAAATCAAATATATGGCAAGGGAGGTCAAAAGTAACTAATCTTACATGAAATATAAGCCAAGGAAGACAATGAGCAGCTGATCTTACATGAAGTATAAGCAAGGGAGGCAATGAGCAACTGATCTTACATGACATTCCTGTGTGAAGCAATGAGTAACTCAAAGTCTCGCCCATATGTCTGTAGAGCATCAACCAATAGCAGACTGTGCACAGTGAGAACCAAGGACATGTTGAGAGGCTTCAGGTGGACATCTGCTTGAACACCTGTCACCTGGAGTTCAATCAGTGCTTGACCTGCAATAAGTGAACACGTTACCTACACAATCTTAAGTGATTTCATTTATTATGTTACTGTGAATAAGATACTTTTTTAAATTTCTTTTTATATTTTTTGAAGTGTACAATAGAATTAGGTAAAATATGATAATGTATTTGACTAACAGTTTGAAAAGGGAAAAATCAATTACCTTGACTTTGTACCTCAAGAGATAAATTATTGATGAGAAACTGTAAAACCACCATCTTGTTTTCTTCTGTGTTTTCTTTAGGGGATGGAAACACCTGACTGAAAAAAAATCATGTGAGATAAGAATAACTATAATTTTTAAAGATAGAAACATAGCAAAAACTCATACATAACAACAAATAATTTTCAAAGCTATAAAAGGTAATAACATAGCCATATCTCACAAATAACAACTAATAATTTTCAAAGCTATAAAGGTAACAACAAAGTCAATCTCACAAATAACAGCTAATAGTTTTCAAAGCTATCAAGTTAATAAACCGGGAGTGATCTCCCCTAAACTTTCTCAAATTTTCTTATATAAAACAACAGGGGATGGGAACTTGGGATATAGACATGATTTTTAATCCATTTCAAATACTTAAACTTTTTAAAATAGAATAAAATCTCGTAGAAAAAAGAATTGCACACCAGGTGAACGCCAAATTAAATGTGCATAATAGTGCGCAATATTATTAGTACTTTATAAATTTACATGCGTTTTTTGAGAGATCGGAAATAGCGTAAATTAGTACTTCCGGTCAACGGAAATTACTCAAAATTTGAGAGAAGGTAGAGAATTAGATCTTTTACTTACATGTGAAATTTCATTTATCTATCTGAAATAGTACTCAAGTTATAGGCTTTTGAAAAATTCAAAGTAGAAAAAGTACCACTTCCGGTTACCAGAAATCGCTCAAAAGTTGATCAGGATCTACGATTTTGATAAAATACTTATATATGAAATTTCATCAACGGTACTCAAGTTATCGTGTTTACACACACACAGACACACACACAGACATACGGACAAGAAAGTAAAAACATAGCCAAACCCTATCAGGCATGATGGTTGACCAATCAGAGACTTACTCATCAAAGCTGGACTGGTCCACTGTACCAGATATCAGGTTGCTGTCAAATGATGAGTGCTGGTGAAGTAGAGTGTGGCTCATGTCTGGAGTTTTGGGCTTGGTGAATTTTTCCAGGCACTTTTCTAGCCCCTGGATCTGTAGGTTAAACAGGTAGAGCAAGAGTTGAGACTTCAAACACCCCATTGCCAGGGGGGGAATATTTACATCATACATCAGAAATCAACTACAGAACTGCAGTTAATATCACAGTGTTATGATAAAAAAAATTTTTTTAATACTTTCAGCACTTCAAAATTTTACTTTTTTAACAGTAACAAAGAAGGCTTGATCATTGCACAAATTACTCTTCCCAGAATATTATGAAATATGCTTATAAAAATGTGCTTATACAATTCATAAAGCATATGTAACCAAACAACAGACTCACCTTTCTTTCATTAAGATGAAAGGTCAAGGTTGGTAGATTGCCAGACAGTTTAGCAGCAGGCCATTGTGCATCAGATGTCACTATCAGTCGTCTGAAATAAGTGGCAACATTCTATTTGATTCCAATTCTTTTTATTTTTATTAAGACTGATTAAACCTAATGGAATCAAGTGATTTGTGTTGATGATAGGGAAGTCTGGCACTATAAAGATCATAAATTACCTTTCTAGCATGACTGATAGGTTACATTAAATCTACCTTCAAATTACGTATGGATGTTAAAACTATCTACTGCAACCAGTTACCTTTCTAGCATGACTGATATGTTAAATCTATCCACAACATGCATTAGACTTGTTCCACGAGCGTAGGCATGTTTCCAGTTGTCATGTAACCTTCCCAGCAGAACTTGCACCTCTGTCAGGCCGATACGGTATCTGGGCATGTCAGGCATTCACATAATCATTACATGGTAGAAAAATCAGTTGTTATTAAGTTAAATATCAGGCATTTACATAATAATTACATGGTAGAAAAATCAGATGTTATTAAGCTAAATAAATCATGTTTACAAGTAACAGCAACATCACACTATAACTAGCTTTTCATCACAGATATCAGTTAATGATGAATTAATTTTTAGCTTATAGGTTTAGAATTTCGAACACATCTCTGCATAAATTTATTTTGCTTCATTAACTGTTTAGAAAGTTGAGTCTCACAAGGCTAATTGCCCAATAGTCACCAACGCACTATTAACTTTATAGACTAAGCTACAAAAAGTTTAAAACTGTCTAGCTTACCTTTCATAGAGCCGGTCCTGAAACATATTATCTGTGCTCATCTCTGGCAGGGAGTCTGAACTTCTGACTTGCTTCAAGGCTGCCATGTGACCAGCACTCATTGTCTTCTTCACTTCTGCATCTTCTTCTGTTTCATTGGGGGGTGTAGATAATGGAGTCTCAAACTTGTCTGGAGGAGAGTATTAGGATGTCAACAGTGAAAACAGTTAATAATTATGAATAAAAATCAGAAAGGCCCAAGTTCGAATCTGTATGAAAAGCTGGTAACAAGACCTCCTATCTGGGGCACAAAATTAGCCATGCAAGGGTTCTTCAATTTACTTTTACAGTGCAAACTGTAAAAAAAAAAAAATGGGATGGCTTGTTAAGTACTTTGGCTCTAGGCTATCCTTGAATCTACCCAGCTCTTATGAGCACATAACTCAAGACTGGGAGGCTAAAGGCAATTAGGCATAGTAGTACAGTCAAGTTCACATATCACTTTCATTTTATTTACTCATATAAACTCTCAGAACTGGAAAAGTAATGTATTTAATTTTTTTAGAAAGAAAAAATATCACCTTCAAGGTCATCATACTTTCCCCAGACTTTGGTATCGTCTGTGATGAGATCTGAAGGAGAAGATACTGTGTTCAGACGGAAATTGCCAAGATCAATGACCACCAGCTGAGGGTTGGAATCTGTGACACTCTCTGGTATTATGAGCTTGGGAGCACTAATGTCAAGGTTGATATTCCATCGGCTTGTTTTACCCTAAGGAAAAAAATAACAGAATACTCAAAACTAACTAGAAAAACTAAAATTATCTTAAAAACTGTAAAATACTTTAAAAAAATACTTAAACTAATATTGTGTATAAAATGTAAAATTAATTAAAAAATTGGGAATCTAAATTAAATTATTTAAAACATTTTTACAATAGAAAGAAAGCAAAAAAGTAATTAACTTGAAGATTTAACAATACTACCAAAGGTAGACAACTAAGAATGCTAACAGTTAGAGTTACCTCCAGCAGCTGGTCCAGTGTATTTCTTAATTCCTCTTGTGTCTGTTTCCTTAGCTTGTCAAACTGCCAGCTTGATACTATAAAAAAAAAAAAAACTTACGTCACGGTATTTAATGCTTTACTTATTTAATGCTTAATAAGGTTTGAATAAATCTTCATTCATTAGAAAGTTTAAGCATATTTTATGTTTTAAAGTTGCTTTTTAAGTACAAATACCGCAAGAGATTAATGTCATTACTTTGCAAATACCAATGATCCATCAGTAGTTATTTATTTTTAATTAAATGTTTAGTTGATGTTGATGATTAGCTGCCACAATACCAACTTGGATTGCAGAATTCATAAACTTTTTTTAGATTTTATCACTGTATAATTTCAAGCGTGAAACCCCCCTAACTTTAATACCAAGGATACCAAACCAGAAGTGTAGCTAAGGCAACCCTACCAGAACTAGCAGCCCTAGAGAGCCCAGTGGTTGGAGTACTGAACAGATCTTTGATCCTGTGGATCAGCTCTGGGGTGTAGATGATGTCTAGGGGCTGGGTCTTGATGTTCAAGCTAAACAGAAGCAATATAAAAACAGTTGTGGTGATGATACCTACAATCCCTAGTAAAAATCACTTGGCACAAGTAGTAAGTGGACTGCCTCTTAGTAATTATTTGTCTCAGCTAAAAATATTTGTAAACCAAACATATATTTGAGTAATAGATACTACTTACTAAGTTACCTCCCTTTTCTTAATTCATGCAATCTCTTTAAACAATTTGTAATGATTTTTATAATATCTAATTAGATTGAAATTGTTCCATTAGAAATTGTTCAAAATTGAGTTAAAGATGTAACCACAAACCCACAGACAGACAGACAGACATCCAGACATTGTGACACAAGTAAAAGCTTGTAATATATAACCACAACATTGTACATTCCCTTAAGAATTTTGATGTCTATGTATCCACCAGTATTTATAGGAACATACTCCAACTACTTAAAACAAAGTAAATTCTCAGCCATCTACCTGTATTTGAATTTTGACCCAGGAGTTTTTTCATAGCTGAGTTTAAAGAACTCCATTCCTTCATAGTCTTTACTGGCAATATTTTGGGCATTGACAATCTGGGATATTGGGTTGAAGGCAGTCTTACAGTTTGGATCCTGGAATGTAAATAAACATATATATTTATTAAAAGCTTACATATCATGAAAACATAATAAACTTTTAATTTGAGCTGTTTGTTAAAAAAAACCATCTCAAGTTTCGAGAATATTTTTATACTATTTACATATTTTTTCTTTTGTTTTGGTCCAGCTATCCAAAAATGTCATTGTTTAACTAAGTTTAACCTACTAGTGAATTCAATATATACCTTGGCCTGTGGACAAATGACATAGGTGAACATTGGGCTCTTTGATGTGTGGTCTTGAACAAACAGATTTCCTACTGCAAGGGAAAACCTCATAGCACTGGTGCGAGGGCGTGACTCAAACTCCATTGCTATAGTAGAACAGTGTAGTTCCACAAGAGAGTTATCTGCTAGAGAAAAAATACATCTTTGTAAGAGAACAATGTAACTCCACTAAGGAAATATATGCTAGAAAATAATCCAACCAGGAAAAAAAACTTTAAAAATAATGAGTTAAGATTAAAATCTAAACAGTTCAGTGAGCCAAACTTACTTTTTTCAGAGAGCTGGGATGATTTTAAGTGAAAGGAGCCTTTTTTCAGCAGGAATGTCATTCTGGCAAACACTGAGTCTTTTCTGAGGAATGAGCTGTGCTCTGAAGAGTCTTTTATAACATCTTGAATTTCTTGCTCTGAAGTTCACAAGGTCCAAAACATCACTAACAGTAAATACCTATTTCAAAAATACTATAGAAGTAATACTGATTTGTAGTATTATCAGTAAAGTAAATGCTTTAAAATGTTACCAATCTCATCCTCAGTTAGAATATCCTCTGTAACTAGAACAGGGTCTTGAGAGATGTTGGGCTCAGACTGTGTGGGAGGGGAGGTGGAATCAACATCAGAGGCAGGGGCAGTGGCGGGCTGTGACCAGCCTGACCAGCCAGGGAACCAGCGCTGAAACAAACTGCCGTTTTCTGTTGCCTGGGTGGGGGACACTGCTTCAGGGGGTTGAATTGTTTTCTTGGCTGTTATAGATGCCTAAAGGGAGAGGTTAATGTTAAGTTAAAAAATCAAATGGTGTTTGTTAAATATATAGAACAAAACTTTATGAATGAAGTCGTTTAAATTTGTATACATTGGAAATTGATTGGAAAAAATTTAATTTAATGCTACAGAATTTTGGCAGTAAATCAGGTGGGTTTTTTTAAAGTTTTCTTTTAGAACAGATTTGTAAAATTAGTTTGCTAATATATTGTAGTGGCTAAACATTACACACTGCTACAAACAATTTAATTTTCTATTTGCACAAGTGGGAACAAATTAATACTTTAGACTATCACTTACACCAAGATTGCTCTTCTTAACTTTGAAAAATGCTGCTTCCCTTATTCCTTTCAACTCCTCAAATGTGAATTCTTCTTCTATATTTGTTTTTGTTGCCTGTAAGTGTTGGTGAATATAAGTTACAATTGTACCAAATAATTTCAAGCGATGATGAAATACTAATACTATTTAGAATAATGATGAATGTTTATTAATACTATATAGAATAATAAAGAATGTTTATTAACACAATTTAGAATGATGATGAATGTTTATTAACAAATTTAGAATGATGATTAAAATTTGAATGATGAAAATATTGATAAAAAAATATTTAGAATGAAGATGAATGTTTATTATCACTATTAAAAATGATATTGAAGACATTGATTAACATGAGATAAATGATGAAAACTAAATATTTTCTCCCACCTTTTGTTGGAGAGTCAAGGGTTCCCCCTTGAGATAGGTGGTGTAGATCTTTGAGTAGACAGTGACAGCATGAACACGATCCACCATAAAGTTCTTGGTCAACCTTTCATTCCTCTCCTGTATGGCTGCCAGGTGGGCCTCCTGGGCAAAGTGCCACCACTCACGAGGACTGAGAAAAACCACATTTGTTTACTAACATGTTGTTGAACATTTTATTGACTGTTAAACCCTGGTACTTTAAAAACATGCAAGAAAATTGTAACCAAAAAAATTAATTTCTGCTGGTATTATCTTGAGAGTAACCCCCAGGAAAAGTGGAAGAGAGGGCACCTAAGATGGACTGGGAGGCAGAGTCTTCTTGAGGCTGTATGTTCCACAAGGAGCAAAGAGGTTTACGTCAAGTAAGTAAGTTAAGTATTGCTACAATAACCCAAACCTTGGATTTAACCATATCCCCCACCCTTAGCACTGACCTTAAGAATAACCTAGACCATAATCCTGACTCAAACTTAAATGGAAATACTGATCCAAACCCTAATCCTTGTCCTAAGAGGCATATTGTAAGAAAAAAACTTTGATACAATATTTAACTGCCTACCAGGATTTTTATAAGATCCGATAGAATCAGTTCAACAACAAAAAAGAGCCACAACAAAATGACCTATTCTTAAACAGAAATGATTTTCCGATTATTAACTTACCTGACATTGACTGAGAATGCTGGACGACACTTTCTATACTTCCTCCTCCTGTTATGGCGCACAAATTCTTTCTGCCACAGGTAGAGGCTCTGGTACTGGCTGGGTGTGAGGCTGAAAGACATGTCCCCTAGGGTGAGCTCTACAAAGATGCGGGGCATGGCTAGAGAATGAAGTGGAAGAGCTGAAGTGTTGCGGGTAACCTTCCCTTGGGCTGTGACAGGACGAAGTATGTATTCGTGTTCCTGAGAAGTAAATAAAAGCAGAATTCAATTTTCTTTTTTAAACCTCAGTTTTGAATAAATTCTTATTCTTCTATCTATATGTATCTTTATACTTTATCAATTGTATTTGCAGTTGTTAAAGCTGATCTGATTAAGGAATTTCTGGATCGCTCATAACACAGAAAAGAAATTAACAGTGCAAAGTGATCTCACCATAAATTGTCCTGAGGCAGATAGAAACATCTCTCTTTCAAGAACATCCTGCCATTAGAACAAAAATTTAACTAACTAAAATCAAAGAAAAAATATTTTAAGGAAATAGTTATATCAGAAGTATGCTACATCAAAAAAAAGAGCTGCCCAAAATGGAGTCCAATGGAGAGGTCTGGCTGCAGCCCTTTGCTCCCCAGAGGCCACAAAGGATTAAGCAAGCAATGCTACTTCACTGTTGGTGAAAATTATACATCAATATATTAAATTTATCCATTTCCTCACAAACTTGCTAATATACTTACAGACAGTTCAGACATGGGTAGATTTCCCAACATTGACACATTAGTGTCGCAGTAAATGCCAAAATCTTTAAGATCAACAAGTTTGAACATTTTATCAGCTTCATAATGGCTGACAAACTTTGACATCTGAAACAGAGAGCATAATTTTTCTCAAAATGCTTAATTAAACATTTATGCTACTTGAACTGAATATTTATTTACAGATTTTGTTTCTATATGACATACTTCATCAATACAACATAAGTGTGATGAAAAATTGTAAATGTGTACCTACCCATGATGCATCTGTACTTTGCACACTAAGGTTTTTAATTATAACACCACAAGCAAATGGACACGAAGGGTTGGTTTTATCATCTTCATATCTTAGATGGACATCTTTCACTTTCAGCTGAAAATTTGCAATTGTTTTTTATATTTATTACTGTAAATGCAATTAAAAGTTAATATTTTTTTAAATGTTAACTTTAAAACAACTTTATAGACAACCTGAATGTTTTCCAGAATGTTGGCAGCCATAGATGTACCATATGAGAACCATGAAGCAGACGACTGATCTGGTTGTGTCCCTTGAAAAATCTGAAACATTTAATTATAATAGGGATTATAAATGATGTCGTACACCCAGGGAGAGGAGAGTTCTGCTTCAGACTTTTGGGACAATGTGTTAGGTGGAAAACCAATGAAGGGGAAGAGGGATGATCATGTTGCAGCATATTATTGTTTAAAGTAAAAATTATGGAAGATGTGTTTGTTAGAGAACTCTGGTGTTTAGGAGAAGGGTTGGAACTTTGTGACATAATGGGGGGGCGGGATTGGGATTGAAGTTATTCACATGAGATGATGTGGGTCACAAAAACTTGCTAAAACATAATGATGTCATGTATGGATTTGTTACTTTAGCAGACAGCATAAAAAACTACTCTCTTTGTTGGGGTGTCACAAAGATAAAAATATAAACATTTAGCAATGTGTAAATTAAGTTGCAACAATGAGCAATAAAAAAGGAGACTGACCTGCCATTTCTCCTCCAATGCATCCAGCATTGTCTTCTTCTGCTCTTGTGCGTGCTTTCTTTCTAGCTCTTCGTTGTACTGTGGACATTGATTATTGTGGTGAATTTTATGCAGAATTTTTTCTTGAGTGATTCAGTGAATACCATGAAACACATCAAAAAAAATTATTGGCTGATATGCAGATAGCTTCTTTTGCTTTGTAGCAAGAAGTCACTAATATAATATGTAATATTAACCTATAAAATTATTTATATACATTTGATAAATAACATAATACCAGCTAAAATAAAGAAAAGATTTACCTGTAAAGTGGACAAAGGTCCAGCTACAAGGTATAATTTCTCTATAGAGATGACCCATGGTTCACTTCTAAGTCGACGCAGTGGAATGTGCAATGTGATTTTTCCAATGAATCCTAAAGTGTTTATTTTTTAAAATATTTTAGCCATCCATAATAAAATATGTGATATAAAAGAACATAATTCATAAAATATTTGCAACATGCAATAAAACCTACCAGACTTTACTTCTATAGGTATATCTAAACTTTTCAAGGCATCTTTCTTCAATGGAAGATTTTCAAGTTCAACAGCACCTACAAACAAGATGTTATCATTGCAACCTTCCAACTACACAAACAATAACATCTAATTTCAAAAAGAAAAAAAAATTGCTTAGTATTATAAAAAAAGACATTTTTTTTACAATGTTTTCTACCTTGCAATAGGGCAATAGACAACTGAGCAGTGTTGAGATTTTCCACATATTCTCCTACATAAGTATTTAGTACCCATGCTGCTAACCCTTCAAGCATTGTGCATGAAAGTATTTGATTTCTGGTTTAAGAAAGCATTTGTCTGAAATTGTTTATAAATGTTATGATTATCAAATAAAAGTAACATTATTTATTAAAAAAAACTTTCACTAATAAGAGTAATCCGATAAAAGAATTTTTTAAAATGAATTTCTATCCACTTTCCACACGCAATGAACCAGTAAAAAAAAAAAATGCTCACATTTTTATGTGAAGCTTGAGATAGGGCTGGCATGATGGGGGAGGGTTTTGGGTGCATTGTTTAGTAAACAGACCTTTTTCCAACAGGTAATAGGTAGTTTAGAATAAGCTAGCATTAACGACCAAAGTTATTTAACCTTGACATAACCAGATCTATAACCCCAGACAAATACTCCAACAAAGGTACACTCTAATAACTTATACAAGACTAAGAAGCCAAATGAATGAGTTTAAAGAAAGTATTATTAACATTGTTGGTAGAACATCAAGAAAAACAGTTTTAGAGTTTAACACTTAACAGAACACTTCAGGGGTGTTTCATTTATAATAAATGACGTCACACTCCTTGGGGGAAGGGGGTTCAGAAAGTGTGACATCATACTTACATTTAAATTTTTTAAAGTAAAGTTAGAAATTGAATGTTAGCTACTATTTTCATTTAAGAAACTGTTCTTTTGTTAATTGTAATGGAAATTCAATTAATATATTCTATCCTATATTGACTGATATAAAAATCGTCAAAAAAGCATGATGTCATTTATGGATGACCCCTAACACCTACAACTCCTTTTCTTTGACTTTCCTTGTTTTTTTTTTTACACTACCCTAGCAATACATTACTAACAAACAACTAACAATCAATTACAATTAGATTCACAAAGAAAAGTTGATTACTTACAACCTATCCTTATACTATAGGCTAATTATAATTATAAACCTAGTTTTGATTTTTGAGTATCACTTTGTTATTCAATGTACCTCCAAACAATTTTAATTTCACAATACATAAAAGCTCACTCAAACCTCACTGCTGATGACAGAGTGACTCAATATAACAGAATCTGACTGAGAGTGAATGACACTTGACTTTTGAAAGACAGTCATTCCTAAAATATTCATTTTTTATTTTGTTGATATTAGTTAATTATTAGATCTACTGGAACTAGATCTAGCTAGTTCTTGGCCTAGATCTATCTCTATACTCTATACCAAACCACACTTCACTGACTTCATATCAAAATTTGGAGAAGACTGACTTATACTTTATCACTTCATTCATTCACTAGATCTATTCACTAGTGATGTAGTCTAGATTCTAGATCTAGATCTAGATCTAGTTGTGACAACACTACTGCTATTGCTAAACTAAAGACAAGATAATAATTGAATAAGTTATAGATCTAGTCTAGGCTTAATGTAATAATTTAATAATTAATTAATTATTAATTAGTAATCTAATTTTCTAATTTATAACTTGTGTAAGTAACTCAGGACTCAGTAAGTTCAGATCAGATTATTTATTTGAATGCCAAATAAATAGGCCCTACTAGATTCTAAATAGCCTATCAACTATCGATGATATTAAATAGATTCTAGAATCTAAATGTGAATAAATACATTAAATACAATAAAATTAATAAATCAATCACCATGACCATGGCTTCTCTCTAAAACTAAAAATAAAAATAGCAACAAAAAAAACACTTCGCGATAAGAAGGGAAGTACGACTGAAGTAGATTACCCGATTGTTTGGATAGGCTAATATTTACTAATAATAAAAATAATAATTAGGCTAGGCCTTCTAAGATCTAACATACTTACATTTCCCTATCTTCTATGTAGTCTATTTACCATGTTGCCATAAATACAAGGACTAGTCTAGATTAAGACAGAAGTTAATAATCTCTTGAGGTGAATCCTCGGTGAATGTTTTTGAGAGATTATGCGTTTCAATTTACATTTAGCTGTACTTTGTACTTACATGGCACATAAAAATACTATCTTCGCTAGCGTAAAAACTCAACAAGAGTTCACAAGTCAGAAATTTCTGTGTGATGCTATCATTACTACTTTACTAGATTTATAAAATTAAGCTATAATGCGTTGAAAAACAAAAGCAGTTTAATAAACATTTTGTTTTCGTAATCTCTTTAAGTTCTTAAATCTGCCATAAAACAAGACAAATCACGCTAGTATAAATTGTCAATGATATTCAATTATTCATCATGGTAGATCTAGGATTTTCTATAAATATATAATGTATAAAGCTGTAAAGAAAAGCGTAGGTCGCTAAACACTGTAATATACCCTTTAATACTTCATTACTACAACGACCCACGTCTAAAAATTTTTGTTTCCCATTCCCCGTAACTCTTCTTGTTGTTTATTGTTTTCGGTATTTATTCAGTTGTTCCCCTTAGACTGATGTTGGCCTATTAATACGTAGTTTACGATATTTTTTTGTGTGAAGAAAATGTTGGCAATTAAGTAAAATGTGTCAATGAATCTGGTAATACTGAACTAGACGTCAGCAGTGTTTCTTCCAGACTTCTTTTTTCTCCGGGGGTGCACTTGAAATTTTCGAAAGGAGGGGGGTGGACAACAATTTCGGGGGGGGGGGGGGGGCGGACACTGTCAAAAGTATATATTTTCTATATAAATTCCATTTCGTTTGGGTGGGGGGGGGGGGGGGGGGGGGCGGTAGATTTTTTTCGGGGGGGGGGGGCTGGAAGAAACTCTGGACGTTAGTGTTAGGCTTTCTGCTTTGCCATACACTCACACACACACTCACATATTGAATTCAAACTATTGTTACAAAGTTTGATGTGTTTTTAACTTAATTTTTCCTATGTTTAAAACATCTTTCCTCCAAAATAATTCACACATTTCGACAGTACCATAAAAAACATAATTTAAACAAGATAGACTTTTTTAAAAAGTGTTTTTTTTTTCCATAGGCCTACCTAGTTATATTTTCTTACCCCCTCATCCCATCACAAATTTGCACAATCAGTGTTTCTTCCAGACTTTTTTCTCCGGAAGGTGGCACTTGATATTGGGGGGGGGGGCGGACAACATTTTTCGGGGTACGGGGGCGGACGTACACTTGTAAAAGTATATGTTTTCTATATAAAGTCCATTGCCAGAGACAAAGAGATGCATGGAAGAAACTTTGTGCACAATGTAAAAAGAAAGTCGCTCCCTACCCCACCTTGATGTGTTACATTTGTTTATAGAATGGTCACCCATGAATTTATCACTTTATTTTATAGAAGTTTCCAATTTAATTTGGCAGATTTTTCTTCAGAGGGCCGGGTAATTAAGTACCGAAGCTATGCAAGGAGATGATCTCTCAGATGAAACATTACTGAAGCTATTAGTTATACAAGAAGATAATCTTTCAGATGAAACATTACTGAATCTATACAAGAAGATCTCTCAGATGAAACATTACTGAAGCTATACAAGAAGATGATCTCTCAGATGAAACATTACTGAAGCTATACAAGAAGATCTCTCAGATGAAACATTACTGAAGCTATACAAGAAGATGATCTCTCAGATGAAACATTACTGAAGCTATACAAGAAGATGATCTCTCAGATGAAACATTACTGAAGCTATACAAGAAGATGATCTATCGGATGAAACATTACTGAAGCTATACAAGAAGATGATCTCTCAGATGAGACATTACTGAAGCTATACAAGAAGATGATCTATCGGATGAAACATTACTGAAGCTATACAAGGAGATGATCTCTCAGATGAAACATTACTGAAGCTATACAAGAAGATGATCTCTCAGATGAAACATTACTGAAGCTATACAAGGAGATGATCTCTCAGATGAGACATTACTGAAGCTATACAAGGAGATGATCTCTCAGATGAAACATTACTGAAGCTATACAAGAAGATGATCTCTCAGATGAAACATTACTGAAGCTATACAAGAAGATGATCTCTCAGATTCAGATGAAACATTACTGAATCTATACAAGAAGATGATCTCTCAGATGAAACATTACTGAAGCTATACAAGAAGATGATCTCTCAGATGAAACATTACTGAAGCTATACAAGAAGAAGATCTCTCAGATGAAACATTACTGAAGCTATACAAGAAGATGATCTCTCAGATGAAACATTACTGAAGCTATACAAGAAGATGATCTCTCAGATGAAACATTACTGAAGCTATACAAGAAGATGATCTCTCAGATGAAACATTACTGAAGCTATACAAGAAGATGATCTCTCAGATGAAACATTACTGAAGCTATACAAGAAGATGATCTCTCAGATGAAACATTACTGAAGCTATACAAGAAGATGATCTCTCAGATGAAACATTACTGAAGCTATACAAGAAGATGATCTCTCAGATGAAACATTACTGAATCTATACAAGAAGATGATCTATCGGATGAAACATTACTGAAGCTATACAAGAAGATGATCTCTCAGATGAAACATTACTGAAGCTATACAAGAAGATGATCTCTCAGATGAAACATTACTGAAGCTATACAAGAAGATGATCTCTCAGATGAAACATTACTGAATCTATACAAGAAGATGATCTATCGGATGAAACATTACTGAAGCTATACAAGAAGATGATCTCTCAGATGAAACATTACTGAAGCTATACAAGAAGATGATCTCTCAGATGAGACATTACTGAAGCTATACAAGAAGATTATCTCTCAGATGAAACATTACTGAAGCTATACAAGAAGATGATCTCTCTCAGATGAAACATTACTGAAGCTATTAGTTATACAAGAAGATGATCTCTCAGATTCAGATGAAACATTACTGAATCTATACAAGAAGATGATCTCTCAGATGAAACATTTTCGAACCGACCGTCAGTTTGATGTTTGTGTTTTTTATTTGAGCCACCGTTCCAGATTCTCTGGTCCGGCAGACGGCGGTGTTTGCGTGTACCTGCGAGCGGGCGGGAAACAATGACCCGTGTGTGCACTGGACCGCAAGAATGAAGCAGGCGGTGACCAGATTGAGCGGCTCGCCATCCCAGCACCGCGCCGGCCCGTACAGTGTGGGGGAAAGTCGTCGCAAGGGGGAGGGGAGGGAGGGAAAGGTCAGGAAAGAGGAAATAAAAATATAAAAAAGCTCTTGTCTGGGGTTTAGGGGAAAACAAATTTCCCATGGAAGATTTTGAGAAGACTGTTGTGGGTAGTGAGGGAAGATACTGAGGCAGCGCCCCGTAAGTTATTTTTTTAAATATATCTATTGACTGATTTTGGAACAAAAGATTATGGTTCATTATTGTGTAATTTTTTTCGGTTGCTTTTGTAAGTAGGCCAATTATTTTTTTTTTTTAAAGAAGTGATTTGATCATAATAACAAAGCATAGCATTATAAAGATATCTCACTTAAGTTGTTTTTTATACCGATCTAGACAAATTAGTCGTTAAAATTTAATTAAGCATTTGGCTTAACTAACCACTGCTTATTGTTTTACTTTATCAAAATAGACCCATGTTTTACAATTTACAGTATGTGGTCCGATATTTTATAGACGTTTAGTAAACCACTCACACTGTCTCTCCGTCATAAGACAACATCGATTCTATGATGACTAGACCTAGGCCTACACTAATCTGTGTACACAAGGGTAGAGTTAGGCCTACAGTAATTTGTGTACACAAGGGGTAGACCTAGGCCTACACTAATCTGTGTACACAAGGGGTAGACCTAGACCTACACTAATTTGCGTACACAAAGGGTAGACCTAGGCCTACACTAATCTCTATACGCAATGGGTAGATGTCTACAACTATACATAGCTAATGTACTTATCTTTGTATCTAAAGTTTATTTACCGATCTATTTTAAAAATAACTACACCAGACACTCAAGATAGCAAATACAATAGGAGCCAGTGATTGTCGTAATGTGCCGTTATTTTAGTTCTGCAGCACCTTAATGAATAGTTAACACACACAACTATACGTGTTCAATAATGTGTGATGGGCAAACGTGTAGAGGGGGTGGAAGCAGGCGTCGTTACTGAAATATTAACATAAATGTATTTATAAAGGCTTTCATAATACGTGACCAGCCAGTCGTCTTCACGGCTGAGTAATGGCAAGCTGACATAGAAATTTCCTCTGGGAAACGGATCTTCAAGATTTTAAGTTAAGCGATGGTTGTGGTGTACAGTCGCTGAGCTGTTGTGATAAAGTATGAACCAGCAATACAAAAATGTCACACTAACCAGCCGAACAGAAACAATGCAATGCCTAACAAACACAATACAATGCCTAACAAACTCACTCAGACTAACAAATAGGCAAACCTATTAAAAAAACATACATCAACCCATGCTAACAAAGTCACACTGTTCAGAGTACATCACACTAAAAGAAACACGTATGCCCTTTATTTTAAGTCCATTTTGACATATAAACGATCATATTATCTCATGAAGCTTAGTCGTCTCATTAAATATAAATCAGGTGTAGTTCCCTATACAACATTAAATTAGTGATTATTTAAATACCCCCGCCCCTTTCCTAAAAAACAAATAAAACAAAAAACAACACGAAAATACTCAAGAAATTCGGAATTTTTTTTTTATTTCAATTCAAGGTCACCCACAGGAAATCTTCAAGGGGAGGTCAATCTGTCAGTTATGTCCAGGGGCGGTAATTTAAAACTACAGTGATCAATTTCAGATTTTCTTTGTTTTAACCGGTTTTTTTTTTTTTTTTTTTTTTTTGTTTTTTTTTTTTTTTTAAATAGAACGTCGCCTACTACACTCACACATACGCATACGCCTTCGAACTGAAACAATAATCTCACTTTTAATACTCCGTTAGATTTGACAATTACTGTCAGTATCACAAGATAAATTCATTGTTAAATTTTCATTTCACTGACCCTGACCCAGAAGAATACTTTGACTATTTCCTTAGCCCTCCCACCCCCCCTCCCCCCATCCGGGGTCGTCATATGCTGAGAGAGCCTAGGACCTCTTTAAAAACAACCTTGTAACCCTAGCCTTTCCATTCAACCTTCCACTTGAAAAGAGAATAGTTCATAGATTCATTCACACTAACTCTCTCACGCACCTTACGCTGTTCTCACCTTTATTCCAATCCTTCTCAAAAAATTTTTTTTAGTAGTCGGTTTTATTTTTATTTTATTTTTTTAAATGTAAAGTTATGCGGGGAAGGAAGGAAAGGAGTGGGGGGGGGGGGGTGGAAGTTAAAACTTTTCTTAAAAACCTTTGTTATCTCCCCTTGTAGAAAGTGAGTTCCTACACCTCCATCGTATGGCAAGTTTTCCGGGACACCTGGCCATCTAGAGCAGACGATACACACGGGGTGGGTTGGGGAGGGATTTATGGGTCAGTGGCGGGGTGGGCAGGAGGAAAAAAAAACGTCACCTCAAGTAGCACGAGAGGTTTTTTATGTGGGGTGTGGTGGGCGCTCGTAGGTTTTATCATTAGTGGCCTGTATCGTTAGGGTTAAGTGGACAGCTTGTCTGGATAGCATTGTTTATGTTTCCAGACGATTGCGTTTAGGAAATAAACAAAAAATTGATGCGGCTAAAATATGAGATGCCTGGTAAGCTTTTGCCAGTCGTCTATGTGCCAGGAGAGGCGACAGGCAAAGTTAACCAAAAATATGTTAGCATTACTAATAACATAAAAACGGGTGGGGGGGGTGGGTCCCCGTTATAGGGTACACTCAGCAATTAGGTAAGGTTGGCAGTAACTGTTATAACCGTCCAAATATAAGATAGGCACGACCAGATTATTTCAACGTGCTGACCAAATCCGCATGGCTTTCTGAATACTAAAATTTCACTTGTTGTTATCAATAATTTTTTTTTAAAATGTTTTTGTTTTCTTTAACATTAATTTTCTGTGCTCAATCAAGTTGCCTGATTAAGTTTTCACCACATATAATTTTATATGCCTATATATCAATTAAAAGTTGTAAGCCTATCTTAATTAACCTCAAGCTATTTTTGTCAACTTTTATCCAACATCACATATCGTCACCAAAAGACACCCCCCCCCCGTCAGGCTGAAGTCACTATATAGGCCTAAGGCACCCACCTCCCCAAAAACGATAAACACACAATAACGTAAAACCAACATGTTTCATTTTGGTTGCTAATCTAGTTTTACTCGAATGCAACTCAAAATAAAATCTGGGTCATATTTCCAGAATCCTCTCTCCTCAAAGAACACATCAACGCAAAAGTATAGTTCCAGCCCCCATTCCTGGAAGTGTGATATCAGCAATGGGCAGAGTTTCTTTCATGCATCTCTTTCCCCCGCCCCTCGGAAGAAATATAATTTATGCAGACAATTTAAAATATATGTTTCTATACAGAAAAAATATATTTATTCCGCCCACTCTCCCACAGTTACCAGTCCTCCCCCCCCCTCCCCTTCCTGAGAAAAATGTCTGAAAGAAACACTGGTAATGGACGACCCTTGGAAGAAAGCATAAAACCCATATAGACCTAGCCATCGTTTACTCCACGTTTTCCTCTGAGTATTGACCACAGCTACTGTTACCACTTGTGTTGATTGAAAAGATTTTATTTCTAAATGAAATCCTTCTAAGGTCCTCTAGTCTTTCCTTAACACGCAGACGTGAAATTATCGTCCAACGACCAGCCATCGACGGAGACAGGAAAGTTTTGTTAACTTTGTTGTTAAACCGTTTCCGGTGGTCGGGATTTGCGTGGGTTTACCGGCCATTGTCAGGTGGAGAAAAATAGTTGAAGGGGGGGGGGGGGTGGAATCTCCGCCTACAATCATCTGAATGAGGGTAACTTGTCGGTCAGGTGCCCTAGGGTGGGGCTAAGGTGGGGTTTTGGACAATTGTAGTTGTCTGTGTTGTTGCTAAGATAAAGAAGGTCATTCACGCCGCAACTGATTAAAAAGTGTGATTAAAGTTCCTGTGTAAACAAAACATCGGTGATCTAAGTGGGTTGAGATGGTGATGACGTATTGTCGGATGTGATGCCTTATAGCACGTGATCATAGTGATGTTAAAGATGAATTTTAGCACGTGATGTTAAAGATGAATTGTAGCACGTGATGTGAAGATGTATTATTGTATGTGATGTTAAAGCTGTCTATTAGCACGTGATGCTAAAAATGTATTGTAACACGTGACGGACCGAACTGTTGATTACTTTGAGTCATCAAATAAAACTCCCCCCCCCCCCCTTTCGGAATCACTCTAAAGCTTTGCAAATCATTTCCCTCAAAGTATAATATTTGATTCAATCCTTTGTGGTGTTCAGCCGCAGAAAGATTCTATTGTCTGTGAGAAAGACTCGGGCTGAAAGGGTGTAGGTCTACTTCAGTACAGTGCTTTCCCCTTCTCCCCCTCCCATACAACGCTGGCAATGAGACATTTACCTTGAAGTAACAGCTCCGTTTCCATACCAGTGTCTGAAGTGTGCATTGTGTGTCGGAAGGGGGGGGGGGTAATGTAGTTAGACCACTTGTGTTGCTTGTAAGAACAGCACCAATGTTGATTATGTTTCATCCTAACTTTTGCCTTCAGTTAAACAAAGATGGCGAGCCTGACTTCATGGAGGAGAACAAGCTGGGACTTGCTGTACCCTGGTTTGATTATATCCATGACACTGTTGGCGGGGATCATACAGCCCAGTCGTGCAAGTAAGAACATCCCCTTTCATTTTTCGCGGGTACAATCAAGTCTTTAAGGGGTCATCCATAAATGACGTCACGCTTTTTTGGACGATTTTTACCTCCCCCTCCCCTCTGTCACACGTCGTCACAAAAAGCCAGACCCCCCCCCCTAAAATGACGTCACACCTCAGCCTGCACCCCTCCCCCCCCCCCACTCGAAATTGCAGTTGAATTTTTCTAAAAACATCGATATTTTTCCAAAATCTTGTCAGAGCTCTGTCAACATAGAGTATTTTGATCAATTCATATTACAATTTATTAAAACCGTTTTCTAAAACGCGAAATAACGGCTAAAACTCGTTTTCTAACATTGCTTTTTTATAATTAAAAAAAGTGACGCCACACCGTCTGAACCCCCCCCCCCTCCCCCTCATCACACACCATCACAAAATTACGGACCCCTCCCCCCTACGAGTGTGACGTCATTTATGGACGACCCCTAAGCAAATAAAACGTAATTATTGGTAATGACCTTCTTCGGGCGCGTACAGAGATGACTAACAGTAAAATCTTTCAGATTCTAACACCAGGGGGCAGCGTGGCCTAGTGTAGAGCACTAGACTGATCCCGAAAGTCTCGAGCTCGAATCCATGTACAAGTTAGTATAACATCCACCCAGCTCTGAGTACCTAACTAACATTAGGGAAAGTAAAGGCGGCTGGGCATAGTGCTGACCACATTATTCCTTCACATGCTGACCACATTATTCCTTCACATGCCGAGATCACAGAAACAGGTGAAATCATTTTCATGTGCCTTATGGACGGTCAGGTTCGAAAAAGGGAACCTCTAACATAACTATTAACGGGAACTACTTCATTAAGCCTTACTCAATCAAAAGAGGGATACATACGTTTGAAACTTTTTTTTTACTTTGTTTAATAAAATGGTTGTTCAAGGTTTAATAAATGTGACGTCAAACCAGAGCTCATGTAATAATCTTAATATTCCATTGCCTCTTTAAACGCCCCAAACCCTTCACGTTATTATAAAACCGACGTACAAGCCCACTGTATGGATGCATAGCCATAAAGTACAATACTTAGGAAGGGGGGATCCTAGAGTAATAGACCTACATATTATAATAAATTAGAATCAAAAAGGCCCAAATCCCTTACGTGCCTAACAGTAAATAAAATTATCATTAAAAATTAAAAAAAAAAAAACCACGTTTCTGATTGAACTAAAAAGTAGAAACAGAAGAGGGAAAGTACCGAACATTGTCTTTATCAAATTACAATTACTAGGTTATGACCCTTTTTGTACAAATCAATAGGAGTCTAAAATGATCAATACATTTTTTCCATGGATCAATTTAGTAATAATAATAATTGAATATTGTATTGTCATCGGAAACAAAGCTTCCCTGAAAATTTCAGCGCGCTAGCTAACTGGGAAGTGTCCGAAATTTCGATCGCAAGATTTGATGGAAAGACAAAGAGACGCGAAAGCAAGTTAAAAAAAACGTGGGAAAAAAAATATTATTATTATCATTCCAGGCATTCAGGTGAAGAAATGCTTCAGTGGATCAATGTCGGACACTGCAGGTGACGTCACGCTCCAGTGCCCAGAAGGTCAAGCCATCACCATCGAAGAAGCCTACCTAGGCAGGAACAAGTGGGGGGCGTGTGTCATCACGGACGAGGACTGCTTCGAGAAGACGAAAATGTTCCAGCACTGCGAGGGCCTGACCAACTGCTCCAAGACATTCAAAACCTACTCCCTGCAGTGTGGCTACAGTACCATCTTCCTGCTCAGCTACTACTGCTCCGCACGTGAGTACTACTGGGGCATAGTTAAGGTGGAGCGGACAACAGCTGATGCATTTTGTTTGCTGTTCATGCATCTTGATCCTTTGCAAATAACTGGTCATATACATTTTTACTATATTTATTATATATATATATATATATATATATATATATATATATATATATATATATATATATATATATATATACAAGCAAATGAGTTACAAAGATGGATGATGCAAATTGTGTTTGTAGCAAGTTGAGTAGAGCTATGTCGGTGCATGTATACTGCTGTAAAGAAAATGTCTTTCATTATTGTGGAGTTTTTATTTGAGTGTCTTCTCTTTCTTTGAAAAAAATAAAATTGTCAGATGTTTTGATTAGTGAATTGTTTTAGAAGTATGTTTAGGTGACACATTCTTGTTATGAAACCTGATTTATTTGTGTTTACCTTGCAAATACTTAATACACACTATACTTGAAATTTTTTTTAAATTGTTGTAACAATTTTTAAGCTACATCAGCACCAGCTACATCAACATGGGTCAGCACCACTGCCCTGGCAAATCAGACTACACAGATGTTGGCTGTAGATGTGCCCTCCACTCAAGCAGACCCCCTAAACCTGGTTCTTAGTAGCCCAACTACAATTTCACAGACAACCTTACAACCTTGGACTGATCACAGCCAAGGTGATTCAAAAGGTAAACACCATAAGCACAAAGTAATGTATAACTTTTTGAGAATCATTGTTTAGAAAGGTAATTTCAGTATTTGTAAGCAAATTAGAGCAATTGAAATTTGATAAATTAAAATATTTGATAATGCTGCTTCCTTGATGAGTCTGTTACTGGTGTAAATGGATTAGTGGGTTTGTGAAACAACAATGTGGGGAATAATCTGAAACATTAACACTAGTTAAACTAAGTAGATCAGATTTAATGATAAGTGTGGAGGGGAGGGTGCAGAAAGTATAAAAATTATGTTGACATATAATGACTTCTTAATTAACTTATCCACAGAGCTGGGCATCATTGTTGGCTGTGTTGTCTCCATTACATCAGCTGTTTTAATCACAGCTATAATCCTTGTCTTGAGAAAACTTTTACAGTAAGTTATTGCCCTTTATATACAGCAATTTTTTTTTTTTTGCTACACTGTTGTTACTTAAAATTACTTTATTTAGGTGCAAGTTCTGTTAAAAAATATAATTGAAACAAGAAGAAAATATTTAATGTATGTGAAACTTGTAATTTTCAGGAAACAAAAGGAAGAACCACAATCTGCCAGCTCATCAGACAACAGCAGCACATGCCAAACACAAAAAATTCTTTCTTCACAACAAAACAATGCGTCGGAAAACAGGAGCTCGTTAAGACTGTCCAAGAAACGCCGCAAGTCCAGACTGACGCCAGTTGGTGAGGAGGACATGTCTGGCCAGTCCACCCAAACACAAGTCAGGTCACATGTTAGTCGGAGAAGTCTGACAAAGCTGACCTCACCACTGAACTCAGGTCAAACCAATGGGAATCTCAACATGGCTGAAGTAACAACGTCAACGTGTTTCAGGGTTGAAATAGAAGACAATGATAATAATAATTCAGAGTGGGTCACTAAAGAAAACCTCCAGAATAATGTTGACCCCGTGACCTCTCTAGAAGCCACTTCTGCCCAGCTGCCAATGTCAGAGAGTCAAGCCAACGACCAAATCCCACCCACAACAGAAATAACATCCCATAATTCTAGCCTTGCCAATATTCACAGAAATAATGAAGGGGTTCACTTAAAAGGGACATTATGCTGAAAGTTATCTTAAATACATTGTGTTTTAGAATAAGTTTTATACACCAGTTTGATTCTCACAGAATATTTGTGGTTTATATGATTTTTAAAAATTTGAAAAATGCTTCAACATCCTTGATAATGTATCATTAATCCAAGGAAATAAATTAGATCGCTTTTAAGACAAATCACGTTTTAAAAACATATTTGTCATCACTTTTGTTGATAAAGTTAAACATCTTTTGTAAATCAACTGAATGATCATAACTTTGTGAAAACATAAAGCATCAGTGATAAAGTTAGCCATTACTTTTAACATTAATTTTACATTGAGCTGTTAAAAGAGTTAAACCTTGTTGATTTTGTGTAAATCAAGCACTTTTTTCTGATAGCAAATATTGAAAATTATACAGTAATGAAGAAATTACTCAGAAAATTAACATGTGGAAAAATGTTATGCCATATAATCACCTTGTGAAGTTAAATGGCATTGTTTTAAACTGTTCCTTTTTGCTTGCTCATTAATACTCTATGGTAATAAATGATTTTAAAAAACTGAGTATACTTTGGACAACTTTATTTTGGCTATAAATAAACATTAATGATATCAAAGTATACTGTAAAACCATTGCATGTTCACAACAACTTCAACATAAACTGTACTTTGTTAGTGTAAAAAATATGAACATGAGCACTGAGTACTGATATGGCACATTTGAGGATATTAATTATTATACATCAACCCATAACAATATTTATTTGATTTTGGTTTAAGCTATAAAAAGAGGAACTTCATCTTTATCATTTTGGTTTCTTTCCCATCAACATAAACACTGGCCATTCCACTTTAAGTACCTTGTCTTCAGTTTCAGGATCAAATGAGTTATTTAATCTGAAAAAAAAATCAAATGAAGCTCATAGTGAAAATCTCAAAAAAAAAACATTTCTTGCATTTTTCAGATTTCCATTGGTGATGTGTTAAAAAAAAAGAGGAAAAGAATCCTCTTTAGACCTAGCGATCCATTTGGCAGATGAGATAGAGTTCATGTTTCTTGACCTCGGCATATGAAGAGAAGGTGTGTTCAACACTTTGCCCAGCCACCTTTACTTTCCCTAACATGAGTTAGGTACCCAAATCTGGCTGGACTCAGGGACGTTATGCTGACTTGAACCCGAATTTGAACTCGAGACTTACGGGTTAGCAGCCTAGCGCTCTAGTGTTTAGGCTGCAACGTCCCATAAATATATTAAAACTGATAAAAAAACTGTTTAGGCTCACATCTTAAGACAAGTTTTCAGATCAACAACTCTTCTTAACATGTCAAATTAATAGTTATTCTTAATGTGATTGAGCCAAACTTCTATCATGTCACTTAATTTGGTCAATCAATTTTAACAGCATCCCATTCCCTTTTTAAAAAAATTAACATCTTAAAATTCCCAAGCTATAAAAGGATTCATCACTTATTTTTCTATAGTATGCTTAAAATGTTGTAGGGTAAATAAAAAATTCACTGTTTTAATCTCCAGTGGTGTAGGGTCTATATTTGATAAATAGTCAAAATAAACTTCCTCAATAAATCTGTTAGGAACATCTTGTGAAATTTCTTTGAAATACAAAGAGTGCTTACACTAGATTTTTATCAACACCGAAATACCAACTTTATATTAAAATGAGAAACATCTGTACAACATTAACCTCATCTACTACTCACTGTTTCTCCACTAGCCCCAGCAGGTCCTCTGTTGGATGAGACTTGTTATAGTTGGTGACAGCTGACCATGATCCCATGTAGCCAATGAAGTCAGCCACGCTGCACACTTTCTTGATGCTAAGGCTGTCATCCCTGATAGCAATTACAGAGTTACACATACACTGGTGATTTATCCTACTAGTTTCTGATAAAGGACTCTTCCAACTAGTAGGGGTGTTAGCTTAACATAACATTAGTTGCACGTTCACTACTAGGTTACCTAACAGTAACGCCACATTTTTTTTACAAGAATTCATTATAGTGATATAAATACTAGCATAAATGAAAGACTACATTCAATGATTGTACACTTTTGTTTTATTTTGGATCTTATCATTCAGATTTACCGACATACTTGTACAGTATTATTAAACTATAATTGGATTAGTAATAGACTGATTTAATGTTACTGCTGTTTCTAGCCAAATAAATGTGTGGGTATGGCTTAATCAATGAGCAGCAATAATTTCTTGCATAAAACTAACCAGACCTATTTAAATATTAAGTGGGTATATCAAATTAATTTCAATATTTTCAAAGAAGCAGACCTTCTCCAACCAGGATACGGAAGCTCTAAGGACATGTATTTCTCTTCCACCATCTTACGACCTTCAGCCCAATAGTCTGGTAATACATCGTTATAGATCTGAATGAAAATGTCATATTTTATCTACACCACTGAAGCTATTACTTGTATTCTGTAATGGGGTTTCTGTAGCTCTAAATAAAACTACAGACATAAAACTGGCTATCTCAAAGTTATATTAATTTTGTGTAAAATTAAACTTACATGTGAAAATATTTGACCAGCTTTTTCTGGCTCCACCTGGCAAACTCCATATCCATAAGCAACCAATGAGGCTCCAGGTTTCAAAACTCTGCTGACTTCCTTGTAAAATCTGTAAAGTCAGTGTGAAAGAATCAATGAGAAATTAACTTAACAAAGGTGTGGGATATGACCAATAAGCCAATCAAAAGATGTGTTAGATGACCAATATGACAATCAAAAGGTGTGTGAGATGACCCATATGACAATCAAAAGGTGAGTGAGATGACCAATATGACAATCAAAAGGTGTGTGAGATGACCAATATGACAATCAAAAGGTGTGTGAGATGACCAATAAGGCAATCAAAAGGTGTGAGATGACCAATAAGACAATCAAAAGGTGTGTGAGATGACTAATATGACAATCAAAAGATGAGTGAGATGACCAATATGACAATCAAAAGGTGTGTGAGATGACTAATATGACAATCAAAAGGTGTGGGAGATGACCAATAAGCCAAACAAAAGGTGTGTGAGATGACCAATGAGCCAATCAAAAGATGAGTGAGATGACCAATAAGCCAAACAAAAGGTGTGTGAGATGACCAATTAGCCAATCAAAAGGTGTGTAAGATGACCAATAAGACAATCAAAAAGTGTGTGAGATGACCAATAAGCCAATCAAAAGGTGTGTGAGATGACCAATAAGCCAATCAAAAGGTGTGTATCATGATCTTTAGTAACTTACTTTGACAGATCCAGCCAGTGTAAAGCCTGTGCAATTGTAAGTAGGTCAACAGAACTGGACTGAATGAAACTCAGCTCATCAGCAGCAGACACATGGAAAGAAACATTTGAAATGTTGTTTGGTGCATTTGCAATTTGTTGCTGGCTCACATCTGCACCTATTACCTGGGGAGACAACCAAGTATTTGATTAGTATTTTTGGAGAGGTAACCAAGTATTTGATTAGTATTTTGGAGAGATAACCAAGTATTTGATTAGTATTTTTGGAGAGATAACCAAGTATTTGATCAGTATTTTATATACGCCTGAGTAGAATTAGTTGATGACCTGGGTGTTTTCTTCAACTTAAAGAATCAACCACATGAACTACAACGGCCACAAGCAAGAGCTAAAGTAACCAGAAAAGTAATGTGTTAAAATGTTATGCATTAGCAGAACTGTAAGCAGAAGCAAGTCTGACCAGCAAGTAGAAACAGAAAAATAAATAAAAAGTCTATTAGAGGGAGCAGATTTCTGAACAAAATGTCTTTAGTTATCTAACACTGTCTGCAGCATTGTAGCATAATCTGTTATACTGTATAGACTAAAGGGTGAACAGCTGTATTCAATACAAAACCTTATTCAGGCAGTATAAACACATAGCTTCAGATAATAAATTTGGCCTTTCATCATTAGAATATCCTTAAAAAAGATGGAGATTATTTGGCAACCAACAGAAAAAACCTACACCCAGCTTCACACGACCTTATCTGGAATACCTGGAGTTAAAGGGGCCTGGTAAAAAATACTATTGCCACGAATATTTTGAAAGGAAAATTAGAGACTATTAAGAAAAGTTACAGAAACCAGCACAGGTATATGGGCATCTCCGGTGGCAATAGAATTAACATTCAAGGGAAACATGAAAACTTGAGCTAACTTATATCTGCTGAGATAAATAATGAAATAAAAATGAGTTATCAACTCTGTAAGATAAATGATAGTTACCTTATTAAAGTGTTGAGCAAGTGGAATGGTACTTTGTCCAGATCCACATCCAACATCGACAGCTAACTGAAAATCACAATCTCCTTCTTTGCAAAATTCAATAATTCTTTTGAAAATTTCATCTGTATATGTGGGTCTGAACTTTGCGTAGAGTTGTGTTTGTTTTTCATCAGTAAACAGAGTTGCGGAACTAAATTTGGACATTGGATACACTATGTGCTTCAGCCTCCTGAGACAATTTTCTAGATGAACCAATTTTGATACTGTGTGATTTAGCATATCACCCAACTTTCTTGTTTTTAAAAGTGAGTAGGCAATAATGTCTTCAAGAATAAAATGTCTTCAATAAAAATAATTTGATTAGTCTACAATCTGTAGGATTTAACGCTACAGTAGAATGATTACTGATTTGGCCATTAATTACTTTTAGTACTATAAATATTATTACAGTATGGTACGGCACATTTTAGTATAGTAATCTAATAAATATATATAAATAAATAAATATAAATTGATCTATGGCAACGCTATGTGGTCATTCTTGACGTCTTGCTTTTTATGAAAATTTTGACTCACCCTTTAGTGCCCTTTACATTGCAACAAATAGACAGACCAACTCCCTCCCCCCCCCCCCCCCCCTTAAAATTGCAGTTTTGGTTTTTTAAACATCAATTTCCTTCTAAACTAAAATATTTACTGAGATCGGTCATTATTGAAAAAGTAATATAGACCCTGGAATACAACTAGATTCTAGATCTAACTAAAAGGCTAAAAGACAAAAGAAGACTAAAAATCGGACAAATACTAAAAATCACTAAATAAATTATTAAATATTAAAATATATTACAAAGGCTGCTCAGTCACTAACTCAGGCTGCCTAACACTATTAATGTATTACTTAGATTCTAGATCTGAAAAGAGAGTCGTAAACAGATCTAATCTAGATTTGATTTATAGATCTATAACATCACACAAAAAAGATTTAGAGAACTAAATCAAAATGACAAGATTTTGATCATTTAAAATTTGCACCTTTGGCCAGTCACAGTAGATAAATATGGCCTTTGACTTTGGCCTTTGACCCCCTCAGTTTGCGACTTGCCAGATTAAATGTTTAAAACATTGTAATTTTACAAGATTTTTCAAGCTTTTACTGGATCTACTTAAATTACGTCACACGGTTGGGGTGTAGATTTGTGCGATTCATTTCAAATTTTGCACAAAATCGGAAATCGCAAAAAAGTTAATACAGAACTACAGAATTTGATATATGAAATTTCATCAACCTAGCTGAAATGGTATCAAATTATCGTGTTCACAGATATACACATTTACACAGACACACGGACAGTTTTTCCCACGATTACGCGTAAAACGCCGAAATTTTTATAAAACTGGATTTAGAATTTTCGCCCGCTTAAAATAAATCCCAGCCTATACTCCGTATATGATGAAGTGCTGAGGTGTAAAACGGTGGAAACTGTCAAAAATTTCATGTGATTTTTGGGCGCGATTACAATACTTCCTCTATACTTAGTGTTGCCCATTTCTCTAAACCAAAACTACAGCTTGATCTTCACGTAGTTACTGCACACAGATACTAAATATAGTCGTTGCCATACCCCTAAACCTTGCACCTAATCTCAAACATGACAAAAGTCGCATTTTGTTTCTTTCAGGTGACTCTCCACCCACCACGAAGCACGTCCACTGTCCCATTCAACTAAATAGATTTTATGTAGAAAACATACTTTTACCTGTGTCCGCCGCCGCCTCCGAAGAAAATGTTGTCAACCCCCACCCCCGAAAATTTCAAGTACCCCCCTGCGGGGAGGAAAAAGTCTGAAAGAAACACTGGTCGCATTTGTAGATGATACAGATTAAAGGTAGACCCTACTTCTATAATATGGACCCGTTTCCTACTTTTGGTCGCTAAACCACAATCACGGAGATAGTACGGTGGTGTGTTGGCACTATACATTTTGAATGGGGCGTGCAGATTAATTTCTTAGGTGGGGGGCCTCACACGGATAAAAGTATATATTTTCTATATAAATTATTTTTTTTCAAAGGGGGGGGGGGGGGTAGATGTTCCTCGTCGGAAGGGGGGGGGGGCTCTGCCCCCCTGCCCAAAGAGATGCATGAAAGATAGCCCTAATCGACTACCGCAATTTATTTATGATTAATTTTAGAATTTTACATTAGATACGTTTAATATTGTAGGTAATAAGAGAAACGACTTGTAAACTAAGTAGTCGAGCCCCCCCCCCCCCCCCTTTACCCCCTTACCCAACCACATTGTGATATTTCGTCAGTTAAGTGTCGTTGGAGGGGGGGGGTGGTGGATGTGCTTAAAAACCCCGTTACTATTTATAACTAGGTCTAAATAACCGCTCAAGTAATCGAATTAGGTCAAAGAAATCAGTTATTAAGTGGGGGGACCTCCGATCGCTATTTTTAGATCTACTCTCGCAAGCTTAAATAAAAAGATAAAAAATAAGCATGCATGCGTACAAATCGAATTAGCTCAGCGTCTTGCGGCAAACAATAAACTTCAAAACAGCTTCGCCTTTACTGATGCAGTAATCCCGCCGGTGTCTGTTATTCTGAAAACTGTCAGAGAGTAAGTAAACTACTAATGATATAATAGTATTTAGATAACATTTTCATATATACTGTATAAGCTTATATTTTCCTGTTGTTTACGACAAAAAAAAAACCCCACCACCTACATCAATAAAGACTCTAAATATTACAATTCTCAACAATCAAATATAAATATTTCTTAGAAGATTTGTGTGACTTTATTTCTGTGACTTTTTTCTTTGCAAAATATGTGACTTTTTTTCCGTTTCTTTTTCTGGTTAACTTTTTTTCCGTTCACCGAGGGCAAAAATGTGGTTTATGATTCTGTTAAATTGTGTTAAGCGTGGGTGGGGGGGGGGGGGGGTGTTATTGTTATAAAACAATGTTCATTTGTCTTTAAAATTCTATGTGAGAGTTGGTCTATAGAGATGCTACATGAGAGGTGGTAGTCTAGGAAAATGTTATACTTAGGGAACGTGGTTGTCTATGGGAAAGTTTTATATCGTTGTAGTTGTATGGGACTGGGGCGTGTGCATCTGTATGTTCAATATAATTGGCGCGCATTTTATTTTTAAGCCCATTGACTAATTCGGCCAATCGTAGATTTGTTTTCTTAAACTTTTAATCCTCTCAACAGATACCATGTTTACCCCTGTACTGCCCACAATACTTCTGCTGGTTGTCCTAGCGGAAACTCACCCGTTCTTCTGTCAGCGAGGGACGTTTGTCAACAACTCCACGTGCCAACCGTGCCCTGCCGGAAGTTTCATGTCCGCAGACAACCACCAAAATACCAACTGCATTCCGTGTACTAAACCTATCAACGAAACCAGCGAAGTGACAACCCACGTATGCTCAGCGTATACAGACACTGTTTTAGGCTGCAGGAAAGGTTATTTTAGACAGGTTAACGGCAAATTAGAAGAGGCATGTTCTAAATGTACAAACTGCTCACAAATCGGTCTGATAGAGGTTAAAGAGTGCACGGAATTCAGGGACGCGGTCTGCTGCTCTCGTTTAGGAATGAAAGCTCATTTTTCACCCGATGGAACAAGCCGTTGCAGCGACAAATCGTCAGAGTTTGTGTGCCAGAGGGGTGAGTACCTACATCGGAGTGACGATCAAACAGCAACCTGCAAACCTTGTTCAGCTGGTTACAGCTACATGTCGGAGGACAACCATGTCAACGTGGATTGCGCACGGTGCACGCGGCCAGTGGTGTGGGACCACGAAATCACCATCACGAATTGCACACCAACCACCGATGCGGTCATTGGGTGTAAGAAGAACTACTTCCGGATCGAGAGAGATTTTTATTTTTTCAAGGACAGCGAGTGCCTGCGGTGCGGGCAGTGCGGGGGCGGCATGCACGAGGTGGCGCCGTGCTCGGCAGACCGTGACGTCATCTGCTGCCCCAAACCGGGGCTCCGCGTGCAGTACTCGCCAGACGGGAGATACAGGTGTGAGGAGCAGTGACGTCATGGCTCTAACACACGACGTCACAGGTCTGACGTAATTTACACGATTGTAGGAAAAAAAGTCACAGGAAAAAAAAACACAGGAAAAAAAAACACAGAAAAAAAAAACACAGAAAAAAAGTCACAGGAAAAAAAGTCACAGGAAAAATAGTCACAGGAAAAAAAGTCACAAATATATATTTGCTTGATATTTGGTAATACTTTTATGTATTAAATATTTAGAGAGTGCAAATTAACTTAGGATTAATTAAATTTAATGTAATGTCACTGTGTGTAGGCTGTATACGCATAGTAATTTTTATAATTCATCTAAAAATATTTAGTAAGAAGTATGTAGATTGTAATTATTTTAAACTTAAGATTAGTAGCATTTAATAGAATGCTCCAATGCCCACGGTTTTCATCGTGTTTTTTTTAAATACCAACATTAAATTACCGTGAAATGGTAAGTTCATCTGACTTGCTGTCCTCAACTCATGGCAACAATAGTTACGCTCAGTTCAACCACCTTTACTGCCCACATTTATCACGCTCATTACATAACAAAACTTAGGATCAAACAGAAAGCCGACAAGGTTCAAAGGCTGTCATTGACGCATAACGTCAACAACACAAAATATGTTCGGACAATGCCTACTGAGGTGAGGCCGACCAGAGAATAGCCTACGGCAAAATTTGCTTAAATTTCTTTTATAAACTTTTCTACCGCGTATTTAACTAAATACGTAGCAAAAGTTGAGATTGTTGTGTAAATTATCTTAGAGTATTTTTTACTTACAATTGTTATAAACCATAATGCTTTCAACGTCTATAAATAATTTATGCTATCAAAAATACAACCCACAACAATAAACATACACAATTTTACAATTCCTAACAAATAAATCAAAATATTTCTAAAAAGATTTTTGTGACTTTTTTTCTGTGACTTTATTTCTGTGACTTTTTTTCCGATAAAATTTTTCCACTGTGACTTTTTTTCTGTGACTTTTTTTCCTAGCAAAAACTGTGACTTTTTTTCTGTGTTTTTTTTTTCCTGTGACTTTTTTTCCGTTTACCATCTACACAGCCTTCTGCTGAGCTAAGAGTTCGTCCACAACATGGCTTGATGGTATTTTTAGCTGATTTCCAATTCCGACCTTTCTATTGTTACACATCGTTTAAGATCCACCCCTCTGCCGCCGTTACATTGATTGTAGGGAAAAATAGTCCCAGGAAAAAAGTCACAAGAAAAAGATCACAGGAAAAAAAAGTATTAAATACTTTTATATTTTAAATATTCAGAAAGAGCAAATAAACTTACGATTAACTAAATAAAAAAGTAATTTGCTTAGGTTGTATACGTATAGTAATATTTATAACACACTAAAATATTTAGTGTAGGTGTTTACTCCGTTATACATATAATATTTAATAGAATTTAATATAATCATCCAAGCTTCGCGAAACAAAAAGCCGACACGGTACAAAGGCTGTCATTGACGCAAAACTTCATTAATACACAAATGAACCGACAAGGTCGTTTGAGGAGAATGAAGCCGACACAGAAAGGCCTACGGCGAAAAACATGCAAAACACAATGGAATGCCGAAATTTAATTTATAATTAATTTTTCTCCCGGGTATTGAATTAAATATGTAACAAAAGTTCAGGCTGCTGTGTAAATAATCTTATAGTATTTTTACTTATTATTGTTATAAACCATATAAAATACCACCCACAGCATTAAACACCCAAAATGTTACAATTCTCAACAATTAAATAAAAATATTTCTTAAAAGAATTTTTTGACTTTTTTCTTGAACCCTCATCCCCCCTCCATTTCCCCTTCTCCTCTCATTCCACCCCACCCCCCACCTAGTCTAGTCCATCTTTACAAAAGTTTGACCAAATTCATGGACGGTAGAAGTGAGACCGCGTGTTTGTGGACACTGGGAAAAATATTTTGAGCGTGATTGGAGAAACTTGACTGAATATTTAAATATATATTTAAATGGGGTTTTTTGTTACTA